TAAAGAATGAAATCGTTTTAGTTTAGTGGTGCGAATACCTTTATTTATATTTTCTTTATATGTATGATATAAATTACGAAGAAGAATTACAGAGAGAACTTATTAACACAAATTGGCAACAATACCAAATACTCTGAGCTACTCTTCAAATTTGAAAATGTTTCATTTGACCCTTTGGTCAACTTCAACAAATCAGGTCCATCCAACACAGTCCTAAGAAAAGTATGCATATGGGTTTCTTTTTTTCAACCAATGAGTCATTTATCTAACAATTTTTATTTTTAAAGAATAAAACAGTATTAACATTTACCAACGGAGGTCTCGGTCCAAGTAGCAAGTGGTCTAGTGTCGTTTAAGCAAAGGGTATCACAGTACTCAATTAGTGTATTTATGACTTACTAATGTCCCATTCATATAAACAAAATGTTCAAGATTAGCTTAAGAGTGCCCTCTTAATTTTCTTATTTTTATACTAATAGAATATTTCTCTAACATGAACCGTAGGGTACCTTTATAAATAGCATATTCTGTTGCTTGAGTTAAAAAGGTAGTAGAAATAATAAAGGGCTATTCGACATTAGAGTGATAAAGTTTACTATCAATTTGAATCGCAGCATGTTCAGGAGAATTTAGTGCTATGTAAAGTAAGACAAATGTTTATAAAATCAATATTATTTGAAAATGAGAAGTTAAAATTCTTGCAGAAATGTTTTAACTCCTTCATGAAATGCACAAGAGAATGAAATTTGTTGGTAAGAATCCATTACGAATTTACGTAATCAATTATATTTTATTAGATAAATACTCACTAGAGAGTAAAAAGTTGAGAAATTAGGTGAAAATGTTTGTGCTATGAATTTATAATAATTAACACATTTCAAATGAAGAAAAGGCTTTATAAGTAGTATATTTGTATTTACCACTTCAGAAAAACTAATGACTAATTGTTCGACTTATCTTTCTAAGTATGGATTTTATCTAACAAAAATATATAACTGAATAATATAAAAATATTACAATTTACACTAATAAAAAATGTGACCCATTAATGATAAGATGCAATGATGTGATGGCTTAACTTCTTATAATCATGATTCTTTTTCAGTATAGATACATCATATCATTAATGTAGATCAATAAAATTTATATTTATAGAGACAAATCTTACAACTAAACAAGTATATGAATTTTTTTTATACACTTATATAATTTTTCGTGTATCCAAGCAAATAACACTCTTAAGTAACTTTATAAAGATACTTATAGTGAAATATGTATTATTATAGGTTAATTAAAGTTGTGTGATCAATTTTAAAAATTATATGAATTTTAAAATATCATAAATTTTTTGTTTTAATATTAATCATTCATAATAATAAAAAGTTATAAAAACTTAGCAAGAGTGAAGTCTAATAAATGAGGTTAATCTTTCACAAATTACAGTTTAAATTTTTATTGAGAAAGACGTTCATATTTAATATTCAACTATGTCTCAAGTAGAATAATCTCTTATAGAGAATATATTTAAAGAATGGAAAATGAATACAAATAATATTTTTACATTTTATCAGATGTTAGTTTTGTTGGAGATTAATAAGTATGTCTAATCTATCGCATTATATATGTGATGGAATTTGTTGTTTCATTATCATGTATATTTATTGTTTATTTAAATAATTAATATGATAAACTAATATTTGTTATGGGTTGGGATGGTCAGAAAACTGAAAATCAAACATCTCTAGACGACCATTGACCAATAAACTTACATCATGTTTCTAATGCAATTTGCTATTCTCTAACCCCACTTTTTTATATTCAACTGTGTATATATAAAAGAGAATCGTGCAACAGGCTCAAGTTGAAGCTTGTCTTCTTGACCATCCACCACCACTTCAGAATTAGAATAGAACGTGTTTAACAAAGGTCTATGCAACCCATCATCCCTATCCTAAATAAAGATCCAGCACTTGGGAATTTTTGCACAATAATCTTGTTGCACCTTGCAGATCTTAGGTGAATTTGATAATCTGTGGCAGTTTTGATATACTATCAACACACTATTAATTATAATAATTCTATCATAGATTTGGAACATTAATTTAACTATTGTAATTAACATTATTAGGTTAACAATTTATTAGCCTAGTACACTTAATTTGAGTACATTAAGGTTTTTCACTTAAGTTTTAACTAGTAATGGGAAATTTTGTTGATATTATTTAATTTTATGAGATAGTGTTAATTTATTTATAATAATTTGTTAACAGAATTGTGTTCTATTGAAAAAAGATTATAAATATTTTCTAAATAAAGTTTAACAAAATTTTATAAGTAGATTAAAAAGTCACAGAATGTAACATATTGTTCCTTTGAACAAATTTGAAAATAAAAAATGTATGTAAATATTCTTGTCTACATTCATGTATAATGTTTTATAGATCAAATGTAGACAACATTTTTCATTGAAAAGATCAAGAAACTTGTTTGAACATAATCTAATAGCATAACTATAATGAACTTTAGGGAGCAAGCCCTAATTACTACATAAGTATAATATATTTTTGAAGTTTGCTACCATTATTTGTTTCTATAGGTATGGATTGTATATGAAGAAGTCAAGATCCAAATTTAGTAATACACACACATACACATAACGGGTAAAATAAAAATAAAAAAACTAATAAAAGATAATGAGTTTGTCATCCAGTACAATTTTGTATAAGTTAAGCCCCATTAATGGTATTAACTAATTAAAATTAATTATGGGCAGGAGAGATACTAGAGAGAGAGAGAAAAAAAAAATCACCAAATAACTTTTTAAAAACACCTTTCGTTTTAGTTTCACCCAACAATAATAAAGAATATATGAATTAATTGATTGCTGAAATACATACCTAATGGAAGGATCTTAAGAAAAAAAGTGTATGTGGGGATACAATCCCTCTGCTTTAAGAGACAATATAGACATAAGCGTGGCTTGTGACCCATAAGTTATAAGAAAAGATACAGCATGAAATAAATAATGGAATGGATATGCAGAGTTTATAATTGGGTTGTTGAATCCTTGCTTGGTCAAATCTTTGTGATTGGTGCATTGTTCATTATTTGTGTCTGGAAATGGATAGTTGAGCACCCTATGCAGTGTTTCATATGCAATAATCTTCTCAATTCCGTCTTCTTTGACCCACTTAAAACACCTTTGGGCCCAGTTTTTGGATGATATGGGCCATAAAGTTCACTTGACCCAGAATTTATGCCACAGATGGATTTTTTTTATTTTAAATTAAGATTTGTCAATTATTTTTTTTGTTAAAAAAATGTCATCAATGGTTTTTAATCACGATTTTAACATTAAAAATGAAACACAAGTCAGAGAATCTCTCAATATTTTACCTAGATAGAAATAATAATGACTAGGGGATTTTATAAAGAAGAGGAAAACAAAGGAATATAGTATGAATATAAAAGTGGTAAAGAAAAAACAAGTGCATAAAGCAAGATTATAGAGAGGAAAGGTAAGGCCGACCATTTAATGGCCAAACATGCAGTGTGTCTACATGTGAAAACCACCCACCAATTATCTCCATTCATCCTCAATCAAATGTGTTATTTTATGGCAAAAAAAAACTTATTTTCTTCTGTAAAACCATAATCGTCCCAACAATATTTTTTACTGTTCAACTGTCAGTCACATGGTACATTGCATGTGAAAGGGGATAAAAAAAAGTCTAATTGCTAAATAATAATAATAAAAAAACCATTTTCAATAAGATCAAAGGGTATGCAGCATAATACCGTTACATTGATGGTTCCTCTGTATAATGTCATTTAATAGACATCATATGCGATGTCCTTAAAAATTCAAATAAACTTAGGAGTAAGGACCTTACATCAGAGAAAGGTTAAAGCATAAAAGAATTGAATTAATGCAAATGCGGACATGTCATCATCATATGATTGCATAGTTTTAAGATAAGGGAATAAGTTGACTCTCAATTTTCTGTTACTTTCGATGTAACCAGTGTGTTTATTTTTTAATCAGTTGATTTATGTTGTTGTAACCAAAGACCAGACACACTTTACAGGGAAGGTATTGGGGGAAATGTAGATTTTCAAACCAAATTAAGCTGCATTGGGAAGTTAACAATTTAGCATTACATAAATGGCTATGTCTTTGTCAACTCATGATTAGAATCAACGGCACCGTCACTCTAGCGTTCACATTGAATATGAATTAATTGAATACTTCAAATCATTTATGAAGGTTTGATTTTTATGAAATTATGAATCCTAAGTTTACTTTCTTGCATAGCTAAATCATGGGCATTAATACGAAAATTGGGTACTAGATGGGACTGAAAATGAAGTGGCTCCTGCATCAAGACCCCACAAGGATTGGGGTTCCTTTGGTTGGCTTGTGTTGTCCAATCTTCCACGTTCTCATTTCCCATATCTCATCATTATCACATGCCATGAAGTGGGGAACTAAAGCCTTTGTCCTCTGGCTTACTTGTTTCATTACAAAAGGCTGAGAATTTACGGGCCTGCATTGTAGGGTCCCTTCCTTCACAGTAGTAACATTGTTTTGTGTATTCCCCCAAGAAGATAAAATTGCACAAAAGACAATGAAACATTTTAACTTATCTAAATTACTGTGGTCTTACACAAGAGGAACATGAACATAATGCACTATTTCCAAACCCACCTAAACACCATAGAAGGTTTGAAAAGCAAAACAAATGGTGTGATGAAAATGGAATGGTTAAATAGGGACAAGTGAGAAAGTAGTAGTTGTGCAATGAAGATGAATAAAAAGGGTCTTCAATGAAAAGGGTACAGGTTAACTTATTTGGCAGAGAAACAAAAGGGTCCACATAGCATTAAATAATAGCACAATTGAATGGAAAAGATTTCACGTGTAAGGAGGTGTCTGTGAGGGAGCGTGCACCATGTGCTTGGGTGCAGTCGGCTACCTTTAGCTTAATGAGATAAGGGAACTCAATAAAAAGGAGTGATGTTCCTTCCACCAATAGCCTCATCTCACGGATCTTGCCCCTCTCTTCTCCTCTGTGCCTCTGTGTTTCTGTCTTTCTGTTCCTCTTCCCACCTTTGCTTTTTCAATTCCCTTACATACACATCCTCTACATATTATATAAGGCCTAGAGAATACATTTCATTCATTGCAAAGACCACATTCAAAGCCTTCTATCATCATTTCATCTACTAATTCACTTACCCAAATGGCCTCTTGGAAGAAGACCATCACAACACCCTTCAAAAAAGCTTGCACTTTCTTTAACCAGCAGCAACCAACCCGGGACCAAAAGAAATCTCAAACAGGTCTGTAGATGCCATCACCTTTCTCCACTGCCAACCCCAATACTTCATTTTAGTCTTTGTACGGAGTTGGACACATTTCTAGTTTTGTTACTTTTATTTCTTTTAGAAAATTATAACAATTGAATAAATGATAATATTTTGTCAACTAATATCATTTTTATTTAAAAAAATTGTATTTTTATATTAACTTTATGTTAATTTTTAAAACTTCTGTTCCACAGTATCCAACCCGTGTATAGCTCTTATGGGTCATGGATTATTAATAATGTACTGATGAGTTGATAGGATATATGGTTTTGCAGAGCAAGAGAGGAGTGTAATGGATCTGCATGGTGAAGTGATGGCATGTGGGTATGAAGATGTTCAAGTTATGTGGTCTATTCTTGATAAGTCCAAATCCACTGCCTGCAATATGACATCTTCCACCTGAAACAACTCTTTCCCTTTCCTTAAAAAAAGAACCAAACAGGAAGCAGAAAAGTTCCACTGCTGCAGTTAGCGAATGTTTTTGTATGCTAATGTTGAAGGGACAATTGCATCATACTAGTTTATCGTAGATAGCTGGGTGGCTTTTGAATCTGGTATGAATGTAATTGTCACATAGAAAATAAAAAAATATTGATATTTAGGTGTATGATAGGATCTAAGGAGTGCCCCTTTTCCTAATGAAGACGGTGGCGGTGTTGTTTGTAATTTATCAAGTCAAAATGTTAATTGTAGGGAATCCCCATGATTGACGTGAGAAAATCAAGGCGAGATTTTGATTCAAAGTAGATTTCTCTTTCTCTCTCTCTCTCTCTCTCCTTAGTCAATAGTCAATGTTAAAATCGACAACTTTACTTTATCTCCTTTGGATGTTTCTATAAAACTCATATAGTCAATTCAGAATCAGAAAATATCTTACACTGTACGAGTGTACGTGGATTTTTTAAAATAAGATGGTATTTAAAAATCTAAAGTTAAACTATTTAAAAATAATTTATAGAAAATATACATAATTAATCCGTGTTAAATCTAAGAACATAAATTAAAAGAAGAAAAAAGACATTAATAATTAATTAAAATAATATAGACTTAAGAATGTTAAAAATGTCATGTATCATTTTTCACTTTGATAGTATATTAAGAGGAATAGTAGTATTAGATAAAAATTTATGTGTTGTCAATATTACTATCACACTGATTTATTTTTATCAAATGCAGTTATGTTATCATATCAAGAATAATGATTAATTTAAAATTTTTATTTATTATATATTTTAATTGATTAACAATGTAAATTTTTAAATTTAACAATACATAAAAGTAATATCTTCCACTCATTTTTTTTCTGTAGTTTTATTTTCTCACTCTTAATAGAAATTGCTGAGATAGGTGAACTAAAAAGGAAATTACCAGTTCAGCGATTAAAACTAAACATTAAAGAATTTTTTTTTAAATCCATTCAAATTAAAAATGATTTCTAAATAAAGTTTTTTTTATGATGTAAATACACACGGTTTTAAAAATGCCAAGATTTCAAGATCAAATCAATTCCTATTTAAAAACTTTTTAAATGAAAAAAAGTTTAATCTATAAATCGAAGAAAATCTCATGCGTGATGAACAATATTAAAACGTTTAAACAACTGTTATGGTGGTAAGTCATAACTATCCAAATAGTTTAGATTCGTATATTATGTGTGATGCCTGAGGGAAGTTGACAAGCAAGTTCGACCAGCTACTATAAAGTAACAACAACTTAGGATTGGATTCTAGAACAACAACTCATTAGCTGAAGGTACATAATCTCATAAATAATCTTAAAAAATAAAAAGAAATCTTCTTGTCATGTCAAGTACGTTGTTGAATCTTCCTTCTCTTACCTCAACGCATTGTCATGCAAGAAGATGAGTGAGAAACACCAATGTGAGGAAGTTGTTTTCAGCATCAATTTGCTTGAGTGCCTTGAATCCGTCCATTTAGGAGTTTGTGGTGGCAGTGGTCAACATTGGACTCAAGTCCTACGCCTGTTTTACTTGGATATATGTTCCCAAGAGCCTGTCATTTTCAGGTTCATTTTTTACTGTAATAAGATTTTACGGATACGGATTCATTATAGTTAACACGGAACTGGACATTAGTTTTATTTTTACTTAAAATAAAAATAAACTTGTTTAAGTAAAAATATAAAAAATAATAAAAATTTTATACAAAATTAATTTAAACTAATTTTTTTAATTTACTTAAATAAATTATGTTAGTTTAAGCAGATATTATATTTTTTTCTTTCAAAATTTTTTTTTTCTTATGTTTAATACTTTTTTTTAACCTTTATATTTAACTTTTTTTTTATACTTAATTTGTTTGTTCCTCTCTCAATTTCTCTTTCTCTTTTTCTCATGCTTTAACTCTTCTTTTTTTTTTTTTTTTTACTCTCACCGTGTTTCATACCTATATCTTCCTATTTGTTTCATCCAAAACTCTCCACCTTCATCTTCCTTCACCACCACTCTTATACTACCTATTTTTTTTTATCTCCATCTATTCCTAATTCTCTCTACCTCTTATACCTAATTTTCATATCTTCAAATCTACAAAATTTGTTTAAGTTAGTTTAAGTGAATTTGTAAAATTTGCTTAAGCTAAAAAACTTTGTTTAAGTCAATTTTGCATTAATAAATTTTATCATTTCTTATATTTTGCTTAAACAAGTCTATTTTTGTTTAAACAAAAATAAAACTGGATATTCAGTTTCCACATTAATTGCACTAAATTCAGATCCAAATTTTATATATATTACACTCATGATAATTTTTATTTCTCCATTGAAATTTAATCCTCACGGAAAATAACTCATTTACACTCCAAAATTGTGGAACGAGTAAAGAGAAGAGAGAAAGTAACAAATTTAATAAACGAAAAATAAAAATAAAAACAAAAACAAAGAAAGAATAGAAAATATGTGTAAGAGAAAATAAACGTAGAAATATTATAGTTATGATATACAGAGACAATATTTTCAATGATGACCTGATCTTGACAATTCTTTGGAACCAAAATTTTGTCATACAGAATTGGAAGAGTATGATTTTGAGGGATCAAGATTTTTTGCATGAATTTAAATTGACCCATTTGAGGATGATGACCCATTGAAAAATAAGAAATAATTTACATAATTTTTAATTAATAATTAAGAGTACATAAAAAAGAAATTGTTGGTAACCCTTCCTCTCTCTACTATAGTTAGATGCCCTTTTTCTTAAACAAGATTCCAGATTTTAATTGAGTAGTAATTTTTTATGGTCTATGCTCAAGAGTAAGGGGTTACACTTGGTAGTTACGTAGGCATAACCCCACACATTACTTTCTGGCATGACCCACGTTACTTTCTTTGAAAGCTCTGGCTCACTAGTACTCCATTTAATTCCATGTGTTTGCAAGGACTTTGGATATTTTTATCGCCCACCACCACCACACACACACACTCACTTTCTTTCTTTTTTTGCGCACAAGAATGTTCAACTGATAACCGGAAATTAATCCTTTCAAACAGACTTATCATCAAAATAAATGCAACCTCTCCCTCTGGTGATCCCTTTAGATGTTGAGGTCACTTTGTTCGAATTTTTCTAAGCAGAGTATAGATTTTCTTTTAATTTGATGAGATGTCTTCTAGAAGAAACACTTCTGTTTAACTACTTTTAACTCAACATGTCCATCGAATCATAGGCTGCATCCGGCATTCGAAATTTATTATTGATAGTTTTTATGAGACTTCTTAGTTCCACGGAAAGCCCACCTTGTGGGAAATGGTTTTTTATTGTTACTGCTGCTTAGTTTGTCTGAACATTATGCAAATAGGGTGCTTTTTCTTTCCTTGTCAGGGGCTACAGAGAATAAATATCTACACATCCAAAAAAGGCAAATGATAACAATATTCTGAATAATTGATTCCTGATCTATTAAAAACAACTTGTGTATCATAAAATTACTTCGGACTACAACCCTCCGATATATGCTGTCATACACCCTTCTGATAAGGCATGGCTGATCATGGGGCCAGTTCACCTGAAATTTCTCTCTTCCTTTGCTTCAAGGGCATCAACTTCCTCGTTAGATAGAAGGTCCACAATAGGTTCATATACGTCCCACTCCTTTCTTTTCCTGTTGCATTCAAGCAAAACAGGCCAAGCCTGTGAAGTTCTCATTTTAAAATTTAAATGCTAGACACACAAAAAATCTTAAGAAGGGTGTCGTTTAACAAAACTTGCAAACTAGTCCAGGGCCCAAAAAAGCCTTTTTATTATGTGATAGATTCCAGGCAGTCATGAAATCATATAATATAGCTACAAAGTAGCTATAGAAATAGTTGAGTGGATGTAGTTTGAAGGGCAGGGGCTTAGCTTACGTAGAGAGACAGAAAGGAAAACATTTGGATTTTTGGCTTTGGGAATTGAGCGTTAGCTCTGCTGTAGCAAAGGGAATCCCTGTACGTTCAATAATAGAATCATTATTTCTCTTTCTCTGTACGTTCAAATTTGTTTAAAAAAAAATGTACAAATGAGTAGAAAAACACGCACAAACAATTAACAAGGAGAATGTAGTTTTACATCTCCAATATGTCTCAAAAGCTCCAAGCAGTCCAGATCTCTGTCAGGAATTTTATTTAACAAAGAAAAAACTAACAAAGTTATATAGGTTTATAATGTAAAAATAAAATTAGCGGAAAATATATTAATATTTTCCTATAAAATTAACTAAATGTTGATTTCAATTTCTTTTATTCTATTCCACCATTATTTCCGCAGATTTTTCTCTTAATTGATATTTGCACAAAGCCACAAACATATCTGTGAATATGCCATGCCACTGCTTATATGATTTTCTTAACCAAGTTCTGAGGATTATGAATTATTCAATCTCACAATAATAAGGAACCTCTCACATTATGCCATTTCAGGAAAAAATTTAACTATGTAGGCACCATGATATGTGCAGTCCAAGATGATTTGATGACAATATAACTATTTGGTAGTAAATTATTGAACTTAAACAAAAAAGTGTTCAAACTTATGAAATAGACTTACCGAACTACACTAGATTTTGGACCAAATAACTTGACCAAGTCCACCGCCACAGCACCTCCTTTACTGTTAATAGATCAATGACAAGAAAGCAATGCGGATTAGGGACATACATATTCACTTAGAATTACAATAAGATTGCATTTATCACATGAAGTGAAATGTGACACAAGTGTATAAGAAAAACCTGACTGGAGTATATTCAGCCCCTCGACGACCCTTCTTGCTCATTCTGCTCTCTCTTGCAGAAACCACACTTTGAATTGCAATCTAAATAAAAACAAATTAAGATTATGGTAACCAAACCATTTATAATCCCGAACATGTTACGCCAATCAACCAATTGAATGAATGACCTCATAAAGTTGCTCTCTGATAGCAAAGGCAATAGCTGGCTGCAAAGCAGAAAAAGCATTGCACAGTTTAGTGCTCTCTGATGAAAACAAGAATCTAATTCCCCCCAAATTAACACAACACAACAAATCGTTTCTTAGTATAAGTGTATGTATAACACAAACAAAAAATGCATTAACGACACAATTTTGCCATTCCTATTATGCTCCCAAGAAGAAAGACCGTGGAAAATAACATAAAGTTAGCATGAGTTACAATTTCAGTTATCATTCTTTCTTGAGGAGCCCGGAGTTTTAACAATACTCCAACATTTCTAATTTCATTTTAACTTATTATCAGTGATAGATTGATTTACTTACTCCAACCTCAGGATCTTCAATGCCCATGTCCTTGCAAAATATTCTGGCAAACTCTTCAGGATCACTCTCAAAGTTGTTCAAGTCCTAGAATTCAATGATTTTAGACAGACACAAGGCAAACCAAAAAACATGCACAACAATCATATAACACAACACCCAGGTTGTGCTCCAATCTTACCCATAAAAAATGGTCCTTTACGAGGGTATGATTAACACGAAGATCGAGCTGCCATAAAGAAACAAGATAAATTGTTAATACACAAACATTAAACAAAAAGGAGAGGAACACAAAATGGCAGCAAAAAGATACCTTAATTGGAACAATCTTCTCCCCAGCATACATATCTTGGCCCTCATAGGATCGAAACTCAGCAAGCTGTGACTGATAACACAACATAAGATATATTATAAAATAGGCAAAATGCAGAATAATGAAAGGAAAAGGCAACAATTGGTGGAAGTGTTTACTTGAATTGATTGAGCAATCTGAGTTACAAAAGCGGGAGGGAGCTTTAAGTCTTTAACGGTTCTTTTGGCAAAAACGACAACCTCAGAATCGGGATCTACAACATAGGAATTCAATGAATGGTAATGAAGAAACAGGAACATGAACATGTTTGGTTAGAAAAAATTGATTACCAGAAGGGTTCCAAGTGAATGCGTCTTTGTATCTCTGCCCCTCGATTTCAATGTCCAACCGAATGGGCACCAAGTTCTCCGCAGTTGGCCTGTGTGAATTTATCATTCGTTATGCGTTCCAAACCCAAACAAAACAAAACGACACAGTGTCAAATTTGAACTGAACTTACATTCTGAACTTGACGGGGTTTCTGTAGAAACCCGAAATCGGAGTTTTCATGCTAACGGAATAACTCGATTTCGACGACAACGCCTTTCCGATCACAAACTAACTTAACTAAAATCAAAACCTTATTTTCTTCCTTCAACACCTTACCAGTTACCACCACAATTTCTGTCTTCTTTCTTCTTGTTCTGGGTTCGAATTGTGTTCACTGTTTGGAAATAGACATGTTTCTATTTAGGCCCAGGCCCATAACTACTATTTGGGCCCATACCGCGGATGATTTTTTTGTCATTATACAATGAAATATTAATTTAATTAATAAAATATTTTTATTAAAATATGAGCGATTGATTTGTTTTGATATAAAAAAATCAAAAGGCAAATAAGACATGTGATTGAGTGAATTATGCACAGAAGCTATTCTAATGAGAAATCAAATTTATTATATAGGAACATGTTATTTTTTTTGTTGTATGTGCTTTTTAGATTTTTATAAATCATCAACATTTAGTGTTGAAAAACATACAAGGGCTCATAACTTTTTGAAAAATTAAAGGAACTTAATTTAAGTTATGCTTTCAACATAAAGAAAAAAAACTTGTTACATTTGGATATAATGTTTAAAAAGCACTTGTACTAAATATCATATATTAATGTTAAAAACCACTCACTTTCACTTATCTCATAAGCCTGTGATCATTAATTTATAAAATAACCAAATATCACTTCTTTAAAATAAAGTGCCTTTTTATATGAAAAAAGAAAGTAAATGAATCCAGACAGGCTTGTTTAAAATTTTCCAAGGGTGAGTTGGAATATATTCATTCAGTAAGTCAAACAAGAACAATTTTTGTTTTTCTTTAGAAATAACTAAGGTTGAATTTGAGAAGACTAATCACAGGCTTTGAAAATAATAAAGGACTAATAACAGGGTTATCAAGATTCGCAAAAGGACGATTTTGCATGACTCACAAGGGATCAAATCACTTGTCTTTCTGTGTGTCCTTTTTCTTGTCTTTAAAGGAAAAACAATATATCATCTGAACAATAAAAATAAAGGAGTAATATTGCTTTTTAGCTAAGTGTCATCTATCTATTTGGAGAAGTTCGAAGGAAAAGGAAATAAAGATAATTATTTTTCACTCAACACAAATAATAATGCCATAAGTTCTAAATAAATAAGTTTAATGTGTTTTTTTATGTCTTTATTTATTATGATTAATGTACAATTTTAGAATTTTAGTTTCATTTTTAAAGAACTAAAATCACACATTAATTATATTATAATACTATCATCCTTGATTACAGAAATTTCTCTTTTTTTTTTGCATGACCATTCACATTAGTTAGTATAATTTAAAGGGAAGGAAAGCATACGCAGGGACTAAAGATTTGTGTGTAGTTGATTAAATGCAAATTATTTTAACAAGTTTTGAATTTCAATTTGTATGGTTATATACAATCCATGGTTTAATATAATAAGTTTTGAATCATGAATAAGTATCAACATCCGAACAATTATTTTATTATAAAATATTTAATAAATAATATAATAATTATTTATTTCATTTCAATTCACGCATTATAGTGTAACATTGGTTTAAAATGTTTAACTATTCAGTAAAATGTATTTCTCTCTCATCACATATGTTTAAATTACACTTTTTTTTTTTAATTTTGAAAATTACATTCCCCTTCCTTAAAAAATAAATGTGTGATATATATATTTTTTATGTTAATAAAAGTAACTTTCTTAGTCACTGTGAATGATTATAAACGAATCTCTCTTTAAAATATTTTTCCTTTTTTCTTCAACTTTTAAAGTTATCGATACTTAATTTTGAATATTAATGTTGTCAATTTTTTAGAATTCTCTTATAATTTTCATTTCATCTTTTGAAATCCTAAAATTCATAATTAAAAATTAAAATTGATTGCCTAAAATTTTGAAAGTCATAAAAAGTGAAAAAATGATCTTAATGTTAATATTACAATAAATTGATATTTTATACATATTATTAATTTTTAAAATAGGGTAATTTAAACATTTTAAAGTTTTAAAAGAGAAATATAATTTACTTCCAAAACCATATGACTGTTATTTGGCTTCTAGATGTCTGGTAAAAGTTTTGTTTTATTTTTAATTTTTTAATTTCCAGCCTCTTGCAAAAGTTCAAACTTGAAAATGAAGGGCTATCAAATGAAAAATCATTGTGAGTTGGTGAATGTTTGATCTACAATCAAAATGAGTTCACATCTCTTGAGGACAGGTGTTTGAATATGGATTGTTTAATTCATAGTTAGAATCTTCCTCAAATTATGACAATGAAAGCAAAACCACTGTTCTTGACACGAGGGGTGTGGAGACAACAAGCATCATTATGTTGTACCCAACAAAGCCAAGCACAACAAAGCAGAGACACCAGAAAAAGGCACATCTAAGGAAATTAGCAAAATCATACCTTCTTTTCATCGTTTCACTATAAGCTTTGATCATTTTTAAGCAACACATGGGTTAGAGTATTTCGTATTTCAACTTGTAGGTAAGATTCATGGAAGGAAGGTGCAATGCAATATACAAAATCACTCCAAAACAAACCTGAGAATTTTTATAGTACTTCATCATAAAAGAGTCACTATAAAACACTAGCTACACATTGTAGGTAAGGTTGATATAAGGGACATGCAATGTGCCATATGACTACAAAATAATTGAGCAAGTTCCAAAACAAGCTGGAAATTTAGAAGACCCCATCATAAAACAGAGAGACTAAGAAACACTGCAGCTATGCACTGAATTGACAATTAGGTGAGAAGCTATACATCTATATTTTTTGGTGTATAAAGCTATTAGATATGATAATCATGGGATCCGTTGTCTTTTTTGTGGAATTTCTACCGGTTCCACCCACTCACTAATTAATAATTAGATCTAGGACAAAATTTTATGAACAGTGAAAATTGAGGAGGAGCTTGTGTTGTGAAAGATTGTATCATGCATTATCAAATTAACTAGCATCTGTCAGCTCTTGTGATCTTCAGCCTCTTCACGCTGGTCAAGAACATCCTGTATTAATTAATTAAATACAAAAATGATTAAAATACTGAAAATGAAGAGACCCATGTTGCTAAATAGCAAAGCCAATATAATTTAATTGAAGAGTTCAATTTTGAGGCATATATGTATGTCACTTACTCCCATGGCACATCTCCAACCATCATCCAGTCCCCTTCTTGATCCTCATAAGTTAGCAAGTGAAAATTCCCAGAATTAAGTGGTTGAGAGTTAGGACCTGAAAAAAAAAGGAGCAAAATTGATATGTAAGTATGATGGTCCAAGAGAAAGAAGGTGCAAAAGGAATTTGATTTTATGAGGGTCTCAAATGCTTACAAAGAATGGTGGTCCTAAACATATGGCCAAGAGTTTTTACAAGTCCATCATAGTTGTGATGTGCCAACAGATTTAGTTTTCTACCGATGGGTATGCCTTCCATATAGACTTTGACAAATAAAGAGGGCCTTTGGCTCAGATGGTTTTGTTTCCCCACAAGGGTGCTCCTCAATATGGACTTAATTGGTGGCCAGTCAAAAGTCTCATCCCTGAAGAATATGCATTAAGATTAACACAATAACACGTTATTGCAACTAATCATATACATGCATGAACATATTCTACACAAACAATGGGATCGAGATTAAGGAGCAAAAGTAATGCATTAAAATATCCAAGCTTTTAGGCTTTAGCTTGAGAAAAGTGCAATTGAGAAAAGATGGTGTAGAGAAATGGTATGGCTAGGAAGGTATGTGTTTACCTTGGTGTAGAGTTGAATTGTGATTGAGATTGAGTAGAAGGAGAGATGCTAAGACCAAGTCTAAGGTCAGTGCTCAAATCTGTTCTGTTTTTGCACACACTTGAGAGGCAAAGAGATGAAGGGGAAGAGGGTGGTGGTGTCCCAGAAGGGTGATTGTTGCTATCAATAGATGAAGATGAAGATGATGATGACTGGGTTTGATGAGCATCAATTTGTTCTAATGTTCCCATATCTTCCAATCAATGAAACTGATCAAGACTGAAAAGAAAAGCCGCCACCTTGGGGGCCTTATATATATATACACAACACAATACAAGCTACTTTAGTTTAAACCAAAGAAGAGAGAGAGAGAGAGAGAGAGAGAAGGAAAAGCAAAGCCAAGTCAGACACTAAGCAGACTCTCTTTGGTTTTGATTTGCCCTGAGGGTGGGCGACATGTCCACAAGGACTAAGTTACACGGTCTTCAATTAATTACTTTTTTTGAAGTTTTGGTTGGTTGGAACCTAGAAATCTTGTTTATTTTAATCAGCTCTTAATGATCTCCCACCCCTCTTATTGCTTATTTTAATTTTGGAAGGTTATTATTTTATTTTAATCAACTCTCCCTTCCATGGTATATGTCTTCACATGATTATGGGAGGACATCATGTTTATAAATATTAAATCGGAAAAAAGGGTAAAGGGTTTGGCTCAATAGCCTTGTCCATGGACATGCACACCATGTATAATAATTAATAAAATCAGAAAGAATGGAAAAGCCATCTCTAGATAAATATATCCATCTTTTCCATACTAATATACTAGTATATATACTATTATAATCCATTGTAGAATTTAGTGAGTTTTCATGTTCATTTGAGGATTCTCTAAAATATTGGGCAACATAACATTGTTTCTTTCTTGTGTTGGAATTTTCTCAATTTTCTTTTTTCGCATCATATAAACAAATCATGGGGGAGTGAAAAAGTTATTTAATTTGTACCATCCTCTGGTGGAAAACCGACCCACTTTCAGGGGCTTTCTAGCCATAACAATAATAATGTCAACTAATTTCTTGCAAAAGGACATTTGAATAGAAAGAGTTCAAGTATCTAATTACACTGGTTTGCTGGCCTCCTTTTGGGTATATCCTTATTTGTTAAGGGAAAAAGTGGGAGGGCTCAATAGGTTCAGCCAAATTTAACTAAAGTTTAACCAAGGCCATGCCAGTGCATAAGTGTTGGAAGAGAATGATGGAGACAATTTAGAAGGGCCATTGAATTCAGTCTTCGATTGAGTACCCATTGCAACTCCCTAAGCCAATATAAGTAGAAAAAAATTAAATTGACAGCTTGATCCATACCATCACCAACCCCATTTTGGCAACTTGAAGTAACTATGATGTTCAGCCTTATGTAGTAAACTGGGATGCATTTATTCTAGCCAAACATTGCTAGATTTCAAACATTGGTCACTAGTACAAAGTTGTTATTCTTGTTCATGCTAACAGCGCATGTGTTAACCAAAATGATCATTTAACTTTTTCTTTTTCTCTTTTGCTTGTACCATACAGGTATTTAATTTAACAACATTTTATAATTTTGATTTCCAGGGACTGATCCATTTCGAATCATGTCACAGAAATATGCGTTTGGAAGAAAAAAGTTTCACTTAGCTCTTTTTCCCTTTTCCTTTTTGTCTTTTCATTCTATGTGGCGTGGCCTAATTTTTCTGAAACCAATTAAGCTTTGTTTAGATTAAGTTTTGCACGTTCTATCTTGTAGTATGAAGATTGATTGATACATAATATTTTGTAATATAAAGAGGGTGTTACATACTTACCGCGGGAAGAATTGAAAGTTTACTAATCTGTATGCATAATAAGAACAATATGCGAAAACAAAAGTTTTAAAAAAAAACACCAAATCTACCATAATGTGAGGTAGGTCTAAGATACTAAACATTTTTTTTTAAAGGGGAGGTTTCCATTATATATTATTTTTACTAACAGTCTTATACTTAATGTGTTTATTCATTGAAAAGGAATTCATTTATTCGAGTAACTTTCAGACATTTATTTTATATGATATGTTAAAATGAAGTTGATTTTGTTGATATTTCCTCTGATTTTTTATAAGAAATATATAACAATTTATTAGTATAGATAAAAAATAATTATATATCATAAATTTATAATATATTTTAAAAACACTCAATAATTGATAAAATATATGAAAACTATTAATATTGATAAAATCTAATTAATGTCTATAAATTTAACAACATATATAACTGGAGTAAGTGAATTACCACCTTAATTAATGAACTATTTACGATATTTACATATAAAACGGTAATCTTATTTAATGTCATACTTATTTGATAATTAGAAAGTTTAAGTTTGTGACCTATTTGAAAACACTATGTAATGTTTTTCTTTAAATGCACACCATGCACTTCAAATTGAACCGAAAGGAATCTTTTTCCTAAGCTTTTTATGTTTTTATAAAATGCTTTGGTCGAACCAAAAACAAATTTAAAAATAAAAAATAAAAAACTGTAACTTGAGTGCATGTTGTTCAAAGGATTAATTTAAACATTGGTCTCATTTATGATGTCTATTTTGTTGGTCAATGTTGGGTATCCATCATCCATATATAATTATATAAGTGAAATTTATGTTTTTTCATTAGTGTAATATTTTTTTGTTAAATACATTTCCTAATCCCTATGTATTGAGTTGAGCATATATTTTATGTAAGTTGGACAATGAAAAGGACTACGTGACTCAAAATGATAATTTTATTTTTCATTATCTTTAATTACGAGGAAAATCTTAAATTTAGTGATTAGGAGGATATTATTTTAAAAAATGACTTCTACTAAAGGAGTTATCAGAAATTTAACTCCTGTTGAGTATGCATTTTTATATTAGATAACAACAAACAAAGATTGACACATTTGGTAAACAATTTTATCATAGTTTATAGGGTTCAACCTTTAATTATATGCATGAAAAAGATTTTACTAAAAGAAAAAAAAAATGAAGATATTAATCTCTTACTATCGTGGGAAATACAATTTGAACATGTAAAAAACATTGAAATCATTATAAAATTAAAAATCTTGTAATTCCGTATATGCATATCTATTTACTTCAAAATCATAATAACAATCAGTTAGAAACTCTTTTTGCAAGAAAATAATAATAAAATGGAGACATTTTTTAAAAGATAAATGGTTCTACATTGATAGCAACTAATGGGAACAGCCATAAGTATGTTGTAAGAGCCTCAAATGTACATATAATTTAATAGAGGCAAACGTGTGAGGGTGGGGCTATAAGGATCAAAGATGGAATAAAGAGAAAAAAGAAATGCAGAGACAAAGAAACATGATTTAAAGTCATAGTCTATTCTTTGGAATTTGCAGGCTAGACAATCTTCCTTCTCTCCTTTGTTATATGTTTCTACGTTTTCCACCTTTAATTATCATTATTCCTATTTGTAAAACTACATAGCTGGACCCTTCAACTTTTTTTCCTTTTTAAGAGACATATATTAACAAAAGAAAATGGACCATGCAGAGAAATTCATCAATGCTTGCAGTTTAATTAAAAATAAATTATTATATCTCTTCAGAGGCTCCTTATGGATGTTATATTCTAAATATGGTTCCATTAAACAACCCCACAGACCCATCTATCATGTATCTATCAACAAAGCTTAATTAATCCCACAAAATGTACTTTAAAACAAGGGAACCAGCATAGGCAGTTAAATTGAATAAATTACAAACTTAAGGTTAAAAAATATATGAATTTAAGCATTAATAAATTATTTATTCATAATCAAGATGATGCTTTTTAGTTTTTTTACCTTAAAATAGAAAAGGAAATCCACCAGTCTTTCCATGGCCCAGGGCACAGAATCAAGAGTGATGTTTTTTTTAGCCAATCAATGGATAATTGTCGTGGCTTTAAATTGGGCATTATTTATTAATTATTATGTCAGCTTAATTATTCTCAATACTCACAAACAGTTTAACACGTTTGAAAGGAAAATTATATTGATATTCATCTCTTTCATATTCATAAAACTTATCTGTCATGCAGCAAGTTTTCTAATAATAATAATAATAATAATATGACAATTTTGTTAATTATTACACTCAAGAAATGATTAAAAGTATATCTGTTATTAATATATTTTTACCATAAATTTTAATTCCTTCATTGCTTAACTATTGTGAAACAAAATCAGTATGGCGGCAAATTGAAATGGAAGCGACAGAGAGATATATTAACAAATAGTGAAATGAAGAAAATATGGTATATATTACGTGTAGGCGTGATGAAGTTGTAACAGTGATTATTTACACCCAAAAGTATATGAGGCAGCCATGATGAGGAAAAGAGGAAAAGAAACTCAAGTGGAAGTTGAAGGAGACACCTAATGGACACATAATTTGAAGCTTGCAAGTAAGAAATAGTCTTAACATCTTATTTGGGCAAGTTTTGATACGTTGGATTCTTTTCACCACTTTTTCTGATTTGAACTAAGCAATTCTTATCTCAAAAGCCAGGACATGAGCCCAACTTTAAGAAACATGCAATCAAATACTGACTTCTCTTTCTCTATAAATAAAACATATACAAGATGCATGTGCCTAGGCATGTGCAAAGTGTGTTAGCGCTCCCATTTCCCTTGCAATGGCAATGGCAATCGCAACTATGATCAAAATTGTCATCAAATTTACAACCTACAAAATCAACCATTCTACTTTAAAACTAACTTGTTATGAAGATTCTTTTCATATGTAATTTGATAATTAAAAAGTGATTGCATTGCAATTACTGGATTTGATGGAATTAAAGTACTTATCCAATTTGATCTCATATGATTGTTGAGTTTTTCATGGCCATGAATCTGCCTCTAACTTCACTTTTCCTTTTGAAATGGCATTGGCAGCTGGGGCAATATAAGCTCTTTTGTTAGCATGCAAATGAAATAGTACCTAGCTATGGCTAGAGCTATAGAGAATGTAATACACAGATGGGCACTTTCTTCTTTCATTTTTCACTTTCCTCTTTTGGTCCTTTTTTATTACATCTATGTCAAGATGCCACTACATGATGAGAACCTCATATACTGCCTAACTTTGTTGCTGCTTCCTAATGTGTATTTCTTTAGCATGAATATGGAGTACTTTTCTACTGGTACCCCTATAATTGCATATGAAATAGCAAGAAGAGGGTGGGAGTTAGAAGCCACAGGGAGCAGAATTATTCCTCAAGAAAGAGGGGGAAAGAGAAAGAGAGAGATTTAAGATTCGGTTTGTTAAAAACAAGGGGTAAAAGAAAAGGTTGTTCCCCCAATGTTGCTTTAGTTGGACATCTCCCCCTTTTTCTTTAATGGTCTATATATTATATATTTCATCATTTTTTTGTCACATTGCACTTTGTGTGTAGCTTAAGCATATAGATTTTATCTCTTCCCTTCTTCTCTTTTCTTTCAAAAGTCACATACAAGAAGACAGTATAAGGGAATAAGAGGTGGGCCTCGTGCGTTGAGCCCCAATAGTTGCACCTTTGTGTTGGCCCTAAACATTAACCTACTTAACATCTAATTAAATTGTTCCCCTCAATCACCTACATGGCCTTCTTTCCATACCAAATTGGTTTCCAACCTTCCCATTTTATGAAACCCAATAAAGTTCACTTGCTTAACTATCTTTCTCTCCCTTCCTGAATTTTATCTTAGACAAAAATCAAGTGTAATTTTTTAAATATTGTATCAGTTATTATTTTTTAATTAAAATTAGAAGTTTACTCTACTATCTTATGATGATTTTGAGTATAAACTTTTTATGGTGTAAATTATTAAAATGAAACTTCAATTTTAATAAAAAAAGCATTACAAATATTTAAAAAAACTATACTTAATTCCATCCTTCGGTCCAACATGGAGCCTATGTTGTTTCTTCTATGTTATGTGTGTCTTGTGTAAAAACATTTGATTGCACCCATGTTAGCTTGTCTACGCCCGAGTTGTGTCAATGAACTTATCGTTTTGAAAGAATTGCTTTCCGTGTGGGGGAAACATGGAGTGATATTTTGGAAATTGGTGGAGCTTATGTCAACATTTCATTGGTGGACTAAGATTTCAGCTAACTTACCTTTTTATAAATTATGATATAGAAGACAAATATTTCTATAGTGATATGCAAATCTAAAAGTAGTTTTCTTGTAATTTTCAAATAATGAATGTAGTATTGCGTACTTCAATTGTGGTTTATTAAACTTTGCCTTGTTTTCTTCCAGGGTTATAGGTTTATTCTTATGCTTACTAAACCATATGTAAATTGATAATTAATTCCATTGGCATTTTGATCATAGGAGAATTAGACACTTTGCTTTTGTTATTATGTTAAAAAAAGATAAAGTTGGGTCATTATAATATATATTATTTCTAAATCTTTTCACACGTACAATAAAATAAAAGCAGTTACGTGTTTGCTTTTTTGAATCAATGCAAACATTAACATGTTTTATCTTTAAATGATTGTTGAACAGACGGAGGAAAAATAGCCACGGGTTCAATAGTGGGAAAAGTGTAGTTACACAGCAAAAAGCAACGCAGATCCTTCACAAACACAGCAAAAAGCTTTTACTTGGAATAACAAAGACTCATCCTTCCAGAGGGTATCAGAGAATCGTGTGGGACCCAAGCTAACACTCTCAATTATCTCAATTTATTTTGTTATAAAAATGTTATGGCAGACCTAAATCAGTGGATGCTAGCATTTTGGTCCAAATCCGAAAAAGAAAAATAGAATTTGAAACTTTATTTCTTGTAATTATTTTTCAGCCAGGTTCTTAAATCAAGGATCAACTGATTTAAAATGACCAAGATATGTTCACAGCGCCAGACACCAGACATGGATGTCACCATAACAATTAACAACCTCAAGCATGCTAACCTTATAGACCCCTCAGTTTGAAATTTGTTTTGCTGGAGAACCCTGTTCATGCATACCAAGCTAAATCCCATATTGATATTAGCATATTTAACCCTTATTTTTATTAAAATCTTGTTAATCGGTACTCTTAGAGCATTAGTTAAAGAATTGAAAATGGTATATTTTTATTAAAAATTAATTTAGACTATGTTAAAAATTATGAGAAGAGAAAAATATATTTATTGTATTTTCAGACCAAAGATTTTCACTTTTAATTTCTTAATCACTACTTAAAGGCCCTAGTTAACATATGCCTTATCATTATTATTCTTCAAATGGTTTCTACTAATTTCTTAAACCAATCGATGGCTGAAAATACATGTGTAGCTGTAAGAGGGGAATTGGGTCTCAACAATTATTTGATTAGTATGTGAACGTATAGAAGGAAATGTGTGTGGCTATATGGTACACCTTAAAACAAGGCATTCATGCACATATGTTCATGTGGCACTCAAAGGATGACGAACTGTAGTAATGAAGCATGCACTACATCTATTACTCATACATGTCCAAAGTAAATAAAAGATGAAACGTTACATTATTTCATCAATTGAATTCGAGTACAAAGAAGAAGATAATGTGTCATCATTTCATGTTTCCAAGCTCCACAGACAGGAACCCGAATCTACTTGCAAAAAATAATTCAATGTAAACTGAATAAACTCGACCAATGATTTACAAGAATGGATATTATAATTTATGGCAATAAACTGGTTCTGTTCTATATAAGAACTTGCTTTTTTCTGGCAATGCTTTTTCCCTTTGCAGATCCCAATGGTGCATTTGCAATGTAAGAAGAGCAGAAGAAAATTATTGAAAGAATGATGCTTCAGCAATCTATCACTTGAAAACCAAATTATGGCAGGTTTTGTCACAGGGGTAAGGGCAACCAATTGCTTGGACACTGACTCGGTCAAAAAACCAGTTCCCCACAGACTCTGCAATGCCCTGCTTGTATTTTTGACAATCATAAGAAGGGTGAGATGGAAAACTATAACTACAAGGAATATACTAGAAAACTGAAAAATAATTAGAAACCTTATACAATGAGTTTTGTCCCTTAGTGGATTGATTTGAACAAGGAAACATTTCAATTTTTCCTTCAAATAGTTAAGCTTTCAAGTAGTAAGGAATATAACTATTAAGATTTGACTTCTATAAAGTGAGGGGCATACTTTAAAAGGTAAGTTGCAGAGTTAGAATCATGGATAAAATCACCAATGATTGGAATTGTGATAAAATATGTTCACTGTATAACAGATAATGGAAAATTTCGATCGACCTCGTTGTTTTCTAATCAAAAGCTATAACTTTGTACTTCCCTCACTTCAAAAATAAGTTTCAAATAATCACTCCAATGAACAAACTCTAGAGTAAGTCTTCCACCAAATTGATAAAAAGCAACATATTGAGTTATTTACAATGAATGAGTTAGAATAGACGTACTCTATTTCCAATATGAGGAGAATCACGAGCAAACCATGTATCCTGTCTCTCTGATTGGCAATGAGCAAAACATGAATTTATGAATAAGCCGTTTTTCCGAGACCTTGAGAAGCCTCTTGTAGCTCTAAGCATCTGATTTCGAAAACCTGCTTCATCCAAGGTCAACAATATTGCCTCTAATTAGTAACCATACTGAAGAACAACCAACACAACGAAAATGCTACTCAAAACAAAGATAAATAAACAACAATTCTAGAAACTTTTAATTAAATATTACCCTGTAGATATTGTATCTGCGGTGCACTGCAGCGTGCATAATTTTTTCTGCATTCAATCCAGTTCCAACGATAGTCAGCAGATGGTGGAGCAAGACTGGCTTGAATCTGAAAAAAGTGGAAGCATCTTAGTCTTCCAAACCATGCTCTAATCACGATAAGCAACTGGCTGACAAGAGCTTGCTCCAAGACATGGGATAAATTTCATAATGTGACAAACAAAAGATGGAGATTATTGACTTAAGGGAACCATAGGATTTTTATTTTTTGGATCTGGAACAATTGCATCTATTTTACTTTCATTCACAGGCTCTTCCCTGATACAGGTGGAATTAGCAGGATTCATTAATTTTAAAAAGATAATTGTCTTCAAGTTTATGTTGAACCAACTGTTGAAATGGAGAAAGGAACTTACCTGCCAGGTATCATAAGCTGCATTGAGAAGAAACAGTGGTGTCCTAACACTGGCAATTAGGTGCTGAGGGAAATAGCACTGCGAATAAAATACCCAAAAAGTGTAAAAAATGATGAGATGCCTCACATTGGAAAAGGAGGAAACAATAATATTAACAATATTAGCATTCTATATCTCCTCCCAGGTGACAGAATTAGAATTTGATTATACTAGTTGTGTAATTTTACAATCTTGAAAGACAGGAATAGTAGTTACCAGAATTGGATTGAGGCGACTGGTACAACTCCTTGGAAGGCTCTTTTGCACTCCCTGCCATGCAAACATGCATCTATTATTTTTTGTTCCTGTTATACATATATCTCTTGCAATTATTCAAGCAATCAGAAGTTACAGAAAGCATCCAACCAGAAAATTGAAATAAATTTCCACAATATGATGACTGAGGTCAAACCTACCAATATAGTTATCCAATTACAAGGCACTATTATTATTATTACATTTGAGCAGAACTAAAGGTTCAAATTGACCAGTCAGTCTGAATTCACATAGAATCATGATATTATTGTTGATTGTTCTTGCTCAAAAATAAAGAACCAGATTTCTGATTTAGTGGGGATTTGTGTACGGGCTGCAAATATTGTTGTCTCTCTTACTATCAATGCAAAATTATTAAGTAAATCAAAGATGTTTTCCAACATACAAGTAAATTTGAAACAGCTCACTGTAATCTATGACTATCTGTGATTCAGGCCTGAGGCAAACGATTATTTAAGTCTAGTATATGACATTTTGTTTTCTGCTATTAACTGATCCACACTATTTTATTTTTACAATACCTATATGAAATAGAAACAGAGGGCAGTAACAAGCAATTTTTAAATGAGAATAAACCTGTAAGCTAACCACACTTCCAAACAAATTCCTTAAACTGCGACGGCCAGATACATCAACACTGCAATAATGCAATTCCAGAAAATTATTTTGTCACCACAAGTATATGGACTAATCAGAACTAAGATCTATTATCAGATGAAGATCCAAGAAATAATAGATTAGAATTGAAAGTTTGTTGGATGAAGCTTACGTATCAAGGAATAATCCAGCATCACTTAAGCACTTTACTCTTGTGGTTCCAGGAAACAATTCTCGAAATTCATCACAATGTATAATAGAAGCTAAACCTCCAGCAGAACATCCAGATAGAAGAGCCTGGAAAAGAAAAACATAAATGATATCAAACAGAAATCAGCCAACCAAGCTATTTTCTACTGAAATTACCAGTGATAAACCTGTCTGGCATAGCGCATCCCTTTTGACATTAAATCTTCCATGGCAGCTTGCCATATGCGTTGCCCTCTGAAATACAACCCTGCTGCCTATGAAGCAAAGATGAATTGAATATTAATTTAATCACATTCACAACTAACCCAATTCAACTATGAACAGATTAAACTTTGAGAATAAACACTTGAATAAAGAAGTTGTCTTGATCTGATTAAGTTTAAAATTACATCAAACAAATTGATAATTTGATACAAGTGTTGAAATAAAAGAACAAGTTGAATAAATATACTCAGGTTAAAATTGAAAAAAAAAGAAAAAGGAATAGCATACAATAAGGGATAACTAGTAAAATAAATACGATAAGAGAAGAGGAAAATGAAAGAACAACTTTAACTTCACTCAATGACAACATTTTTATTTTTTTTGGCAGGAATGCTATGAGCAAAAAATTTACTGAGCAGAATGTATGACTTTTTGAAGAGGTTAATGTTGAAAAAGAGCTTGCATCCCCCTCTTACCGCATTTTGACTGTTGCCACTAAATGATGCACCGTCACAATAACGGATTTTTATTCTATTCCAATTGAAAAAATCTGAAAATATAATCATCCAAAAAAAGATGAAGTTAATCTCTATTTAAAAATGAAACATAAGTAAGTAAGCATGCACAGATGTAAACTTGTGTCCAATGTGCATATTTGTTTAATAGGATAAAAAAAGAAATAACGATGTTGAGTTTGAAAGTTATAACCTGGATTTTCCTCAGCTTTGTTGCTCAATATCCCAATAAATGGTATTTGTTTTTCCATAAATAATGATGAACCATGACGTGTTTTTTTACTGTATATACAATTTCTGACAGTTCCACACCAGCCTCCTCCCTGTCACCAAAAGTTTTAAGTGAAATTATTGTGGATAAACAGATCTACAGGATATTACAAGAAAGTCAGAAATTCACTGCCTAGGGCTATACTCTCCTATTTTTCACTTTTTGGAAGTGTTTTCGATACAGCATGCCCATTTAGTCAATATGGGAATGATATATGCCTTTTAATTTCCCAATTTTTAAAATTAATACACAACTTATACCAAATTTGCTCAACATTAAACATAAACCAAAACTTGGAGCAGCACAGTAAATGATAAGGCTACCATTACCAAAGTTTCATGTCCTACAGCAAGGAGTAAACTGAAGAAGCTTCTTACACTATATAATAAGATTATAAAAGTTCCAGGACATGACTAAGGAAAGAGAATGAAAATGAAGTCATGACTGCTATGATATGAGGTCTCACATTGACATCATATTGTGTGCCACCAATAGTAGTCCCCCATAGAAGTTCAATAAAATACAAAGACTTATAATTGATTATCATCACAGCCTAATGCTAAATCCTGTAACTCCACATGCTATATGAAAGAATTTTATCGGTTTTTGAACAAGTTGTAGATTAGAAGGTGTATTGGTTGAAATTTCTCATTCCAACTAAATAAAATGTTAAGATTAATGCCATAATCATATCTAATACATAATACCACCAAGGGTGGATTGTCAATGGGTGCATAATTTGCTTGCATGAATGGATATGGGAAGGATAGGAAAAAAAAAATTCCTTGTCATAAAACCAGACACCACTGATGATTTTGAAATTTCTATACACTGACTCTACTAGAATGTAATTTTAACAGAGCAAGCTGTATTGTTTACCAACTTTACCAACCTAGATTGATGAGTAAAGAAGGGGAATATTGGATGCATCTTGTCATTAACTAGAACCATAACCAGTATAATGGTCCATCATATCATTCCATCAGCAAGTTTTCAATTAAGTTGCACATTAAACATAACAGGAGAAACTGAAGCAGTCCATGAATTTCATTCATTATAACTACATATCAGCTCTCCATATTTCTTAACTCGGGCATCTTTGGCTCTTTCAAGGGATATATCTTTGTAAATTCTCCCATGTTAAGAATGTTAAAATTACGACAAGAGCATCCTTGCATTAATAGATGAAATGGGTGCATATTTTCTGAAGATGAGCTATAGGGCAAAGAAAGCTTCCTTTTGAAGGCCCGTGCCACTATGCCAGAAAGTTGTTGGGATAATTAAATCTGAATTCTGGAACCATGCTTGATATAAATGAAAGACATGAACTGAAAATCTATACTTATATAAGAATTTGTGTCTAGGTGACAATTTCAGATTGCATTAGGATAGCCATTCTAGCCAATCAGAACAAGACCACTCATCACAGCAACTTTGTGAGAAAACAAAAAACTGAAAAGGATGACTGGAGTTTGTAATCTTTGTTGAACTTAGTTCAAAAGTTCAGGATTCTCACATACCTCCAACTGTATGAGCCAACTGTTTGATCCTGAACCGTATCCACGGTGGAAATGGTAACCTGGTAAAGATCCATCCAGGCAAACTGCACAAAAGAACACAAATCACGCTATATGATAATGAGCTATTATCTGATAACTTTTTTTTAATGTGTTTTGCAGCTGTCATCTGCATAATGATTCCAAATTTTGAAAGGGCCCACGTCACAATTAAAGTCAATCACGTATTCCAGAAAAGCTTGATTAGATATCATCATATCATATCTCCAGATCTCAACTAAGGCCAGGAAAAGTAAATAATAGCTGTGTTTCAGAAAGAAAGAATATATTTCTTCATCAGTCTCAATGGTTAGCTCATGGAGGAGTAGAGTAGGCATAATGGCATGAATTAGTATCCACGATGCACAGATAATTTTAGAAGTGTCATTAAAATGAGAAACAGACGTAAAAAATGAACAAAACAACTACTGAAAACCCCCCATTTAATTGATCTAGCAAATATAATAGTGACATTAAAATGAGAGCAAATGACTTAAAGAAACAGCATTTAATTTGAATGTTGACATAAATGCAAAGAAAGAAAAAGAAATGAATACCAACCAGCTCCTTTAGCAGCAGCAGCATTAATAAGAGTAAGACCAACCATCAAAGGTCTGTAGAAACCTCTTCCACTTACATATTGCATGTCTGTGACATTAGCATTGTCGAAACCTTCCACCCATTTCACAATCACCAACCCCATAAACACAACCATCCACACCACCTTCATGCTTCCACCGCTCTTGCTCATATGGCACATTGCCAAATGCAGTTTGGAACAGAAAACAAAACACACACAATGGAACCTAAAAGAGGCGGTTGCCCAGAATCTTGAACTGAAAGAAAGGAAGAGTTGGAGGGAAAGAAGAGAGAAGCAAAGTGATTGGAGAAGAATGAGCAAGTATATTCTTTTGGGGTAAAAAAAAGTTTTTTTTTTTTTTTTCTTTGGAGAGGCTAAGGAAATGGCAAAGTTGAGTGAGGGAATGAGAGGAATAAATGAACAAGTTATCTCCTTTGGTAATAAATAAACATTTAATGCAGCAATAATAGCGGTAACAAAACAGAGATAGGAGAAAGGGCATTAGTATTTGCATTTGATTTGAATAATAATAATAATAATAATAATAATGTAGTATTTAGAATGTAAATGGGAATTACTAACATGGATAAGCATTGAGTGAATGTGAATGTGAATGTGAAATATAGAAGTAGAAGTAATGTGTAATGTTGGCACCGACATGAATGTGAGTAGAGGAAGCTGTACCTCACTCCCATCAGTATCAATCTCTCTTCAATATGGGCCCAGTCATGTGTTGTGCTCTGCAAAAATCCAAATTCTTCTTGTTGCTTAACACTGTTCCTTTGTCTTGGGGCTACGTTTATTTAAATGAGAAACAGAGTAAAAACTATAGTAAATAGTAGGGAAAAAAAGAGATATTAAAATACTAATAAAAATAAATATAAAATTAATTAAATATTAAAATATAAGCATTAAGAGTTTTGTTAATTGTTATTTTTAAGATGTTAGTTAAAAAATTAATAAATAATAATTTTTATTATAAATTATATAAAAAATGTGGAAAATATATATTTTGACCATTTTTTCAATACCTAAGCCCTTATTATTTTTTAAAGATAAAATCAACCTTTAGTACATTGCATTGCACCTCTTGCTCAATGTCTGCTTGCTTCTCCCTCCCTCCCTGTTAACAGGATTATTGTCTTCTCTCACTGCTCACTCTACTTGTCTTAAGATATGTTTCTATATACAGATTATTTAAATATTTATTTGATAAATTTTTAAATAATAATTTATACCATAAAGTTTTAAAAAATTAAAATTGGCTTATAAAAGTTATAAATTATTCTCTATAATTAACCTTAATTTTATCGTTGTTAGTCTTTTACTCTATACAAACATTTTTTTCTTTATTATGAAGATAAAAAAATCTCTAAATTTAAATATTTATAAAATACTTACATTGGTTTCACATTAAAGTGATGAGTGAATTTCACTTGTAACTTGTCAAAGATTCTATCTTATTTCTCTACATCAACTTAAGATTATCACATATTTTTTAAATAAGTACTAATTAAAAATATATATTTATTATTTTAAAATATAAAAAATAACATTTTTATTTAATAGTTTAAACAATTATAGACATAAAGAATACAAATATTGGGATTATTCCTTATTTATTACTAATAGTTGTCATCATAAATTTTCAAAATTTATCAGACATAAAATCATCCATTAATATTTCACAACTTAATAATATAAACAAAGCTGAAAGCATCAGTTTTGACGTGTGGGACAGAATGTCTCCTTGCTCCTAATTTCTTAACCCAAATGCCAAATATATAATTGAAACACACAGTGATTGTGACCTCGTAATGCATACAATAATGTCTTTCCATGTTCTTGTTTGCTTTTGCTTAGTAAATATTAATGACGAGTAACATCAAATAATTAGTGTTATTTCTATTTTTATTTTTTATCCTTTTCGTATTCGTTTCTTTAAAATGTTTTTTTAAGTTGTCTCGCTTATTTTGTAAAAAAGTTATTTGTCTATTAATACCTAAGGCAAGCTAAGGTCATGCAGTAGTAGTACAAAGGGGATATTCTTCTTTATGAACATTCAATAAAAATCATTATGACAAACATTCAATAAAGGGTATGTAAATGCTCTTTAAACAAATAATTAAAAACTCGTTTGTTTTTATTTTTTAAAATTATAAGTTGTTTTATAAAATGAAACTTTAAAGAATGATGCAATAATTCAAGATAAAAAAAAAATCTCATTTTAAATATTTATAAAATACTTACATTTGTTTCACATTAAAGCGATGAGTGGATTTCCTTTGTAATTTGTCAAAGATTTTATCTTATTTATCTGTATCAACCCTTAAGATTAATCAATTTTAACTCTGGAGTCATGTGAATAGCATTAGCCTGACAGCTTCTTTATTATTAATAATTAAGTAATGAATCAATCGGCGGTGAATGCGGTGGAAGAAATTAATTAATTAAGAAAAGGGCTTATGTTTTGCTCATCTGAATTGCATAGCCCAAAAAGTCTCATACATAATAATTTCAACCAATGGCACCCAATATCATATCACTCAATCTTGTTATATTTTATTTTGCCATGTTATCGTATCTAAACCTTTGATATTACAAAATGCATAATGGTTGACAAAAATATTTGCAAAAGGAAAAACAAAGATTCGGGAATCATGACAAAGGACAATAATGAATATGGTCAGTGGGAGCTTTCTTGATGATCTTGATTCAGGTGAATGTTTTGGCATGTGGACACAAAGCTAGTACACACTTTTTCATCATTACAAGGAGGTGCATCTTTGAGGAGCATTCCCCTATCAAATGAAACACCATTTTGGTATTTGTACCATTTTGCACACAAGAGATAGATGAGAAAGTTAAGCATGCTGAGTATGGCCAAGAACCAGTAGAATAGTTCAACATGGTTTTGGTTCAAGTCACGTCCCTCGAGCCACCCCTTCTTGCTCTTGGCAAGTTTACTTGTTACTAAGTTTATGAGCTCAACAAAAGCTGAGCTCAAGTAGTACCCAATGGACAGTGAAAGAAAAGAGAAAGAAGTGGAAAGAGAACGCATGTCTTCAGGAGCTTCTTTGTAGAAAAACTCTAACAATCCCACTAATGTGAACATGTCAGCAACCCCAAAGATTGCATAATGGAAAGAGAGCCAGAAGAGGCTAATTTGGTGATGGTGGTGATCATTGAATTCATGCTTCCTTTTCACCTCTACAACTCCTGCTATGACCATTGAGATTGCTGATAGCACAAGGCCAACCCCAACTCTTTGTAGTTCTGTTATTCCGTTTGGGTGGCCAGTGATTCTCCTCACAAGTGGAACAAAAGCAAATTCATAAACTGGGATTAAAAGGGTCATGAATACCAATGGGATCACTGGGATTGAAGCAGCTGGGATGTTGAAAGTTCCAATGTATGTGTTCATTAAGGTTCCTTGTTGGATAGAGAAGGTTTGTAGTTGGGCTAAACAGGTATTCATGATGATGGTGCTTAGAAGAATAGGCATCATCCTTGTAAGAATCTTCACTTCTTCCACTTGTGTCACTGTGCACACTTTCCATTTCCTTGCTTCTGCGCCTTCAGGTAAAACAGCAGCTTTGTCTAGAACCCTGTTAGTGCAAAAAGTTACATGCATGAAATATGGATTTCTCTTGCTTATGTATAGTAGAAAACTAGAAAATGCCTCATCATATCCAGTAATGATGTATTTCAAATAGTTCACCGTTTAAAGAATTTAATTTAGGATTTAAGGTTGACAAATTATGAGTATCACTCTTCAAGTTAAAAAAATGGATCACAATAGAATGCTTTATCATACAGTGATAGTGTAAAGGATGTGAACTATTGTAAGTTATACTAAGCGATTTGGAAAGTCAAATAACTTAAATATATACACACTATTGATACCTGAAAACAAGGACAACAAAAACACTAGAACTTTAAAAAGACAGTAAAAGAAATCATTAGGAAGCGGTGCTGTAGAAACTCTAACCAGAATTGGTTAGTGTGAGGGATGAGTTTTTTCTTCAAATTAGACTCATGTATTTCGTACAACTCATCAGAATTCTTGGGTACTTTCACCCTCCAATTCTTTACTGTGACCAGCAGCACCTGCAAGAACAATATCAAATGAATCTAGTATGGATTTGAATAGCAATGAAACATGGAGAGGAAAGGAGAGAGAGAGAGAGAGAGAGAGAGAGAAAACCTGTAGAACTCTCAACAATGGACTCTCTCCTGGAACTCGGGTACGATAGAATCTCTTTCCTGAGGCAATGAAAATAAGGCCAGCAGCAGAACATGAGAGAGATATGATAAAACCTTTGTACCATTGGAATTCTGAGCTCACATAAACTACAAAGGTGACTCCTATGCTAGCCCCTATTGTAATACTAAACAAAAACCAATTGAAGAAGCTGGCTAGTTGTACTCTTTCTTTTGGTTTCTTTTCATCAAATTGATCAGCTCCAAGAGCAGGTACACAGCCTCTGATTCCACCACCACCAAGTGCCAGCAAGTATATTGAAGTGTAGAAGAGCAAAGCCTTTGTGCCATGCACACATCTTGGTTTTAAACATGGTTCAGGCTGAAGTTTCTTGTCGTGGGATTGAATCACAAGTAATATGTATCCCTGCAATTCAACAATACCAACATTAAGACAATGATTGAGGAAAAAAATTCTTCTACTTTCATGTGTGTGTTCAACTATCAGTTGTTATTATTTCTTGTATGCTAGTTAAGTTGTTTATACTTTACCAACAACTGAATTATGCCAAAGAGGATGCAAGTGTTGAGGCGATTCATATAGGTATCAGAGATGAACCCTCCAACGATGGTAAGCAAGAAAGCAGTTCCCAACAAGTTTGTTGTGGTGGTTGCAGAGCCAGAGTAGTCAAAATGCATGACCAACATGAAATATAAAACCAAGCTTACCATGTTGGCCACAAAGCCTATGTTATCCAGCAACATCATTGCTGCAGTAAAAATCAGTGAATTTGCCTTGTTAAAAACAGATTATTCCATTTTATTTAAAAATAAAAAAAATAAAAAATGGGAACATAGTTTACCCACCAAAGATGAAATATGTGGCTCTATATCCACCTTGTCTTGGAGTCTTCACTGCTTGGTTCTCAACATCTCTAGCATTAGCCCCATTATTCGAATCCTAAATTTTAAAAAAGCACATTTAAGCATATGATTGAACATCTCAAAATGAATTTAATTTTTAAACAGTGGGAAAGCACATTTAAGCATATGATTGAAAATCTCAAAATGAATTTAATTTTTAAACAGTGGGCGTGCAGAAACATTTTTGAACTATTTGCATGCACCAAAGATGACAGATAGTTAAAGCCAAGCTGATATTTTTTGTGTAAAGTTGGTTTCTTAATTGCTAGTTCAGCTATCCTAGGTAGAAAAAAATTAACCAAGCAATAATATTATCAACCATAAAATTAGGTACTCTTTTATGGCTAAAGTCAAAGACTGCATTTTTGCTTGTAATATGCAGATAGTTACCATTTCCGAGGAAGGCCAAAGCTAGAAAGCAACAACCTCTCTGAAAGAAGATAGAGAAGTTGAAAGGACGGTGTTGCTGGCAATGTAATTCGTAGAAAAGATACACTTTATAATGATCATTGAGTTTCTTGCATGACAAGGATGAAAGGGAAAGAAAGCTAATTAGTTGTTAATGCATTGTTAGAAGTGACGCCTCCAATGACTGACAGTTGGCAAATTATTAAGACAAACCGGCCCCAAAAACTAACAAAAATGTAATAATATAAGAAAGATAATGGGTAACTAGAGATGACAAAAAGGCTATGTTCACTGAATAGAAAACTATTTTAAGTCTATTACCAGCTTACCAAGTTTGAGAATATCGCCTTCTATGTATAACACACAACACCAGATGCTTCAGTGATGTTGACAAAACATAAACCGAAATTGGTCAAGTGACAACGTTAATATCCAAGCTCTCATCTTGGTTGAGGAACACTGAATCTTGTGTAAGTTTAGAAAACGTTACAAAGAACTCGTGTACATAGTTTATAACTCATAAATGTTTCTTAACTTATTCCAGTAAGTTTTATAATTGAAGTTATGTCATATACCTGTGTGATAAGAACTTATTGAATAAACTTATAATTAAACTGCTTATCTAAGTGCATTATTTTTCATGTCTAAACTTTCAAATGAAATAATCCAACAACTTTTTGGATCCCACCACGTTTTTAACAATATAAACATAGCTGTTAGTTTTTTTTTTTATGAAGTCATTTCCTAATTTCCTTAAGTTTTGTGTGCATGCGCGCATATTGTGTATAAGCAAATTCTCTCTTGCTGATGCTGACCTAAAAGCACGTCATTATATCTTCCTGAACTCTTGGAACTGTGATTCTTCTTCCTTCTCCCTGATAACACATAATTTTAGCTTATCGAGGGGTATTTACATCCACACAAAAAATCAGGAGGATACGAGATAGCTCTAGTAAGATACGATCTAATAATGTTGATGACAAGCTAAGACTAGTGTGGAATCAAAAGTTGAATGGTGCCCATAATGCCACAGTGGTACCAATGCTTTCTAGTGTCGTCTTCTTTCTTGGCCGTGGATGAAATTCAAGACATGCTATGGGCAATCTGAAGTGTAACTTGCACCAGACTGATCAAATCAATTAGACAGCGCGAGTTTTACTTGACATCAAATTGGAAAGGATTCAGTGCCTAAATTGTAGTAAAAAAAATAAAATAAATTAAACCAATTGAATGCATTCAGTCTAAGGAAGTCATCAAGTACTCCTATTAACTATCACGAGTAATATTTTCAATTCAAATGAATTTAGCAATTATTACCTCTATTCCTTTTTATATTTTTTTTTTCAGATTTTGCTTGGAGCCTTGTAAAACCTCCTTTAAATTGTAGGCAGCATTAATACTTTCTTTGTAAAAAAATTATTAATTAAATATGATAAATTAAAAAGTTTTGTTGACTTCACTCTTTGTAACTAAGAAAAATAAATAATTGATAATAGTAAAATTTTATTTTAAAAAAATATTTATTATATTTTTATAACTTTAATATAATAACTATATATTTTTTTATAAAAAAATTTTATTTGTGTTTATAGTCTTCTTGACATTCACTTGTACTGGAGTTTTTCTGAAAAGTAAAATATTACCTCTGGTCTTGAACATAGAATCTCTCTTCTTCTTTTTTTAACTATTTCACAATAATTGAAAATTTTAGTTAATTTTCTGAATAGTATTAACTTTTTGAATTATTTATATATATTTTAAAAATTATCCTTAATTTCTTTTCACCTAATTAATTAACATGAATAAGAGAAGTAATTATATTTAGTCATCTTTTTTTATCCTTACAAAAGATAAAAAAATTAATAATTTAAATTTTATTAACCTTAACCCTAGAGCTGAATTTAAGCTACACAAATAAAAAAAAATTATAAAAAAATACATAATTATTGTATTAAAATAATAAAAATATAATAAATACTTTTCTTTCTAATAAAATTTTACTATTATTATCTGCTTATCAAAATCCTATTATTATATATGGCAAATAAAAAAAAATGACTTGGAATTATAAATATTTATATAATATCACAACATCATCGAACAACAAAATTCGCTGCAGCAGGGGCAGAACTACAATTGAAGTCCGTATGCCACCCCCATCCGCTTTTACAGTTTCACTATGTTAAACAGAAAAACTCAAATCACGAGTCATTCTAAAATTTAAAGTAAATCAATGGTATAGCGCTATGGAAACTAAATCCAATGCTAAAAACTTGCTGTAAATTGATCGTAGTATATATATGTTCTTCAGCAACCTCATGATTTCGGTTGTGGATCATCCTTCCCTTGATCAAAATAGTAAATTGAGGCCAAACAAATCAAGACATCTGTAAGAATAAGATTGAACACATCGAAAACAAACTTTGGAGCAAATAATCCCCAAACCTGCAAAAATTAATAAGCATCAAGTAGATTGTACTAACATCAAATAGGCAGAAATGGGAGTGAAAACATTAAAGCAAAAAAATTGTCCATTTACCATCAGGTGACGCCTTTGAATTGTGACACATAATATGGTGAAAGTGGTCATAATTGCAGTTATGATCCCATATGTTGTATACATCTATATAAAACACTGAATAGTCATTGAATTGAACAACCCATGCATAAAAATAATCAAGTGAAATCTACCACAGGTGAAGGAAACTCACTTGAGATAATTGTGTGAAAAGAAAATTCTTTCCAAGATTAGCCTGGCACTTGGTTACCACAAGAAAGGGGAGTCCAAATACTGGAAGGATGATAGAAAAACCAAAGGTATCAATTGCAAGGAGGATTGCTTGGCGAATAAGTAGAAATTCTTCAAACCTGGAAATTAAATAGTGCTTCAATGATTGATTTACCAAGTGAACAGCAATAGTAATAATAGAAAGAGTTAAAAAGAGAACTTTTAAAGGCTAATAACGGATCACTCAGAACAGAAACAAATTAAATATAGGACTGATGATAAGGTTGGCGTTCAAGAGTTCCAACATCTGCCCCACTAGTATCTCAAATATTTGATATATACTCTTCAAAAGTAATGAGCATGCTTATAACTTATTAATTACCCAATAAACGCAGCACCATAGCGGAGACCATCAAAAGCGCACCTAAAATCAAAATTGCAAAAATGATCATAAGACCAAGTGAATATAGGACCAAGAAAGTTGCAAAGTCATACACAACCCATGAAAAAAATTAATCACACTTTGAGTGAATTTAATCCTTCAAATTTTTTTAGTTGATATAATTAGGTCCTTCCATCACTTTCCTTCATATCGCAGACCATTATAAATTCCCATCTATTTGGATAAAAAATAAGATTTAAGGGTTTTAGGTAGAAGAAAATGGATAAAAGGACCAAATTTGTGTAATTGTAAAAGTAGAGGGACTTGATTTGCTTGAAAAGGAAAACTTGGAGGATTAAAAATGTACGAAGTCTAAATTAGATAAACCAAAAGCACAATTTAGCCAAAAAATGACAATTATAACTCAAAAATCTAAAGCATGGAAGTTGTGTCATACCAGTGACCACTGCAGAAAAAGAGACATGTGGCAAAGAGGCTCCATTGCATAATAGAAAAACTTCTGTGAGCAGCATCCTTACTACTTCCTACATTATCCAACTTCACAATACAATAGCCTGGAAGAGAAATTCATAGACGAAAACATATTTATTCACAAAAGAGTATGTAGCTTGGTGCTCATGAAATCGCCTATTAAATGGAAATATCATTGCTAATCTAAAAATAGTAGCCACATGACTGAAGCCATGCAAGATTTGGAGAATCATGCAGCAAGATTGAGCAAGTTTATACAACAAACAACAAAAGACCACAAAAAGAAAGAGCACCTCCAATTATGGATGCAAAAGCTATCATGGGACCCTGTTTTCCTGAAAGAAGAATGATAGTTGAACTCCACGCAGATAACATGGCTATTGTTTTAGTGACTAAATTTGTCTTGCAATCTGAACTGTTGTTCTTCAATAGTTGACCAAATGCCAGTAATAACAACTGTCCCAAAGCAATAGCATAAATGATTCTAGGGATATAATTTCTTTTAATGGTTTCCGGCATCAATGCTACACCAAATCCATCACTGTCAGTGATCCAATACACAATTATTAGCATATAACTAAAGATAGTGCCCACTATGACATACTTCCATGGCCAATCAAAGAAGCTGCCACTGGTGACCTTGTAAAGCCATAATGCCAAAAGAAGCAGAACTAGCACTGGTACAACTTCAGCTGCATATTCCCATACAGGTATACCTGAGGCTATGTTGATGATCCATGAACTGTAGTCTTTCATGAAAGCAGATGTGGCAGCCTGCTTGGATAGCCCAACTTCAATGGCAAATCGGCAAAAGGTGCCCAAAAGAAGGAATCCAAGATTCTGAGAAAAGATACATATATTAAAGAGAGCCATTTAATTAGAATTTCAATAAAAGTTCTATAGGCACACATGCATTAGCATGTTAGAAAGTTCAAATATAATACCTAGTTTATAAACAAGGAGAAAGGAAACTAAATAAAGTTACATACTTCGAGTAGCAGCTTTTCCTTGATGATTGATTGCCGTAATGCCAAAATCCCAGATGTGCTCAAAAGAAAATTTGCTACTTTCCCTTCCTCCACTGACAACAAAGTTCATGTGAAAAACATAATGAGTGAATTTTAAACATTCGGGAAAACCAAAGAGGAATGTATATGAAAACTTCACACTTACAGATATAACTGTTTGAAAGGAAACTGCATGCCCTTATACCCAGTAAAAAGAATGTAAAAGTAGAGGCAGTGATCATCCAAGAATCTTCACGAGATGCTGAAATTACACCATGCTGCTTATTTGCCCTTAAAATGGTATAATATTGAAATATAAGTGATATAAACATGATTACAATGCCTGTTCCCATCATGTTTAAATCAAACTCAGTCCATTTAGACCGAGCTAACTCAGCAACTGTTGTTAGAAAATTGAAGTATGCATCAATTTGCCTCTTAAGTGCAGGCACTAATGTATCACTGTCACTTTGCCTATCAAGCAGAAGCTTTTTGGAGTCAGACCAATGAGACTCTGCTTGAGCATAAACAGTTGCTATTCGGGATAAGTCATCATGAGAAAATCCAACAGCCGATGAAGCTGAATAAGCATCTACATATCTCTTCACCTAAACAAGGAGAAATGCATCATTGAAATGATTATATGATCTCTCTCATGCACACTCTCCTGACTGCTTGTATCAGTTATGGTATTGCATAATTGAACGCCTAAAAATACAAGGTAGTGAACCCCAAGATTGTGTCCAAGAAATATAATGACTCCATTTTGGAAGCATAAAAAACTAGAATCTAACAATGTGAAACTAAATTTACTTACATTGCAAAGTTAAAATATTATTTTTTCATATAAAACACAAAGTGCACTTTTACATATGGGAATCCTCAAATTTTCAAATAAGAAAGATAGTTTGGGTATGTTTAGCTTGGTCTAGAAAATAAAATATTAACACATTATATAGTCTAATGTCTGTCTAGGTGTCTGAGTGGCATTGTGGTGTTAACTATCAAATTCCAGCACAAAATCCATTTTTAAAACTTTAGCATAGTGAACTTAATATAGTAATTTGTTAAGTGAAACAAGAAGAAAAAAGAGAGATTGCTAAGTTTTGAAGCCAAGAAATAGCCCTAAGGAAAGACTGCAGTGAATACCACAGCCAGGATACAGAGGTATCTAATCATTTAAAGTGCACAGCCACAATCAAGGTCTGTTTCACAACATTATAGCCAAAAATATAAATATACAGTAGTAAAAGAATTGTAGAAAGGGTAACTTATAATTGACAATTTAGTACCTGCCAAGAATTTATGCACAGTGCATTAGCGTAATTCTGCAACCAGATATCTGATTCTGATGGCTTTTGAGAGGGATTCAAATTCCAACTACCTGCTCCTAAAGCGTATAGTTCAGGATCAATGTGACCAATGCTGAGGGATGGAAAAAAAAAACTTGTGAGTTCTTACTTAAACATAGTCCCATGAAGAAATTTCTAAAACAATGAATACAACATGATGGCAGGCCATAGGAAAATGCAAACCAGACTTCAAAATAGAAGCTTCCAAATTGAGGAAATGATTCGAGAATAGGATTTGGGTCATTTAGAGGAAATAATGTGACCAATGAACTGGGCTTAACTACACAAATCTGGAGGCAAATATTTAATGTTTTGTTGCACCGTAGATTTACTGGATATGATTGTAGGAATTGCACAGCGGCATGTTAGCAAATATTTAATGTTTTGTTGCACAGTAGATGTACTGGATTTGATTGCAGGAATTGCACGGAGGCATGTACATTTATCATATGTATACCTGGTATTTCTATCTGGACTAAGTAGCTAAACTATATAATGTCCACTGGCAATACTAAACTTTAAATCACTGTTTGGCTCAAAGAAGAGGAAGGGAGGTACAGGACATATTGTCTGTTTTGCAGGGGAGTTAGGAAAAATAAAGTTACTATTATAGTATTATGCCCTTACCATAGACAAATAAAGCCATTAAACTCAAGTTGTCAAGGATAGACATCTTCTTAGAGACTAATGCTCCAAAGTTTTAGCATATATTCATCCATTTTCTTTAGATTTTCCATTTTCCTTTAAATTAGATTTCCCTTCAACTTTCAGAGATTTTCTGTCAAGCGTCCATGCCAAATAACTCTTAAAATTGATATTTTCAAGCAATATCTACCCTATGCCCTTGCAAATTATTAAATCAGAAGTTATGAAACTACATTAACCCTCAGCTCATCCAAAAGAACAGAAATTTAGGGAGAAAAATAGAAATGTCAGTTGAGTCAATACATTACAACTAACTACATAGTTACACTAATATTAAACAAACGTAGACAATAGTAACATAGACAGGATGCTTACACTGCACCTTCCATAAGGGAAAGGTATCCCAAGCAATGCTGACATTGTTACTGCAAAATCAAGCTGTAAAGGATGATAGGGTTAAATACAGTCATGAATATGTCAATTCAAAATGGCATTACAATGGAATAGCTTTCCTAACCTGTTGCACAGAGCTGATGCAAACATTCGTCCCATCCTGATATGTAAGACAAGATATGTAATTTACCCAGGAAAATAAAATAAAATCGAAGAACAAAAATAAAGATCAAACTCAGCATTATGATATCAGGAATCAGTGAAGTAACATGGATCATACTGCCTATGAGTAGAATGAATATTATTCAAGTATGTCTATTAAGTTAGATAAAGTAGGCAACATGGACGAATTTAATGTTGTAGTTTATCAGTGGCCTCACAATAACTTATTTATTCAAATTCTACATTATTTTGTTATTCCAATTTTATAAAATTATTTATGCTTTCCATTTCTTGACCTTTATAGCATAATGCTAGAGGTAGTGAGTATGTCCAAGAGGAAGCAAAAGATTGTTGGAAAGAGATCAGGAACAATCTTGAAGCCACCAGAATGTTTATTTATGTTTAAACTTCACAAGGAGGAGTAAATACCAGATCTAGTTGACAAGAATAAGTATCAAATTCAGGCGGAATGGAAGAGAGAGGCTTGTTAAAACTCATTGCAAAAATGGCAGTTTCCACCTGCATGATGTTGTCACAAACATCCAAAATAAAATTGGATATATATGTGCATGACTGTGTGTGTGTGTGTGTGAATCAAGAAAAACAATGAGAAGACACCATATGTGTTGTACACACCTCTTCAGCACTCCCACCACCATGGTCACCATTTAGGGTTTGTCCATGGTCACCCATTACCACAAGCAAAGTATTTTCATGTAAGCTCCCAGGTCCAGACTGATTTTCCAGCACTTCAATGACTCTCTAAAACAATTTAGGTTAGTTTGTTTATCAACTCGTGGGAAGTAGCAAAAGAGTAAACCAACTAAATTGGATAAAAGCGCGATAACACAATAACCACAAATATATTACAAAACAAGGATTGCAGCTACTAACCTCTAAAATGTTGTTGTATTGCTCCAACTTTTCTATCATCGGAGTGGAGTCAACACCAAATATATGTCCAGCATGATCCTGAACCAAGCAGAATACCATACAGAACATGGTAAAAATTACCATAATGATGTAGAATGCAAATCGGAATAACAGGGTATAGAATGTGGATATTAGGATGATTAGGTGTATAGTACAAAATAATATCAAACATACCACCCCAAGAAAATGTGCAATGAGAACGTCCCAATCTTCTTCATATAGGGATGGAAATAGGTTGTCAATGCATCCATTGTCAACCTAGAAAATAAACAGCATTATGTCATAGTCATTAAATAATGGTCTGGACGAAAAGAGTAAAGCCACCCCTATATATTTAACATACATTGCAAGGACTAAAAGACCATCCAAAAGTGACTTAACATTATATAAGGCCTACCGTATGAAGGTCTTTGACATTAAAAGAAGGGTACGGGTATGATCTTTCAAAATGATGAGGAAACAACTGTGTCCACGTATCATCCCCCATCATAACAACTTTCTTCCCATTTTGAACTAGCTGCACTTGAGTTTCCGAAATTAAAAATAACAGCTCGTTTCAATCCAGAAGAAAACCATCATCTCAAATCATAAACATCGCATCACAATCAAAACCTAGAAAGAAGTCCTGCCTGATTTATAAAGTTATCTTCAACAATTGCAGGTGCACCAAAGCTATTACCAACATCCACGAAAGTTGGAAGCCCACCAGTTGTCAAGCCCTATCGAATCCAAAGGGAACGAAAACAATCAGTTCAAAATACAAAAAACATCAAATCGCCTTTTCATTCGTAACAATCTAGTGACACAGAACGTTACAATTTTAATTATAATTACGACGAGAAGGAAATCGACATGACCTTCAAGCGCTGCAAACTAGTGGTAGGTGGATCAGCAACGGCTTTGAAAATCCTGGCGGAAGATGGTCGCGCAGATGCAACATTTTTCAGTACTCGTAATCTATCCATCCAGGGCTTCGATTCTGTCTCAGAACACATAACAAACTCGTAACAAAGATTAAAAAATCGTTTACCAAGTCAAAATAGGTAAGATAGGTAGATAACCTGGAAAGAAGGTACTGGGAGCAACGAAATCAAACCTGAAAGAGCAAATAACATAAGACGGTAAATTAATCAATGCACATTGACGTATGCATATAGTGCGTAGATTATCATTACCTGAGAGCATCGAGAACGATGAGAACGAGACGGTTAACGGAAGGTTTGGTCCAACAAGATTGATTGTGAGAAGAAGAAGGAGAGAAGCAAGGGGAATCAGAAACGTCCGAACAATGGCTTTCATAAGGAAGTTCGGTTCGAGTGAGGAGAAAACCGGTTGTGAAAAGAAGAATCGCGAGGATGTGAAGAAACAGCGTCGTCCACATCGGCCATATGTATCCCCATTTTCCACTCCCTCTTTCCATCCCTTTCGCCATCAACAACTCCACTCAACTGATCTGTGCTTCCTTTCTTTCTTTCTTTCTTGCTTCAACTCACTGCAACTCAAGCTCAAACCCTGTTTTATGTTTAACTATATTCTATCAAAACTATTTTTAAATTAATTTATTTTTATTTCTTAAAAATTAATTTACAGTGAAAGTATAAAACTATTTGTATAAGTTAATTTATATTTAAAATAATTAATTATTAAAATAGGTTTTATAAGGAGATCTATATCAGGCATGTATAGTTTATCCCTTGCAATTTCTCATGTCATTATATAATTTATTTAAAATTATATTATTTATTTTATATATATATATATATATATTATTGAATTTTTTATTATATATTTTCATATTTTTTATAAGTTTTAATTTTAAATAAAATATAATTTTTATTTATTATAAATAAAAAATATGATATAATATATTAATATAATAATTAAATATTAATAATAATAGAATTAAGAATATTATTATTTTATTTTTAAATTTTAATTATTTAATTTTGATTGTTTCCTTTTTTTTATTTAAAAATTTAACTATATTTTTTTAAATATAACAAATATAATAATTTATTATTTAAATATATATCTACATATTATTAGTTAAAAAAAAATTGTATTCTAAAAATTTTTAAGGATATCACGTAATCTAAAAAAAAAGTATGAATTATTATTTATCTTGTCCAAACACACTAAAATTTATGTAAAATCTTCCCAAAAAAAGATGTGATATGATGTTACAAGACTCACTGCATTCCCATCTCTCAAACTAGAAAGAAGAACTTCACCACAGAGATTAGACAGAAACATTAAAACGTTTTGACAACGTGGTTAACCGTATTACTCGTACGTATGTGGAAGAGCACTCCGGTTATCCTACGTTAATCGAAGCACTCTGGTCTTGTATTTTACGTTGCTAACTAAGTGTTAAACCCTGAAACTACTTAGTTTACCGTACAATAAATTCCACTATCCTACACGAAACTACGCAGTGGTTTCCATGCAAGGCTAAATTGTTCTCTTGCACCATCATAAGTGAAAATTTTTCATACTTGTTACCAACTTGATTAATCATTTATATATCAAAGGCAAGTTATGTTACTCCTCTGTGTTGTAGTTCCGTGCCTGCACTATAACGTAACTCTGTCTCAATAGCCATGCTTTAAGACTCAGTTATCAGGTATCAGTTTTTCTTTTTCAAATTCATCTCTAATCATTATAGAGATGTACACCATGAACTTCAGTAAGCTGAAGGCCTAGAATATAGATTTTTTCATGGTTGTTTATGATTATTAAGCAGCTTTTTCGTTATTGCTTCTGTTGAAGCTGTTATTAACATGTTCAACTTGAACTAGGGGATTTGAAAACATGGGTTTGAAGTATTTGGTGGTTGTGATTTTTCTGTGTGGTTGCTTTGGATCTTTGGCTGTTACAACTTCTGACGATGGGTTAATGAGGGTTGGTCTAAAAAGGAAGAGTTTAGACGTTAACAGTCTTAATTCTGCAAGGATCAAGGGGGTTGTTCATCATTTGAAAACAGATGCAGTGTATCTGAAGAACTATCTTGATGCACAATATTTTGGGGAAATTGGTATTGGGTCACCTCCACAAAGCTTCAAAGTTGTGTTTGACACTGGAAGCTCCAATCTTTGGGTCCCCTCTTCCAAATGCGTCTTGTCTGTAAGTTTTACCCTATGATCTGATACAATTGATCAATATTCCTTCAATTTTAATTTTTCCTAAAACAAGGCATGGCTACCTGCAGATTGCTTGCTATTTTCATTCCAAGTACAGGTCCAAGCTATCTAACACCTATACGAAAATAGGTACCTGTGGATTAGCATCACTTGAAATCTTAAGTTGAAGTTTGGTTTACGTGTACAAAATGTTTGTCTTTGTTATACTTATAATGCTTATGCTCAAAAGTTGCTATTTGGAAAATGTCCAGGAACACCTTGCAAGATCCCTTATGGCCGTGGACACATTCCTGGCTTCTTCAGCCAAGATTATTTAAGAGTTGGTGATATAATCGTCAAAGATCAAGTCAGTATTTTGACTATTTAATTAGTATAGAAATTGATTGAGTTTTATGTGCTTCAAATGTGTTCGTTGCATTTTTTGTTGTACTGATGGCTAGTTACTATCCATCCTCCAGAAATTTGCTGAGATTACAAAGGAAGGACCCTTGGCCTTTTTAGCACTGCATTTTGATGGGATACTTGGACTTGGATTCCAGGATAAGTCAGTGGGACAAGTCACACCAGTGTGGTACCTTTGAACAGAGTTCAAATCTTATTGATCTGTTTCTGTTTATTATTATATATGCTTTGCTATATTTGATCTTTATTTTTCCCTTTCATAATTAATTAGTGAAGTAAGGCACAAATAGTGCTGTGATTGTCTTTGGTGGTAATAGAGTAGAAGAAAAACCAAATTCAGTGATTAGTTCTGTGAATACAGGTACAATATGATAGAACAAGGGCACGTGAGTCAAAAAGTTTTCTCTCTTTGGCTAAACCCAGACCCAATGGCAAAGATAGGGGGTGAGATTGTTTTTGGTGGCATTGACTGGAGGCACTTTAGGGGTGAACACACTTATGTTCCACTTTCTCAAAAGGGTTATTGGCAGGTCTATTATATTTACTTCATTCGTTTCAGTGTAGCCCTTAGCATAAATCATGTCATTATTGACATTTTGTGTTTTTATCTCCAGATTGAGGTGGGAGATATTCTGCTTTCAAACAATTCAACAGGTTCTCTTGCATTTCTGTTCTGATTGATGTTTAATCTGTATGCCATGTATTTCATTGTTTCTTATTCCTAGGAATGAGTTGATGCTAATTGCAAAGTATTGCTAAAGATTCCACAATATCAAGAAGTAACATATTGCTATTTTTCCAGAAAATCCATCCAAATTTCCACAGCCTTTGTATAAATTGAAGGGTTTTTCCTCATCAATTATTGATTTTTCATTAAACCTGTCCTCTTGGTTCATTTTTAAAACCGTCAATATGTTTTTGACTGCCAATTGCACCACTGCGATACTTGGTTCATGTTCACTTCTTGCATTCCATAGACCTGACTTTCAATATAAAATTTAAATTTACAGGGTTATGTGAGGGTGGTTGTGCTGCTATTGTTGACTCGGGGACATCTTTGATTGCTGGACCAACAGTATGATCTCAAGCATTATACTTGTATTTTTTTTTTTGGTTCCCCTTTTGTTTGGTGTCTTTTTTCTTACAAGTTCTTGTTTGTAGAGAATTGTGACTCAAATTAACCATGCCATTGGAGCAGAAGGATATGTGAGTTTTGAATGTAAAAACATCATCCATAATTATGGCGATTCAATATGGGAATATTTAATTTCCGGGGTTTGTTCTTTGTCCCTTTCTTCTTATACTCACAGTGATTAATCAAAGTACAGGAATTTTAACCCCTCTTTACACATCTTATGTTTACAGTTAAGACCAGAAATTGTATGCGTTGACATTGGACTTTGCTCACGTAATCACTCATACGTAGTGAAGTACAAATTTTTTCATTTTCACCTCGTTGATTCTCTTGAGATTTGTTCCTTTGTTTCAGTCTACTTAACAAAAGTCTAACTTTAATCTGCAGTGATGTTATCGAAACAGTGGGTCATAATGAAAGTTGGGGTGAGTCACGAACCAGGGAGAGCCCCTTGTGTACTTTTTGTGACATGATTGTCTTTTGGGTTCAAGTTCAGCTTAAGCAAAGGAATACAAAGGAAAAAATATTGAAATATGTGGATGAGGTAATTGTTGTACAATGGATTACATCTTAGAATTATCCTTTTTTACAATGGATTCCTATTAAGGACTAACAAGCTTTTTCTTTTTCATTGTCCTTCTTTGAAAGCTGTGTGAGAAGCTTCCCAATCCCGTGGGACAAACATTTATAAACTGTAATAATATTGCATCCATGCCACAAATTACATTCACGATTGGGAACAAATCATTTCCTCTTTCTCCAGAACAGGTTTGAGTTTTATTATCAATTTTTGCAGTCCTCACATGACTTATATGTTGTTTTCACTCTAGTGTTTTGATACTAGAAAAATGAGCATGTTGCATGCATAATGTACTTATATCAGCTACCTTGTTCAAGTTGCTTTGCCTCTATCTAATTTTCCTTCAAAGTTTCATTTATTCATTTCCATAAAATGTTTGACAACTAAACACAGCAAAGTTTCCGTTGGTTTTTTGAATTTATATTTGGTTACTATTACAGTTCAAACATTTAATATTCCTTTTTCCTTCTTCTCAGTATATCCTAAGAATTGAAGAAGGTTGCTCTACTGTCTGTTATGGCGGTTTTGTTAGTCTTGATGTGCCACCTCCGCAGGGTCCCCTCTGGTAATGAACAATAATCATATTATTAATATTAATGTCATTCTTAGGTAAATGTGCACTTTACTTTGAGATTTTTTTTTAAAGTGTATGATGGTTACAATACGGTTTTGCAGGGTTCTTGGAGATCTTTTCTTGGGGGCATATCACACAGTGTTTGATTATGGCAATCTTCGTATAGGATTTGCTGAAGCTGCGTAGCCATAGTTTGGTGTGACATTATTAGGCCAAATTGTTTGTAGGAGAATAAATAAACAAATATTTACATGATTTGCATCAACTAAATATCGCAGCCTTTGTAAATGGTGATTGGTAATTTGATATATTTCACGAATAAGATAACAATATCATTTTCCTAACAAGGCCTTGTCTTGGTAATACAAAATTAAAGAAAAAAACAAAACAAATGCACCAGCCGGGAATCGAACCCGGGTCTGTACCGTGACAGGGTACTATTCTACCACTAGACCACTGGTGCCTTTGTACTTTAGATTCATATCTTGTAATTAAAAGTTTAAAAAAATTTAAATTTTTCGATTTTTTATTGCTACAAATTATCTTAGTTATCAAAGGACAAAAATATTAGATGCTTTGTGTACTTTAAAGATAATAAATATATAATTTTTTATTTGATATTTATTTTATAAAATAAAAAAAGATAAATAAGCTAATAATAATAATTCATATTATCAATATTATTTAATAGAAATTCATAAAAAAAATTATAATAAAACATGTTTTATATATACATATCAGGTCAACATTAAGTAGGTTATTTCACTTAATAAATTTTTTATAAATATTAAATACTGTTAATCTAGTGATTAAATTTTTTTAAAAAGTATATAAATAAAAAATTAATTAATAGTTTATTTGAAAATTTTATTTTATCAAATATATATATATGAAAATGATGGATGAACAAATATTTAGCTTGTTTATTTTACTCCTGAAACTTCGTTTTAACACTTTCCAAAGTACTTGGCAAAATGATCTAATTCCTACGAGGTTACGTTCCTTATAACAAACAAGTTTATTATAGCTGACCAGTAAATATGGCATTAATGCATCTATAAATTGTATTTACTGTTTTTAAACTAAGATTCTGAATTCCAAATTTAAAAGTGAATAAAATAACATAACTTATATTATTAAAGTATTTTTTAAACTTATCTGGTTTGAATTTTATTTATTTAAACCTAAATTTAAATTTATTAGTTTAGCAAAATAAATAAAGTTAATTGAATATTTAATAAATTAAATTTAAATAACTTATAAATACATATCTTTTATATATATATATATATATACTGTCACGTAATTGCAATAATAATAATAATAGAGTTTTAAAAGTTAATTTGAATTTAAAAGCTTTAAATTTTAATATGTTTAAATTTTAAAAAATCTGTCTCTTCAATTTCATAAGGTAAAATATTTTTATAAAATTAATAAAAAAATCTTATAATATATATAATTTTGTATTGCAAAAAATTATGTGAGCCGTGCTTTGACGGTAAAGGACTAAAGGAGTGGAGCAGAGAGTAACCTGAACCCGAAGACAGCTCTCGAATTTTCTTTGCACAACGCGAATTCCACCAATAAATCCGTTTCTTGGTGGCCAAGGCTTAAGCCATTCATCCATCAATTAGGGTTTAATCAATTTCGAATATCAATCCCAATTTCAGACATGGATGTGAGAATTGGACGAAGGGTTTCTCGTGGAATGCTCCCCCTGCTAGCTCTTCACACCTTCAGCGAGTATTACCGCTCGGAGAGAAAGCCCCCCGTCACCGCCGCCCTCATCGCCGCCAACACCCTCATCTATCTCAGACCCTCCTTCATGGATCCCCTCATTCCTTCCATCGACGAAGTTTGGTTCAATCCTCACCTCATCCTCAGGGTTTGTTTTCCATTCATTCACTTCATTTCCACTATTCTCGTTTTATGTATTCCAATTTGAGGGTTTCAATTTGCTTCTTGTTTCTTCTCACAGAACAAAGACTTGAAACGCTTCTTCTTATCCGCGTTTTACCACATCGGAGAACCTCATCTTGTCTACAACATGTTATCGCTTCTTTGGAAAGGGTTTAATTTGGAAACAGCAATGGGAAGCGCTCAATTTGCTTCCATGGTTGCTTCTTTACTCGCATTGTCTCAGGGAATAACCCTAATGCTATCCAAATCGCTGCTTCTGTTCTTCGATTACGATCGAGCGTATTACAAAGAATACGTCGTTGGGTTTTCCGGTGTTCTTTTTGCGATGAAAGTGGTTCTGAATTCTCAATCGGATAACTACACCTACGTGCATGGAGTGATACTACCATCTCGTTATGCTGCTTGGGCTGAACTGATTCTGATTCAGATGTTTATGCCTGGTGTTTCTTTCATTGGTCACCTTGGTGGGATACTCGCGGGTCTTCTATATCTGAGGCTGAGGGGGTCTTATTCAGGCTCTGATCCGTTGACTTTTTTCATGAGAGGTGTTGCTGGTGCGTTGAATTGGCCTTTAAGGTTTCTCCGTCGAGTGTTTCCGTTTCGCCGGGGACGGATCACGGGTAGGGGAACCGTTGGTGGCGATAGAAGAGGGAGGAGTGTTGAGGGTGGTGTATGGAGGTGCCATACTTGCACGTATGATAATTCGGGTTTGTTGAGTGTGTGTGAGATGTGTGGTACGAATAGGGGTGTGAATGGAATGAGTTCTTTTCAGTGGAATCGTGATTCCGGTGATCTTCCTTTGGATGAACTGCGTCGAAGGAGACTTGATAGATTTGGAGGTAGGTGATGATTGTTGATGATCTTGTAAATAATACAGATATGAAAATTTCCAACATGTTACATTTTTTTGGGACAAAAGTTTGTTGTAGAGTTATTGACAATTTGTTCCCTGTGTTATCTAGCTGATGTTACAGCTAGTTATATCAATTTAAACAGTTACATTGCATATTGTTTCGGCATTTTTTTAACCATAGTTATACCCGATATCATATTGTTTTTGTTAGTATTGCCATTGTAATTCTAAAAAAAAGTACATTTCTATTTGGTCCATAAAGAAAAGTTCGGTATAAATAAAAGAAAACAAGGACCTGAAGACAAGACAGAATTGCCCGCCATTTACTGTACAGCTTCACGATGTTTTTATGATATACTAATTGGAAAAGCCTGGAGTGTGCTGATGGTTCTCGCTGTAATTTACTGTTATTACGACTAGTTGTCATTGATTGAAATTTCATAGATTTTGTTTCTTGGCTTCATTAGCTTTACTCTGGTCCCTGATTAATAATTGGAATGCTGGTTTTGCTTTTTAATGTTTTCTGTCGATTCTTTTGTGAAATATGTTGATTGGCCGCGACCAATTTTCTCTTAATTGCATTTTTTATAGTGCTCAGTGTTTTGTTTTAGTCGGGTTGATCGGTGATGGTGATCTATCTTTCCATTAGGAGGAAGTTCGTATCGAAGCTTCCTAGCTCAAGAATATCTTAGCTACTGGAAATGAGGATCCTTTGTAAACTAATCTAACCATAATATTGGGAGCATCAGCTGGAAAAGTTTCATAATATTCCTTTAATTTGTTTAAGACTCGGCTTTCTACTAGTTCATCCGGAAGTGTAAGTTGTGATTGTACTCAGCAATAAAATTTATAATAAACAATGCACCAAAACAAATCATCTAAGAACCAAAAGGCTAAAGAAACTGGAAAAGGCTCGTTATTATCGTTATAGTCATAGACTACATAGTCTATGGATTGATGTTCAACATTCAATTTCTGGAAATCATTCAGCTTGGCCAATGGTATATGAATTCCCAGTAACCTGTTTGTCTATTTAAGCCATAAATGCCCTCAGCCGATACTAACCATGAACATCCAGCAGCACCGCATCGTACCATGTCCCTGGCAAACGAATACGCATCAAAATGGTACCCCTCAACTTTTTCCCATCCCAAATCACAGAAAAATAGTGTGGTTCCAGTAACGTTGTCAGAGAAGTCCCAGCCAAACTCATCCCCATCTGCTATGATGTGCTTTCCTAGATCATTATCTTTGGATTGGCAATGCAGGGTCATGTTCTTCCCAGATCCTAGTGTGTTTTTTATGCTTACATGTTTGGTGCCGGCAACAATAGGGGTGCACAATCCCAGTATCACCACAAGCAGGGTCATGAGATGAGTTTTCTTAGCTAAACCTCCCTTATGTGCTTCCATTTTCTTCTGTTTCAACTATCAACAGGAGTTGAACTTCGAGGCCAAAACATATACACTTGAACATGAAGAATAAATGTTGTTCCAGTATATGTAGAAATTGCTACCTGACAAGGTCCTGGCATTGGTTTTGCAGCATAGATTTGTATTAATATATGATCGATACCTCGAGGAAAGATGCATTAATTTAATCGGGTTTTTTCACCATTTTATCTAAAGATATAGAATAATAACTTATATATAGTAAATTTTTATAATAATTATAAGTTTTAATGCATAAAAAATTACACTAATATTAAATTGAATACTTTTTAATAAAATTTTATTATTTACTAATTTTTTATTTTCTATCCTTTGCGTATTAAAAAATCGTAATTTAATTCGATGCATATTTTTTTTTTTCAAAAGGTAAACCTTTTATAGCTGTCACCAGGTATTCAGACTAATTTTAAATATTGTTTCGAATATGAAGTTTTATTTTATAAATATTTTTTAAGAATTTGAATTTCCATCTTTTTCCGTAAGAATTTGAATTTTATATATATTTTATAAATAGTTTTACTCTGGCCCGTATTTATGATTGGAATGTTGATTTTTACTATTTAATATAATTGTATTGATTGAAACTTCAATTTGAGATAAATGCTTAAATTGAGAAAACTTTACATTTATTGATCTTCAGTTATTAGTTTGTTTAAATATTAAATAAAATAATTTAGAAATATAAAGTAAGTTTAAAAAGTTATTAAATTTTTTTATTATAAATAGTATTTTAAACATCACACACATATATATATATATTAACTTTCAGCGTAATTAACAAAATATATAAAAAAATAATATCAATATAGTTCATTAAACACTAATTTAAACTAAACTTTAAACTACTTAAAAATGAGAAATACTAACTCTTTTGATGATGTAAATTATAATTAATTTACATAATAAATACATCATTTATATACTTATAGTTAACAAAGTCTTTAAATATAATCTCAGGAATTTTAAAATTAATCTTTTATCAACTGAGCAAGTTATCGCCCAATTATATTTCAGCTAAAGGACTATTTCTATCAGTTATTTTTAAAAGTTTTTTTAAATGTATATATTTAATTTTTTATTTTAAATTTTTTTATAAATATCAGCAAAAATTATTTTGTACGTATATTTAATTTAATATCAACAAAAATTAAATTTTTGAATAAATTAATTAATAAAAAGATAAAAAAAATTATTTAATACTTACATAAATGATATTATCTCTGATCTTTTTTATAAAAAATAAATGATTAAATTTTTAAGAGTAAGAAAAGTAACGAAGTTACTTATATTTTTTATAAATATAAATTTTATTTTAAAAATATTTATGATATTAAATATTGTAATTAGTAATTTGTATAATTAATAATATTAATAAAAGAAGCGTAGATATTAAATAATATTTCATATTTTTCCTCTGGTTTCGATCAGTTATTATTACAGTGGTGTTCAACATTGAATTTATGGTATATGAATTCCCAGAAACCTGTTTGATGATTTAAACCATAAATGCCCACAGCGGATACTAACGATGAACACTCAGAATCACCACATCGAGAGAAGTGCCATCTCCTATGTTGTGCTTTCCCAGATCGTCATCTTTGGATTGGCAATGCAGGATCATGTTCTTCCCAGATCCTAGCTTGTTCTTGTTCTTGTTCTTGTTCTTCATGCTTACATGTTTCTTCCCTGCAACAATATGGGTGCACAATCCTACTGTCACCACCACGCTTGTCGGATCACTTATCGTAGCTGAACCCTTATCAACCATTTTCTTCTGTTTCAACTTTCAACAGGATTTCCAAAACATAAACACTCCAACATGAATAATAATTCTCCTTCTATATAACTACAAAATTGCTACCTCACAAGCTTCTTGGGTTGGCACAGAATAATAATTTTTAAAAACATAAAAAATAACATTAGATATTTTAAAAACAAAATTTTCATATTTCAAAGGCTTAATTTCATAAAATTTAATTAAAAAATACTGATAATGTTAAAATATTTTATACTATCATCCACTCATAAATCATCATCAATAAAACTATTAGCAAAATAATATTTAAGTATAATATAACTAAAATTAATCATTTTGAATTTATAGTCCTTGTTATCTAAATTATAATTTCTAACCTCATCTCATGTCATACAGCTATGATTTGAACATAAAAGGAAGAAAAAAAATATCAAATTAAACAATTAATTTTATTTTTCAAAAGTTCAGACTTAAAAAAAAAGTGAAACTTTAACGTGAATTTTTACAAAGTAATTAATTTCAGATTTTTAAAAAGAAAGGAAAATAAATAACGTAATCGTCTACAATAAAATCGCGTATCTTGATAGAAAAGGAGATATAATTAAAAATATATATTTTATCTAATGTAATAAATGTTTTGTTTTTTAATGCAAAATTTCTATATTTATATATTTAAACTTAGCTGTAAAAATTGAGATTAATAAAATTAATAAATGATTTATGATAAATTTTAGAATTCTTAAATATTGAACCTCAATAAAAAGAAACTGATATTAACAAGAATGTTATTTAAACAGCAAGACGTAAGCTGTAAGTGCATAAAATGGATGTCTCACAATGCACTTCACTCTTTTCTTTTCACTCTGAAAAAAGATTAAGTTATTATTCAGTAAATTTTTAAAAAATTTCTTATTTGAAAAATAGAATAAATAATGATTTTTTTATAAATTAAATAGAATTTTAATTTTCATATTTTAGAAAAAATAAACAAAAAAGTTTCTAAGAAAATAAAAAAATGAAATTATAGCTAATTTATAAAATATTTTTGTTAATTGATATTAATAAAATTAATTTAACATCAAACTTTTAGTAAATGATATTATTTTTAGTGATACGTTATTAAAATCTTAACCCCAAATACTTTCTTATATATAAAAAAAAGTACCTTACTTTAAATATCCAATGAAAAAATATTTATCACATATGTAATTTAAAAAATAATAAAAAAGTTGAGAGATAAATATTTGTTTATAATAAAATAACAAAAAATTATCAGCATGAGACAAAATCAGAAAAGTAAGAAAGATGTCCGTAGAAGTATATAATTCCCATTTGCATAAAATGAAAACTTATAACATGTAATAATAATAATAAATAAAAAATAGGCTAATTAAGATGGCCAAGAGAATTTTGTTAAAATAATAATAAAAATAAATAGGGGTTAGCCCTGGAAAAAAATTTAGTAATGCAAGTTAAATTTATAACCAATGTTAAATTAGTTTTAAAAAATTAATTTTATATTAAACTAATTTTTTTATTCATTATATTTTTATAATTGGTTTAAAATTTTTAATCTACTTTCTAAATTTTATTATTATTTTTTATCTAAATCCAGATTGTGCATGAAGATATTACTTCATATTCTAACTTGTTAGATCTTCATGGTATATTTTACTTGTGATATTTTTTTTTACATTTTACAAAAAATTACAACTAATATTTCACAAAATTTTTTCATGACTACATTTTATAACTAATATTTTTTTCTTAACGTTAATTCTTATAATTAATATTAAATATTTAAAGTAATATTTTAAAATATAATTATTATATTAAAGATATAAAAATATAATAAATAATTACTGTTATCATTTTTATATTTAAATTATGTTTTTAATTTAAAAAAATATTATAACAATATTTTCATCATTATTTAATATTAATATTTTTTTTATAAGTTTTAATTGAAATTTTTATTATCAAATCTATTTAATGAAAATAAATTTTAAAAATAATATATTTTATAATATAATTAATAAAATATTTTTAAAATACACAAATTTAATGCAATAGTGCAGTATGATAAAGTAATTTTATATTAAAAATTAAATTTACAAATATATTAAAAATTAATTTTATCTTAAAAATTAAATTTAAAACTAATTTAAGATAAAATTAGATTCAAAACTAACTTAACATGCACCGCTGGATTTGGTTTCAACTAAAATCAGATTTTAAACTGATTTTAAATTAAATCTAAAATTTAAAATTAATTTGAAATCTAATTTATATAATTAATTTTGTGCTGTGGATAAATGATGCAAAATAAAAAATATAAATTTAATTTTAATACAATGTGAATGTAAAAAAATTATATTATTAATTTACTAAAATATATGTAGATATAATTTTATATTAATTATTATGAAATTTATTTTTTAATATAATAATTCAATAATAGTATAAAAATATTTATAATATATTTTAGTGGATTTAAAATTGGTTTTAAACTAAATTAAAATTTTAAAATAAATTTAGTTTGATTGAGTGTAATCCAATCCATATCTACCCTAGTTAGTTAGTGGTGGAAGAAGACATAGGGAGAAGCTTAGATGGTTGGCAGGAGAGTAAATAACAGAGTTGTTATAGAATCGCTAATCCTTTGTATATGTATAGTTAGATTTTGCATGTCCACAGAAATATTGGAAGAACTAAATGTGTTAAAATTGTCAGGATCTGGTCCTCTCCTCAATCTTCCTAACAAATTAACTTGTGCAGAAAAGAGTTTCCCACAGAAAAGAAACGACACCACCCTGGTTTGAGCTACGCTTGCCACAAATCGGCTCAAAAGTGCTATATATAGAACTAAACACAAGCGTGCTCAAATTTGCATTTTCAACATCACATAGCTATAACACGAGTCGTTTCACACTTGAATCTTGTGAAACTTCATCTAGTTGTTCTTATCTGTCACCCTCTATAATTAAACACCTTTTACTTACTTTATTTTTCGTGACTCTTTTCTTGTCAGAACTCAAAATCAATAAAGTATTGATTCTTTTTGCTGCCCATGAATCTTGGTTTTGTTTTTGTTTGAGACAAAAGCACGATGGCTACTCCCAACGCGACATGTCCAGCACCCATGAAGCCCACGTCCAATGGGGCATTCCAACATGAGAACCCCCTTGATTATGCTCTTCCCCTGTTAATCCTTCAGATATGTCTGGTGGTCGCTTTTACTAGATTTCTTGCGTTCCTCTGCAGACCCCTCAGGCAACCCAGAGTCATTGCTGAGATCATCGTAAGTTTCTTTATTTCCATTGTTAAAAATTTATTTTTTTCAATTAATCTTCATAGAAATAAGTGCCTTTGATCGTTGGAAAATGTGCTCCCAATTGATCAATTTGTGTCTCTGGAGGTGACATTTTTAGATCTTCCCTTTGTATTATTTAACATGCATTTTTTGTACGCATGTATATGAAAAAATATTTGAGAAATAAGAATAATGATTTATAATATTATTATTGGTATCATTCTCAGTGACTCGAATAATAAAATTTTATTGAATAATTTTTTTCATGAACCTCGTTTTGAAGTAGTGGAGCTAGAAGGAAAATAGAAAAGTAAAATAATGAGGTTAAAATACTAGAGGTGAATGGTTATTGCTGTCAATCATATTATTTTAATGTGGAGAACGAAATCATGTTTTTTTATTCTTGTTCCGTGGACAAAATTAAAAATGCAGGGAGGAATACTACTTGGACCATCTGCACTTGGACGAAATGAGAAATTTCTCAACACGGTTTTCCCAAAGAAAAGTTTAACTGTACTTGAGACACTAGCCAACATTGGCCTTTTGTTCTTCTTGTTTCTGGTGGGTCTTGAGCTTGACATGCGTTCCATCAAGCGTACTGGTCATAAGGCCTTAGGAATTGCCATTTGTGGGATCAGTGTACCTTTTGTTCTTGGCATTGGCACATCTTATGTTCTTCGATCTACCATATCCAAAGGTGCCGAGCCAGTTCCCTTTCTTGTCTTCATGGGTGTTTCTCTCTCAATCACTGCCTTCCCTGTGCTTGCTAGAATCCTTGCTGAGCTTAAACTTCTCACCACTGATGTTGGACGCATAGCAATGTCAGCTGCTGCAGTGAATGATGTTGCAGCTTGGATTCTTCTTGCTCTTGCCATAGCACTTACTGGCTCTAATTCATCCCCACTTGTTCCTCTCTGGGTCTTGCTTTGTGGTGCTTCTTTTGTGGTCTTTGCTGTGTTTGCCATTAGGCCTTTGCTTGCAGCTATGGCTAAGCGTTCACCTGAGGGTGAGCCAGTGAAGGAGATGTATATATGTTTCACATTGACACTGGTATTGGCTTGTAGTTTTGTCACTGACACTATTGGAATCCATGCCCTCTTTGGGGCTTTTGTGATTGGTTTAATTGTGCCTAAAGATGGTTCCTTTTCTGGGGTGTTGATTGAGAAGATAGAAGACCTGGTATCTGGGCTTTTCATGCCACTCTATTTTGTCGCTAGTGGTTTGAAGACAAATGTGGCAACTATTCATGGAGGACTTTCTTGGGCACTACTAGTGCTTGTTATATTCACTGCTTGCTTTGGGAAGATTGTTGGCACAATCGTTGTGTCAATGCTATGCAAAGTGCCTCTTAGAGAAGCCGTGGCACTTGGATTTCTCATGAACACAAAGGGCTTGGTAGAGCTCATTGTTCTCAACATTGGAAAGGATCGCAAGGTACATATACGTATATTTTCTCATAACATAAAACACTGTTTTTTTGTTGCTCACACAACACATTTGCCTTTTCATTTCGTTCTATATTTGTTTATCCACGGTTCTTCTTGTAATGCAGGTGTTGAATGACCAAGCATTTGCCATTTGTGTTCTCATGGCATTATTTACAACCTTCATCACTACCCCAATAGTGATGTTTGTGTATAAACCAGCTCGAAGAGGGGCACCTTACAAGCACAAGACAGTTCAGCGCAAAGATCCTGAAACTGAGCTCAGAATGCTGGCTTGCTTCCACAGCACCCGCAATATTCCCTCGTTGATCAATCTCATAGAGTGTTCCCGTGGAACCCGAAAGAGAGGAAAGCTTTGCATATATGCAATGCACTTGATGGAACTCTCAGAACGATCCTCAGCCATCACAATGGTTCACAAGGCACGCAAGAATGGCATGCCCTTTTGGAACAAGAAACAAGATGACAAAGATCAGATGATCATTGCTTTTCAGGCTTATGGGAAACTTAGCAGTGTCAATGTGCGCCCCATGACAGCCATATCTGCTCTAAACAACATCCATGAAGATGTTTGCACTAGTGCTCATCAAAAACGCGCAGCCATGATTATCCTACCATTCCACAAACACCAGCGTGTTGATGGGTCAATGGAGTCACTTGGACATTCATTCCATGTGATGAATGAGCTTGTGCTGAGCCTTGCTCCTTGCTCAGTGGGAATTTTGGTTGATCGTGGCTTTGGAGGAACAAGCCAAGTCCAAGCCAGTGATGTTTCATATAATGTAGTTGTACCCTTCTTTGGAGGACGTGATGATCGTGAAGCACTTTGTTATGGTATGAGAATGGCTGAACACCCGGGGATTTTGCTCACTGTGGTTAAGTTTGTGCCTCCACTTGGAACATCATTAGCCTTTGGTGCTAAATTAGTTGGGGTGTCATCAAACAAGGACAAGAAGGCAATGGATATGGTTAGTGGCAGTAATCATGATGATAAACAATTGGATGATCAATTGTGGAATGAGTTCTTAAGTGCATGCAGCAACAACCAAGAGTCAATGAAGTATGAGGAAAGGTTGGTGGCAAGCAAAGGAGATATTGAGATAGCATTGAAGGAAATGAATAAGATCAATCTAGTATTGGTTGGTAGAATGCCATCAGTAGCTCCTTTGGTTGCTAAAAGTGATTGTCCAGAGCTTGGACCTGTTGGAAGCTACATGGCTTCTTCAGATTTCTCCACTGTTACATCAGTTTTGGTGATTCAGCAATATAATCCCTCAACTGACATTCATCCCCTAGTGATGGAGGAACATGATTACCCAGATTTGCCAGACACACCAACCAGTTAAATTGTGGGATCAAAAGGAGTTGTTGTCTATTGAGTTATAACCAAGTTGGGTGTTCATGATTGAGCATTTTGGCAAAATTTTTAGAGGTAGTTTGATCAGAGATTTCATAAGAGTACATGTCAATTTAGATGATGATCTTGGAAGCTTTTGCCCTAAGCAGGATTCATTTATTTTAGCCCACTCAGAATACATTAAAACTTTTTAATAAAAAAAATTCCAATCGATGATTCTTTCTGTATTTCGCAATAAGTAGAACGTAGATCTGTATTTTTTTTATATTATACTCATCTGTCAAGAGTTAAATTACACTATCTATATCCTTTGATCTTCTTAACAATATTTACCTATTCTCGCTATTTTTTGTTTGACATCAATCAAATTAATATCGACTACATGTTTATATATGAAAAAAATTGAATTTGATCTTAAATTAAATTAAAATTGATTTTTATTATCAACTTAAAAACCTACAAAGACAAATCAAAGTTTTAAAATTCTTATTATCAATTTAAAAATATTCTTCATAATATTTTTTGAAGTGAAAATTTGTTTTTTTTTTTTTAAATAGCAATTATGTTGATAGAAGTAATTAGAATTTGAGTGAGTTAGGTCAAAATATGTGAAAAGTGATGGGTTTTAACTTATTCGATGGAAAAAATATTTTTTTAAAATATAAGAAAAATAGTGTATACTTTCAATAGTATTATAAGAGAATGTAGTTTATTTATTTTAAGTTCTAACATTGATATTTAGAGAATTAGCATTTTAATGTGTTATTTCAATTAATGAGTCTTTTAGAAAATTCACTAAAATCATATTAAACCACATTAACGCAACAAATATAAGCGTTTATACCAATTTTACGGTTGAATGAGTTTGACTCCAATAAATTTGAACAATAATAACAATCTTCAATTAAAAAGATCACATCCTTTGTTAATCAATTCTCTAATTTAATTACTAGGAATAATCACACAATGCATTTAAGTGAGGGCTTTAAAATGGGCTTGGGCTTGGGCTTGGGCCTAGCATAGGTGGATTAAAAAGTCAGAAGGCAAGGCGTTGAAGAATCTTCTGGAATCAAAGGTAAAACAAAGGAGAACGTCAATGGCAGAAGGAGGTGTGGCTTGTTTGGGTGTTTCAGGTTCAACATTCTCTCTCAGGCCCACAACCATTTCTCGATCCCCCACTCCCACTCCCACCATTTCCTTCTTTCCCTTTCATTCCCCTTCTTTCCGTTACCTCACCCATTCCAACCGACACTTCTACGCCGCCGTTTCTTCCGACTCCAAGGTCACTTCCCTTGACCTAAGTCAAACTGATTTCGACAATTCTGGTGGCGGAGTCGACGGCAACGGCAAAGACTTTGGTGGTGGAGGTGGAGGCGGCGGCGGCGGCGGCGGCGGCGGCGGAGGTGATAATAGCAACAAGGGCGACGAAGGATCGGACGGAGATAAGAGGAAGATGGCTATGTTAATGTCTCAGAAGTTCACCCTAGCTTACGCTGCCCTCGTTGGAGGTGTCTCATTCATTGCAATTTCAGATGTTTTAATTAACATAGTTTAGTCTCTGATATCTGAGTTTCGGTCTCTAGCATCGAAATATTAGATAAATTATAACATTTTATTATATTTATTTTTATAATTTGTATTTTGTGTTAATTTTATACACTGTTCTATAGTTGTCTCATGTCCATGTCGTAATTCATGTCTCGTGTGATCATGTCATATCCATGCTGTCTAGTTGTAGGGTTCTTCCCTATATATTATGTCTAATGGATTGGACCATTATTTTGCCCCTTTTTTCTCGGTGAAATGTGCATAGCAATAACAATGCATTTTTATGGTCATTGGCAGCGGGTGGTGTGATGGGTTATCTGAAGAGCGGGAGCCAGAAATCACTTTTGGCTGGGGGCTTGTCTGCTTCACTGTTGTTTTATGTTTATACTGAGTTACCTGGTAGGCCTGTTTTTGCATCATCCCTGGGCCTTGGTAAGTGACTAGTTTGTCCACATATCTTACTTATTGGTTAAAGCTCATTGTAAAAAGTTCCTATCTTATCTGTTAATGCGTAATTCATAGGATGCGTTTCTTTTGTGCTTTATTTTCATTATGCAAAGGAAGTTTCTTTTGTGTTTTAACAATATCACCATTGTTAAAAATAGTAAACTCACTTATTTTTAGGGAAAAAATGTAGTAGAAGTTGTCTTCATTGTAAAGTAAAAAGATAAAACTTTTGAAGAGGAGAAAATTATCGAAACAAATTATGTGGATTAAGAAGACACATCGTTTGTGTCTATTATTAATTTTATATGGTGTATATTAATTCAAATTGAGATTAACTTAATTTAAGAAGTAGTATTTGAGAGGAAAAACGTTAAAAAAAATGAAATATTTGAAGTAGAAGTCATGTGGTTCAGTAAGTAAGAGAGTGGGTAAGAAACGATCATCACTCGACTCTCAGGTGTGAGGACCTAAATTTAATAGACAAGGTTTGCTGCTTGGTAATACCAGAATTCTGAACTTTCTTTTAAGAATTAGAAAGTAAATTAGTTTCTTTTTCAACTCAACTGGTCGTGGAAGAGTCTATGATGTACTTTTACATAACATAACTATAGGCCCAAATTTTGGTTTCTCGCACAAAGACGTATGCTTTGAAGTTTATGGTCATCCTAAACTATGTTTGATAACACCGACAATTTTAGCACTGAAATCTAGTTCAGAGTTCTTTAAGTTTGGTTCTTGAATTCGTTTTATGAAATATTAATTTTGAAGTGACATGTTTTAAGTTTTTAGTGTTGAGTTTATTAGTTTAGTTTACCTTCCTTCTACATGTTCACATAAACACTTGACTTTGACAACCTTGTGAAGAAGTACATTTGATGTTTTGAGTTAAATTTCGTGTGACTATTTTCTGCTCTCAAGTCTGATTTCGTTTGCCTTATTCCTGACATGTAGGCATATCAGCTGCACTTCTTGGTGTGATGGGTTCTCGTTTCAAGAAATCAGGGAAGGTCTTTCCAGCAGGTGTTGTGTCACTTTTGTCGCTCATAATGACTGGTGGTTACTTGCATGGAATTATGCGTAGTTCGCACTAGATAGAATGTAAATAACGAAGGTGAGATTGTAGGATATCTTGCAAACTTCGTTGAATACTATCTTTCGTTATGAAGCTTGCGTTTGTCCTGGAGATTGAACTAGACATACGGTGGTTATGTTGGTCATACATGTAGGCCTTTGTTGTGAAATAAGACGTTGGATGTTGAATTTGAACTTGCGTTTGGCTACATCATGTGATGTGTAGGCAACTGTTTAAGGGCATTATTGTTATTCATGTCAACCGCTATCATATGCACTTTTTTGTCCCAGTTGCATTCGAAACTCCCCAAGTTCTTAATTTTTCAACGGTTACAAATGGAGTGATAGAGAAAGTAATAAGAGAAACCAGGACCCAAAAAATTAGAATCGGTCCAACTCACTTCTTTTATCTAATTTTTTGGTTTATGTCTTTCCCATTGCATTCTTGCAACCTCTATTACATATGAAATGGATACCATTAATATGCAAAGATAATATTAGAATTTGAATACGGGACCTGTTGAATCGGTAAATCACGAAAGATTTGAAAACCAGTTATGCGTGGCAAGTGGTAAACGTAATTATTATGTTCAATTTGGATAAATTAATGAGAATAACAAATTTGTTGTTAAAATGAATTAAACTTCTTCGGTAAATCAAAATTAATTTGTTTATTTTTTGAATTTTTTTTTTTGTAAATTAAGAAAATAAGTTATTATTAGCGAGAGAAGTTTTTATGTTATTTGTTATATAAGAAGTTTCTTGAAAGTTAGTATGAACTAGAGTTACATGAAAGGAAACGAGCTAGTGGCCGTGAAGTAATTGTTCCAGTTGGAAAGGAATAGAGAAAGAAGCTGATGTTGAAAGGGTCTTAGTGAATATGCTGCTATTCTTGAGGCTAGCCCATTACACAGAAGCCGGCTGCTATTTTTAATTAAAATTTTGACATTTCAGTCGTCGATTTAGTTATCAAGATAAAGAAGATACTTGTCACTAAGAAGAAATATCAATTTTAATCAGAAAATAACAATAATAATACCCACCAATTATATCGTATTTCTTATAAGACTCAAAGATGCAAAGAATTAAAAAGTCAGATAATAACAACGTATTTGAGAAGGCTTTTGTAACTTTACGTGAGGTCTTTATTTAGTTTGAACCATATTTTTCGTTAAATTAAGATTCAAACCAGTTTCTTATTGGTTTTGGACTGATTGAATTCGACCAATTTTTCTAATTGAATGAATCAGATTTAATTTGTATTGTCATGCTTTTGGTCGTCTGAGATTGAATCCGGCGTACTCAAGCTGCAACAGAGAAGGACAACACTCTTGTTTCAATCGTCCATTTCTGAAAATCTAAATGCCAGTAACAATATATCATTTAAGCGCTATGCTAGCCATGGAAGATGCCTTATTATATCTTGAGAAGGGTACATCGTACCCTTCACTATCCATTATTTTAGACAAGTTTTCATCATTAGTTCGTGTTTCTTTCATATGGCCGATGTTTTTCAATTTATTTTGGTGTCAGAAGATATAATTTGTACGGTGAACCAACCGACAATTAGTGGTGTGTGTAATATTTCTTTGATAGAATGGGATTTTTTATTTCATTTTTGTGGTCAACAGATTGAATGGTTGTGTTGTTACAATTTTCCTGATTTTTGTGGGATGTATGGTTTACAAATTTGGTGTACTAAAATCAGGACACGTCCCTTTTAAAGTATATATATTTTTAAATATCCATCGACCACATGAAAATCAAAATTATTTTACTTTATGTTGATCATAAATCAAAAAATATCGTGAGCTAGATTTTTAAGCGATGATGCGAAATTTATCTCATGGAGGCTTTTGAAATACTGAGAAAAAAATATTACTTTCTCTCCTTGGTTTTTAATCTTTTAAATGTTTTTACGTCAAAATAATATATCTAGATATCTTTACATTTTAAATGGCTTTTCTTGCAAGTATTTGCTCACTAATTTCTAATTAGAAACCGCACATTATAGATAAATTTTATCTGAGGTTACGATTTACTTTTATTATTGGGTGATGTTATAATACCCATTTGAAGGATTGTGCCGGATATTAATACTAAATTTATACATTTAAAGATAAAACCTTACCTGAAAAAATCCTATTCAAAATATACAAATGGGGAAGGAAAAACAGCTAGATGTCACAGCACAACAGATAATCAATTCTCCACACATATTAAGGTACAAGATAACAGTTTAAAAGTCAGGTTTTCTGAGCATGATGGACATTTCTACACATTATCAAACACACTAACCAACTTTAAAGTAACACTTCACTTGACACATTCAGGTTTTCTAATTAGGCATAAAGCAAGATCTGAACACAACGAAGTCATATATATTAGTCACTTCGCTTCTATATGAATGCATATGCTATTCCAGACAGTACCATTTTCACACAAAGTAGAACCAACACTAGTTACCCTCAAGAGGCAGCAACACTAGGTTGAAATCCCTCCTGTCAAAGTTCAAAGAAGCAAAATCTGATGTATTGTCAGCACAGAAGTTGCTGTCAGCCACTTTTGTTGGTGAGAAGGCATATGGGGCTTTGCTACCCAACCTTCATTCAAGAAACAAATAGGAACAAAGTCAATAATTGAACAAGTATATATAATAATCAAATACAATATTGGAAATTCTAAACGGATTAGAAGTGCGTTTGAATGCACAACTTATGAAACTTGTAAGTTATTTTTCATAATTCCTTTCACACAGACCCTAGAGACATCATTAAACATGAAAGGTTGCAACCACCTCTTTCTTCGCTTCTCAAGAAACCTTTGGAGTGATTGTCTACGTGCTATTGGAAATTCTGAAGAGATATCAAGCAAAAGCCACAAAAGACATGAGCTATTAGTGCAATCAAGTAACAGACAATCCAATTACTGAATAGTGAATGATAAAGAAGCACTGAGTGCCACACAACAAAGTTGATAATCATCTAAATCTTGTACAAATAACTGAATAGTTACCACCTTGGAGCCTGCAAATGGAACCCTTCTCTGCAGGAAAACAGACGGATTGGGGTGAAGCCAGATTATTAGAGTTTCCTTGTGAAGAAGGGCTAGTGGGAATGAAGGAAGTGAAGGGAACACCACTCTTCATTTCAGCAGACTTCGCAGAGGCACCAGCAATCAACATTATTTCACGCACCTATTAGTAAATAAGAGAATAATTATATGATTTGTATTGTAACTATAACGGGAAATGTGAAGAGCTGGATGGAAAGCACAACTTCTTCAATAAAGAGTTACCTTTTCTGCAGGAATTCCATCATAGGTGCACATATTTCCCTTATAGAAGATGGTAAACTGAGTTGTATTTGGAATCACTGCTTTCTGTCCAGATGTTGGCACTGGCCTGAAGGGGAAGGTTGGAAAAAAGACACAGTATAAAAAATAATGTCCTTAAGTGTGCCAATGATAGAAGTTGTAATTTTTAACTTGATTTTTCAAGAATTATATATGCTTGAGAAACGATAGTTCTCCTATATTTTTATTTACTAGATTGGTAAAGTTTGTATCCAATAATTGATTGTGATGTAGATTCATTTTGATGATGCTCGAAACACCAAAATATGTATCAAGACTTAGGTTGAATAACATGAGTGCAAAAATTTGTTTTTGATTCATGACCTCCTTTATCAAATTTTTAGGCCCTCCCTTGCCCCAGCTTCTTCCTTGGACAAAAGTGGAAGCCCATAAATAAAGTTACATTAGAAGTGCCAATTAAGAGAATTTTTTTTTTATTTTAGAAATCAAAACCACAAACATGGATAAAAAGTCAATCGATGTAACTTAAAGGTGATACATGAAGCCAATGGCCTTGTATCTTAGCGCCTAGCAAGGAAGCACATAATAAAGGGAATCTACAACAAGTATGTGCTCCACGTGGATATGTGGGTACAAGCAGTCTTAGATTAGAAAGGATTAGGAATGAATAGAATGATGACTTCACAAGTGAAAGGACTTATAGAATTACTGTTTGAAGATTTAGGGTGATGATGCATCAAGCCTACAATTAGTTGAATACTCCACTGAAGAAGATTTGCACGAATAGGAAGTATGACCCCAAACTCAGCCCCTTCTTTAGACTCGCTTTCAACCCCGTAGCTAGTGGATTTCTCAGGATCATGATGGACATAATCCCAAAACTCGGTTCCAGTTAAAAGGTTCATGACGCCTGGAACATCATAAATTTAGAAACTTGCGTTTACAAGTTGAGTTCTTTTTTGGTCTGATACAAGTCGAGTTCAACTTCATTCTTTTTACCTTTTCTAATTCATTACCAAATTTAATCTACAACAAAGTCCCTTTTCAGACACATGTGACTTCTATCTCACAGTGTTTCAACAAAAAGCTACTGAATCCAAAAACGGGTTCTCATCTCACACCATGATTATAATTCAATATTCACCATCCTTGGTTTGGCATCCAGAAAAGTTTGAAACTTTCACCTAAACAATGTGTCCCAGTTGGGTAATTGCTCATGGGGAGGGAGGGGGGGAAGACACAAGAAATCAAACATATGTGGAAACAAAACATGGGGTTGAGGGTGTGGGAACATAACATACACAGAAATAGAGTAACATGTGAGTTATAAGTCACACAACCTGGCAGAAGAGAAATGCATCACCAACCCATCATTACTCAAGTTTTTGTCACTCCTTCCATCAACGTTACTATCAGCAGCAGAATCCATAAGAGAAGGAAAAAGTTTCCATCCTTCAGGCTCGGAGTTCACACCAGCCATGGTTGAAAACTGAAACTTGTGTTGTATTGAATGGCTTAAGGTGCAAGAGGGGTGGAATTGAAAAGTTTGTTGCTACTTGTACTTTAAAGCTTTCAAGAGGAAGAGGCGCTCATTGATTCCATTCACTATGGTGGCCCCTTTCTGCTCCAACTAAACCATTTTGTCACGTTCGTTTTTCATAAGAAACATGAGTTTTTTGTGTTTCAATTCCTTTTTTTTAATGTTGACACACACACACACATATATATATATATATATATATATAAAATACAACGCTGTCTTATTCTAATCGAAATCTCCATTTTGGCCTTTGAAACTTTTGTCTATTCATTTGAATAAAACTAAACACAAATACCCTTCAAGTAAAACTATTTTAGGGGAAAAATAAGATATTATACTTGATCATGCTAATGACATGACAATTAACTATTTCTTGAAATTGATTCTGCTTTTTCTTCTCCGATTATCAACGGCTGGACCTTACAGTAAATTTTGTTACATGTGAACGAAATTAAACTAAGAAAACGTAATAAATAAATCAATACTTTTAATCTTTAATGATGAGGTAATACAATAAAAAGTTGATGCGTGACACAACAAATTTCATGTGTTAACTTTTTAACCTACATCATTATTGGCAATGAAAAATATTTGATTATTAAAAAATAAGAACTAAAATTAAAAAAAACTTAGAGATTAAAATTAATTTAAACACAAAATAATATTAGCAATACACTCTTAATTATTGATTAAAAATTATTTAAACTTTACTTTTCTTACTTTTAATTTAATATTTTCTCTTATATATATATTTCAAATATTTTAGTTAATAACAACAACTGTACTAAAGTTTAGGTTTAGAAAATTCAACTTATTTATTCATGTAAACATAAATATAACAATACATTTACTTTTACAATGTAGTTTTTCAATTCTTAACATAAGTTTAAGAATATACAATTTTTTATAATACATAAAATTGAATATATTAATAATATTAAATACCATAATATCTACTAGAAGGTATTATTTATCAATTATTTATCCAGTGTTGTTAAGAGTTAGCAATAGCAGTTCATAAATAATTCAGCTGATAATTGCAAGTTGATTGTGATTATTTTTTAAGTGAGTTTGGTGTTTTGTGTTTTTTTCTGGGTTTCTAAGTGCTGAGTCATTGACAGAGATCGTGGATTCAATACCACCGCATCTTTGTTCCACTCTCGTCACTTCCCATTGTACTATAAAACCATTTTTTTTTTAAGTTGATGCATGCTTGATGAAATAATTAGATACCTAATAAATATACTGTAAAAAATTAAATAAGTAAACGTTTATTTAATTTGAAATGTCAGTGTTCTTCTGTTACAAAAGATAGGAACGTGTTACAAACGTCAACGTCACAGTATTTATTATTTTTAAAAGTAATCAATAAAAAAATACGTGTATTTAAAATATATAAAAATATAAAATTACTATATACCAAAACCAATCACAGGGTTACACCATGATCAACCATAGTCCATATGTCGTTATCTTCTTACTTGGTTAGAACAAAAGCGGTCCCATAAGTTACCAATGAAAACGAGTTTCCTTAATGTGACATTCTCTAAATGGGACCTGAAAAGTTAGCAATACATTTTTCTAAATTAAATTATTATTTTTTAAAATTTATGATTTTTATTATTGAACAATTAATAAAAAGTATTGTTCCAATTTCTAAATAAATTGACTGTGTTAAATAAATATACAAAATAAAAAAAATTATCGTCTATGATAGTTTTATATTTTAAATGAAAAATTCATGTAATTTAACAATACACATTGTGTTAAAATTTTATTTTAAAAAAGGTTTAGTATGATTATTTTATTTTATTTTATTTTGTTTTTGGTAGTAGATTATTTGAATTTTAAAAATATATTGAGCATAAAAACTACCGGGCCTATACGAGGCCCATTTAGAAAAAAGTTTTCTGCGAGGTCCACCAATATTTATCCAAATCCAATTAATTTGATCCAAGCAAATATCATTGTTCATAAAAAAAAAACAAAAAAACAAAGACTTCGATCCAAGATGTTGAGAAGAACAAAACAATGGATCTTTGATGCCAAATCTTGGACTCTTCCCCATTAAAATCAGTTAACGCTACCCATTATTATTTTTGTGTTTTCTTTTAATAAAATATATTTATTGGAAGATCATAACATAATCTTCATAAAGAAATATGCTATAGCAACCTAAACAAAGTGTTACTCTTTCTGGGTGTGGAGAATGAGTTGATTATTCGGGCTCTGTGATTCGATTAGCGGACAGAAAAAAGTTTGATAATTTGGTTCAGAAAGGGAAAGAGAAGATCATGTCAACAGTAGAACCTCCTTCTTTCCAAGAAGCAGCGCGATGCGTTGTTTGCAATTGCAGTTTCAACACCTTCAGGAGAAGGGTACCCTCTAATCATATCACTTATAGATTCCCAATTTCTGAATTCCATTCTCATTCTAACATCTTTTGCACCCATGTAGTCTATAGATGTATAAAACTTGTGTTTTTCCATATGGGGATCTTCTTGAAGACACTTAGATGCTTAATATTCGGTCTTCAAATGGGTCGGTCACTGTTCTTTGGGGGATAACTCCAAAATCGTGAAAATAGCTTTGATTAATTACTTATTTAAGAAGTAATTACAACCATTAGTTTTGAAATTGTCCCGAATTTACACTACTTGCTGCTTCTTATTTAATTTTCCATGAACGAGCCATTTAGATTAAACATTGTAATTGTCAAGGTGTGTGGCATTTAGTTAACCAATCTATATACCGTATGTAAATTCTGCTAGTCTTGCATACATTTTTATCCGTGAAATTCAGTTCACAGTGGAAATCTTTTTCAGTATTGGGAACTAACTATATACTATCTGCTTCTGTGAATCTGTGTGATGTGTACAGCATCACTGTCGATCCTGTGGGAGAACATTGTGCAACGAGCATTCATCAAATCAAATGGTATAATGCTTTACCTTTGGTTTAGAGTGCTGGTAGAAGTGTCATTTTTTTATGAATTTCATAGAACGATGTTTTCCTTTGTAGGCTCTACCGCAATTTGGCATTTACTCAAATGTCCGAGTATGTGCTGACTGTTTCAACAATTCCCGGTAAATTATTTCCACATAAACCACTGTGTAGCATGTTATTATTTTTCCATTGTCATTTGGCTACAAAACAAGATATTTTTTCTGTTCGTGCTGAAAGTTTAATTAAGACAAGCTGAGACGCGTTAGGAACTCCTTTTATCAGTTGTTTAACTAACATTATATGAGTACCTGAAAATTTAATTTTATTCCTCCACCTCATTTGGTGGAGCCTGTGATATATTTAAGCATCAATGTAAGACCAAAGTGTTGAAGAGTTTTTCTAGGTTTTGCTGTATAGGGAACACATTCTTAATTATTGGCTAAAATTTATCTAAAACTATTGAAGTTTGAGAAATAATCATTAAATTAGAAGTGTGAATCATTAAATTAAGTATGAGATGCACGTGCTTTTTGTAATTTTAAAAAAAATTTAGCCAATAATAAGAGTGTATTAGAGAGTGTGTTCCTTGTATTTCTCTTAGATCAATAGCCTAAATGACAGGAAAAGTTTCTTGCTTTTTTTGATAACTTTTAATTCGGTATTGCTGACAGACAATATTGACTCCATTTGCTTATGTTTCTCATTATATTGATCAATTTAGCCTTCCACTACAAGAATTTTTTTTTCCTTTCTTCTAGTAATTATATCCTTATATTCTACACGAGATCTATATTATCTAGGAATCATTTATACAATACTTTTTTTCTTTGGCACAGATCAGGGAAGGATGTACCACAGGCTTCTTCAGATGGAGCAAACAGCGTAACAGATACAATTTCTAAATTAGATATCGAGGAAAAGACTATACCAGCTGCAGAGAATAAGCTTGTACCAGGCGTTAAAGAGTGTAAATGTGGAATGCCTCTTTGCATATGTGAAGCTCCTGCCCCTTCCTCTGATGCACTTCCCCAGCAGGTAATAATTCTTTATTCTCATCAGGTACTTTTTTTTTTTTTCGCAATACACAAACTCATGTTCCTTTTTTTTTTTTCTGTATTTTATCCTTTGGGACAGAAGAAATCCACTCCAGTTATTACAGCTCCATCCAATCCCAAACCTAAGAAGACAGATACTGTTCCAAAAAATAGAAGCTCCGGTTCAACTAGCAAGTTTAGGTAAGGACTGATTAACTAATGTCTGCATTTTCTGGAAATATGTATATTTTGAAACATTTTTGGTACATATTTTTTATATGGCATGAAGTTTCTTTAAGATGTTGTACATTTATAAAATAATTGAGTCTCACTATGTCCAAGCTCATAGACTGGTCATTGCTAATTCATGACTTAAATTCGGTCTTGCATGCTTTATGATATCATTATTTGACAGTTTATAACACAATTTACAGTTCTACATTTAACCTTGGTCATGGAACTAATGGTATCTTAGACAGACCCCAGATTGATTATGAAGCTAATGGAGAGGTAAATGTTTTTTGCTGTCTAGATTGAAACAATTACTTGTGCGCATTGTGCAAAAGGATCTTGGGTGTTAAAAGTCATTTGTTGAATTGATTGTATTGCTCTCAGGGTTTAAGAGAAGCAATAAAAAATGGTGACATTGCTGCTGTCAAGAAACTTCTTAGCAAGGTATGTCCCTTTCAAATGATACTCTTACCTTCATACAATGGTGGAGCTAAAATGTTTTAATTAGGGTGGTCACAAATAAAAGTAGGCTTAAATATGTTTTTAGTTCTTAAAAATATGCCTTTCTTTTTGTTTTATTCTAGAACTATTTTATTTTTTTAGTCATTACATTTAATAAAAATTTTGGTTTTTAGTAATTTTTAGGGACTAAACACAAATGAATAATGACTAATTTTAAAAAAAGTTATACTTATAGGGATCATAGATTTATAGATATATTTAAACTGAAAAATATTATTAAAAAGGTTATGAAATTGGACCAAATACAATTTTATAGTACTTTTTTATTGAACAAAAACCAAAAAAGTTGAGTTTTTATAGAAATTAATCGGAAAATATTTAATTTTTAAAGAGAAGAGAAATCTAAGATAATTGAATCGAACGGTACCCCAACTTATTCTCAAAAAATATTAAATATAATGAAGAGCAATAATCCCCTTCCCCCAAAATAAATAAATATATAAATAACTAGTAGCTCTGCCCCTGCCTTTGACAGTTTATTTTCTTTTGGAAGTAGTATTCATGGATTCTAAAATGTGCAGGGTGTTGATGCAAATTACAGGGACAAACAAGGACTGTCTTTATTACATTTGGTGCTTCTCTCACTCTTCTTCTCGTTTGTGCCTGTGCAAGCGTGAGTGTAAATTTGTTTTCTTATTCATATGGTGGTCACTAATTTTAGTATCCTCTGCAGGCTGCAGTCTTCAATCAAACCGATATAGTTTTCATTCTCATGGATTCGGGGGCAAGCTTGGAGTACAAAAATGCTCAAGGTAATTAATTTTTTTCCCTTCTTAGAATTTGGCCTATTATAATATTGTTTTTCCTGTTGCTCCAGTGCTGTGAAAAGAGAGATCTAAAAAATAATAGTAAGCAGCAAAATTCTTGAATGAAAATCCTAACTGACTGTTTCTTGTTCAGGAGAAACACCTTTAGATTGTGCTCCAGCAACATTGCAATACAAAATGCGAAAGAAGATGGAAGAAGGTGGAGCAATGAACCAAAACATATGAATAATCTATCAATTTTATTTGTAATGATCTTATGCAGTGCCCCAAAGAGAGCTTCAAATTTTACCACTGTCTTAAAGTTCTCTCAGCAGAACAAAAATTTTCTGCTTCTATATATTTGTGAGGGAGCTGGAGTTCAATTCATCTCTTTCTAAAATGGCAGACTGAGTATGCAAACCTATATATGACACATCTTTGTCAGCCAATCCAGTTTGTAAATTTGTTTGGTTATGTCATAAGAGCATTTTTTAGCATGCATCACTCACTATGTTGTTGAGATGAGTTGTCGACAGCATGCGGTAGAAGAAAGTACGTATAGAGTGAATTGAATTCATATCCAAACATTCGTTACACGTTGAGTGACCCTGTAATTGATTCTGAATACAATGATGAAACTGTGATTTTATATTCACACAAACCAAACTGTGATTTTATATTCACTTCCAGCAAAATTGATTCTTCTACTTTGAACAAATAGACCCTGAAAGTGTTACTGCTATTAAAAGTGATTTTTGAATGACGTGGGAAGAAAATTTAGTTTCATGGCTCGATCATTTCTTTTCTCTTCTATTGCAAGCAATGAGTCAGGCTTGACTGTGATCCTTCTTTGTGCTATTTTCCTCCACTTTCCCCTCCACTTACGCGTACCCATTCCTTTTTGTCATGTTCATCGTACTTCTTAACCAAATTGTGGTAATGTGGTAGTGTGCATGGGTTGGATCTGACTAGGATGTCAGGAATCAACACATGCACTAATGGGGGGGGGGGGGTCACCATGACGTTTCGTGATCTTGTGAAAAGGCAAGGTGACATGCAATTGTATGTACCCTTTTATCTTTCCCCCAACAAGTCTCATTATTCTAACAACTATAATATAATCAAATCAACCCCGAAATTGATGGCACCCAATAGTTTGTGAAGCAAGATTTTTGTTAAAAGTTAAAATTACCAATCACATAGTTCAATTACATTAGGGTGCAAACAATGTTTCAAGTGGCTTGCAAGTGGCCTTGCTTTGATTTGCCTCATCAAAATAAGTATTTGATATATACCTAAAAATTGCCTCATCAGTAATAATGAACAGAATCTAAAGATCTGTTATAATACCTGATGATCCAACCGTATTAGCTGTTATGAGCCATTGATCTAAATAATTTATCCACGCGTTAACCCCTCCCTCGCACTGGCCCCTGATATAGACTAATCTAATCACACGCGGAAGAGTCTCAGCGACTAGTCGGTGGCCCTTTATTCCTAATCACAAAAGGACGGTGGATAAACATTTAACAATAATAAAAATAAAATAATATGAAAAAGGAAACCAAGAAAGAACGTAGAAGAGAGTGAAAGTAAAAGCAACGCAAAGAGAAAGAGAAAAAGCAAAACTGTCATCACCACTCCCTTCATTGCCTTTATAAAGAAGCCATAGACTTCCTCTCAACTTCCCCCTTTTCCCTTTCTTCTCCCTCTGTCACTCATCCTTCTTCACACCTTCCAATGGGCTTCTATGTTGAGGAACCTGTCTCAGGTTTGACGATAGGCCAAGCCATATATGAGGTTGCTCTAATCATTGCAATTCTGAGATGGGTCTTGTGCTTGGTTTTCAGAGTGATCAAAGACAGAAGAACACGCTCTCTTCACACCCCACATGAACCCTCTTCTCCTTCTTCTTCTTCATGCATGACAAGGGACAAAGAGAACACTCTCTTGTTAACCACCTTTGGTGAGATTGTGGAAAGACTACCACAAACAGAGGACACGTGTGCAGTTTGCTTGAACCAGCTGAAAATGGAAGATGAAGTTAGAGAACTGATGAACTGTTACCATGTGTTCCACAGAGAGTGCATAGACAAATGGTTGGAACATGATCATGAGAACCACAAATCCACTTGTCCACTGTGCAGAGCCCCTTTGTTGAGTTGTTGTTACATGACATCAGAGAGTTCTAGCTGTGTGCCTCCTCCTCAACCTAGTTGGGCTGTGGAGAGACTTCTCTATCTCTTTGGTGATGATTTGTTGCCTTGTTAGCCCTTTTTTGTATACTGTGAAGATATTTTAGCGTAGGGGATTCATTATTTGTTCAGTTTTTATGGTCATGATCTCAAGCTGAAGTCCTATGTGGCCTTGTTGGTTGCTGCTAGAAAATAAATTGTCACAGACTTGGTTCGAGTTTGTGTGTGTATATACATATATTTTTCACATTTAACTTATATGTTGCCTCTAATCTCTTCAATTCTTCAATTTTTGGCTGTCTGTTTATTGTAGAATGAATAAGGTTTTTCTTTTGTGCTGTTTTCTTTTTCCGTAAGGCAAAAAATTGCATTTAATTAACTGAATAACAGAGAATGTAATAAAAAGTGTGTTGAAGGAGTGTCCTTAGCTAAATATGTCTGTGGCTGAAAATTTAGTAGCGTGAATCTGTTCCGCAGCTCAACAGAGATAGGAATATGATAGGCAACTCCTTTAGTTCTCGCTCTTGGAATAAAGCAAAATATTCATTTCTTCAAGTATTGAGCAAGAGCACAAAATAGTGGCACAAGAAAAGAACAAAACTCAGATAATCATTGACATCTGATTTCAGTACCATTCTAACTTCTATCGCTCCGTTGTTGATGCCTAGAAAATCCACATGTGCATCATACTTTAAGTACAAGAAACTACAGATAAAAGGAAATTGAACAAAATCTGAAATAGCTGCTTAGTATGACAGTGACATCATACTCTAATAAATACTTCATGGGCACCATTCTATTTTTCGACCTTAAATGGTTTTTGTTTACCTAGCTTTAAACAGCATCAGTATCCTGCTTGTGGCCTTTTCCTTTTAACAATGATAACAAAATCTTAAATCCTTTTATTTTAGCCTCTGCTCTTGTTTATGTTTGATTGACGATTTTTAACACATGATTAAGAGTATATCTTAAAAAATGTAAAACTAATTTTTTTATTGCAAATTGTAATATTTAATATTATTAATATATTAAATTATGTGATTTAAATAAAAATTCATTATAAATAATTTTTTTATTGTGGGGACTTAAACATACATTAAAAAAATCATTCAATTATGATTAAGGGTATATTCTGGTGAAGTTATGCTTTCTTAGATGAAAATGTAAGTGCTTGAGAAAAATTCCAATTATAAATCTATTCAACGACAGCTCAGTAGAGATAAGCAAAGAAAATGATGAGCAAGATTCCACCAAATTAGGATTATAAAACTATAAAAGTAGAAATATCAGACAACCACTAAATCATATGGGTTAACAAAAACCCATGCCAATGCCATTCCATAAAAAGGATGTGGTTTTGTTTTAAAGATTGCGTTTACACACTTTAATATTTACGTTACATCAATAATTGAACCATAATCTCAATTCTTATTGAGCTTTCAACTTTTGGTCTCAACGTCAATACCTAAACGCCCTTTCCATTTCTTTGTACGTCATATTCAACTTTTCATTCAATATTTATATGTATGGTTTTAAATAATTAATCAACCGCTTATGTAAGCTTCTCTGTATCTGTAGTGGTATTGTATGGTAGGTGGTCATTTTGATACCTTTGAATTTGAGGGGGGTATTAATATTTTTTATTTAAATCAATAAAACTAGTTATGCATATGTTAAAATCACATCATAAATTAAATAAAATGAATTTTGATGATATTGTAAATTTTATATTTTCAAGAGGATCATATGAGTTGTATTTTCAAAAATTAATATTAAACTGGATCTATTAAGTTGCACGGTAAAATAAATAAAAATTAATGTTAAATCATATTTCAAAATTTTAATAGAGAAAATATTATTATAAAAACATAAGATAAATATATTGTAATGAGAAATAATTAATATATAAAACTACTGAAAGGATGTTCAAACTTAACACGTGTTGCTTAATGAGTCTTAGTTGCCACTTTGCTGTGATTTAGAACAAAAAATAATTAATATACAAAAAGATATATCATTGAGATAAAGTATAAGAATATAAATTTTTATAAATATTTAATTACAAAAGATAAAATATATTTAATAGGAAAAATATTTGAAAGATAAGCAAGAAAATATAGCAAAGCTCTAATAAATTATATCTAAAAAGTTTTCTTTGGTAACATTTCTTTCAAGCTTGACACAAACATGAGATCATTTATAACTACTTCAACTCAGGAAGGTAACATTTAGAAAAAGTGAAGCAAAACTAACAATCCTTATTTTCTATATGCTGGGGGTTATTATATTGGGTTGTCACTAGTTTTATGATGGTGATGTACGTTCTATAAAAAAGCCCAAGAAAGCTGATGAATCCAGCAGGCCCCTTGACCAAAAACCAAACTAAGAAGCCCAATATCTCCGATTCGATTAAGTTTTGAAAGAGATATAATTGGAGCAAGGAAATAAAATAAGAAAAGATGTATTGCACAGTTGCCCCTTTGTCTTCCAAAATTTAGCTATAAGCTATGATCTAAAATCTTGAACTTTAGGAAGCATTGGAAGAGTATTGTTTTGGCAGTGCGTGACCAAAACAGACATAAAAACATTTAAGACACACGCACAGATCTACGCCCTTCTATCGCACCTTTGCTTCTTCCGTTTCTCAGATCTCTTTCTTTTCCCTCCTTCATTTATTCTTCTACGCCATCCAATTCCCCACAACACACGAGGATCTCTTTTCGATTTTGGATGATCTCGATTCACCTGCATTTCGATTCCCAATTCCACACCCTCCGTGATCTGTGGCGGTGCTCAGCGTGCGTCGCCGTTGAATAATTTGTTGCAAATTGAGAGTGAGAGGAAATGGCTGGTGGTGCAGCCGGAGGTTTCGTCACTCGAGCATTCGATTCTATGCTCAAGGAGTGCTCTGGCAAGAAGTATCCTGAACTTCAGAAAGCTGTTCAGAATTATACTGGTCTCAACCCTAGATCCCTATTTCCACTCCTTCCTTCGCTATCTTGTGCTTTTATTTTTTTATTTGTTCTTTTTTTCGGTTTAGGTTAGACAATTATGCTCTGTAATGTGGGATTGGTGGCATTGATCCTTTTAGTTCGTCTAGTTATGATGCTACTTTTAATCTCGTTGATTATTTAGTTACGTTTTATGCTCTAATCGTTCAGATATCACGAAAGAGGCTAACCAGAAAAAGCAGAGTGAGGTTAATCAAGCTGCACCCTTAGCTGAATCTGGGAGGTAAAATGTTTTGAAATGAGATGTGTTTTGAATTTTTGTAATTGAAGGTCTTTTAAGTTTGGTGTTGGCAAATGAATAATGAATGTAGTTATTATCTGGTGGAAGGGAGATCGTGCTTTCTGTTGATGGACCCGGATCCTTGTAATTTTAACATTCAAATTATATTGATTTTTACTAGTGCAAATGAAACCGAAGACGGAGCAGCAACTAGAACAGAAACAGATCAGTCACCCCCTAAGAGTGGAAATATTAATATTGTCTTGGCTAATGCTGGGCAAACACTTGAAGGAGCTGATGCAGAACTTGTTTTAAATCCTCTTCGTCTTGCATTTGAGACTAAGAACTTGAAAATCCTTGAACCTGCTTTAGATTGTCTTCATGTATGTGCATACTTTCTTGCCTCTGTGGAAAAAGCTATTCAACCAGTTGTTATATTTCTTGTTCATACTAAATTTGTGAGAGCTTACAGTTAATTACTGTTAATACAGAAACTTATTGCGTATGACCATCTGGAGGGGGATCCTGGGTTAGAGGGTGGTAAAAATGTCCCATTGTTTACAGACATTCTAAATATGGTTTGCAGTTGTGTTGACAATTCATCACCTGATAGGTATGTAAATTACTACACATATTTTATGCTTACTAGATATATATTTCCTGTTATACCTATTCATTTTTAAGAATCAACATGCAGTACCATTCTCCAAGTGCTGAAGGTACTTCTTACTGCCGTGGCTTCTACAAAATTCAGAGGTGTGTTTATTGTGATAGAAATGAATCCATTCTTTTCTTATGTATGTCTGCTGAAAACATGTCGTGTCACAGTCATAAAATTTGTAATCATGTAATATAAATTTTTATACTAGGTATCTTGCAAATTCTATTGTCTGTGGTAAATCAACAAATTTTGTGCACATGTAACTTAAATGATTAATGTGATGTATTGATAAGACCTGATATTATTATGGTAAAAAGAAGAGACAACCAGGGAAGAACCCTTAATAGAAAATGACAACATGCCAATATCAGAAGAAAAAAACTCCCAGTGATGATAGTCACTCCCCCAATTTTCCCAAAAGCTCTCCTATCTCCCTTTCCATGCTCCCTGCACCTATATTTTAACAGATTCAAGTATCCCTCTCCCCACTTTCTTTCTGCCACGTGTACGAATTAGTTACAATTCTCTCTATTCCCCCTTTTACCCCTTCTCCTATAGGTATGCTTTAAGGGCCCAAGTTGCCTTGGCCCATCATGTATATATAAAGCTTAGAAGGAAATTTTAGCAAAAGGAGCTTAATTTACATGTAATTCCATTCTGTTGATGAGAATTTTCACTTATTTGATGACCATAGCAGAGTTAGTTGGAAAACATTGGTAATGAACCCCTCCCCTCAAAAAAAAAAAAAAACAGTAAAAGAGGAGGTTCAGCATAATCTTATTTTTACATGTAATCTATCTCAAGGACTAATGTACTTTGGTTTGGCTGGATTTTTATTCAAGGGGGAAATAGTAGTGCAGTTTTCCTTTTCTGTAATTTTTATGTTGTAGAACTGTTTTTATCTCTGAAAAAGTCATAAGGCTATTTGTCTAGAATTTGGCCATTAATTCAGTTTTGATCTGTTAAAAAAAAGGCACTTGAAAAGACCAATAAATAACAATGATTGGCCGTCAATGCAACTCATGCTAGTTCTTGGAAGTATATCTTTCAGGGATTCACTTCCTTTAGACCACTGATTTATCTATGTATAGAAGACGTTTGTTGCATTGGGTTGGGAAGGGTGTTTGGCAGGTAGTGTCTCTTTTCTAGAGGCATTTACCTTCCCTTTACCATTGGTTCTTGTGATATGAACTGGGGTTTATAGTTGCAATTGAAGATTGGCAATAGTTATTATGATGTTATGTTACATGTGCCTATGTTGCACAACAATTCTTGATGGGTTGACTTTTTTGTATGATGAGCTTGGGTAATTTAATGAGCTAGGCCCCCTTTTACCCGTACTAACTTCAGGATTCTATTGCTTGCCTCCAGGTTTTTGACTTGATTCTCTTCATTTTATTGTAGCTCTTTTTATCAAATTCAAATATAATGAGATGAAAAGTTGAAACTTGGAAGTGCTCCAGTTAAGTTTGATTGGAAAACACTTTATGCTAAACTATTTTGTGAAGGAGAAAAAAATTCATTAACAGAAAAGACAAAATTACTAATACGTTCTTGCTTTCTTTCATGCACTATAGAAGCATGTACAGATTGATACTTAGACCAACGGTTGTGTGCAAATTCATTACACTGTACTACATACATTTGGTGTGCTGTCCTTTTCACTATGTCAGCTTAATCATTTATATTGGTGCTGTGGTTGGAAACCACCTTTTGCTACCAGAAGATGTTTATAGTATTCTAAGATGCTTTGTGATGCTTTTCCTCTTTGTTTTTAATTTATTTATTTATATCTTTCTTTCTTTCTTCCTTTTGTGTGATTTTTGAATCCTTATTTATGTTTTTCAGTACATGGCGAGCCTTTGCTGGGAGTTATCAGAGTATGCTACAACATTGCTCTGAATAGGTATTAATCATTTCTATTCTGTCTTCAAGGTTTGTTATTATTAATCTCTAGTACTGAGATTCAATGTTTTGGATCTGTAGCAAGAGTCCTATAAACCAAGCAACATCAAAGGCTATGCTGACACAGATGATCAGCATTGTTTTCAGGAGAATGGAAATTGATCCGGTGGGGCATCTAAAATTCCTTTGTATTAAGTGTATTTGGCTTATGGCTTTTGTTGTAATTTTTTTGGTAATGGCTATCATACTTTCCAGGTTGAAGCTTCACCTGGTTCTGGTGGACCTACAATTACAAAGGCAGCTTCAGCAGAGAATTTAAACACAAAATCTGATGAATCTTCCATGGGAGACTCAAACGATAAAGAAATGACTTTAGGTGATGCACTTAGTCACGCCAAGGATGCATCTCCAACATCCCTTGAGGAACTTCAAAATCTTGCTGGGGGTGCTGATATCAAGGTAAATCAATTGTACAGTTATGTAATGAACCTATTATAGCATGCCCATATTATGACAAGATTGTGTTGTCTTCTGTAGGGCTTAGAAGCAGTACTAGACAAAGCTGTGCATACTGAAGATGGTAAAAAGATAACACGGTATGAAATATGACTATGATTTAGTACTTTGTGATATCCAATGTATGTTTTACTCAGAATTGTTGCTCAAATATTAATCTTCTGTCAAGTGGGATTGATTTGGAAAGCATGAGTATAGTACAACGTGATGCCTTGCTGGTGTTCCGCACTCTTTGCAAGGTCGGTTCTCTCACTTTAAAAATAGCATTATAGTTATTATCTTGTGAACGTTACCTACACTTCCTACTTTAACTTTGACAGATGGGTATGAAAGAAGATAGTGACGAAGTAACAACCAAGACTAGGATATTGTCTCTTGAGCTTCTTCAGGTTATACAGTGCTTTCAGCTTCTATTACTTGTCAATTAATAGGTGCTGGATAATACACTGGAATATTATGTTACTTGTAGTCATGCAGAAGTAATTATTTGGTTTTATTAATTATGGGCCAACTTGCCAGTGCTTGGTCCATTTTATTTTATGTAGCAGACTTGGTGTTGTTTAATGATGTTCCCCTTGGTTGAGATCTAGGATAGTACACAGTTGTAAGTTAGAAGCCAAGCTGACCACCCAAATAACTGTGCCAACTGACAACTAATTATCTGACAGATTAACTACTGAATAAAACCTAAGAGTAACTTGCTCATTGTTCTCATACACAGTAACACAAGGCAATGAAATTTATAATATTATTTTGATGTGTTATTTGTATTTAATACAGAGCTTTATGGAAGGATGGCATCATATTGTCCTTGTATCATTAAACATCCCATGATTCCCATATTTCTATTTTTTCCTTTATTACAAAACTGTAAAAAAGTTGTAGTAGATACTAGTCTACATAAGTAGTGTTATACTGTTGTAAACTTGGTGACCAAGTATATGACATTCACAAATTGAAGTGATTTGTTGTAAAGAATTGCTATCTGCTGGCATATGGTTATAGAGAGTGTAAATGTTTGTACAAAGAAAGTCGCTAGAGGTACTAGCATAGTAGTCAATAGCAGCCGTTATAGCAGAGGAGCAAAACAGAGTAGCAGGTCGCTGGTATAAGGAGCTTGTAGCATCGTGTTTTAGGGGAGCGAACATCATGCTGTGCATGGCAGCCAAATTGGGGGAGAATCGCAGCCATAGTGGCCGCTATTTCATCCCTGGCCAAAACCTGACTTTGTCCTCTCTTTCTTAACGTTGGACGACTTTAAATAGGGATAATTTTGGGATTTTTCCCCCCTTTTACATTTCTGATATCTTCTTCCTCGCAAATCCTAAGTTTTCATTTTAATCTTAGTTCTCTCTGATTCATTCTTCCCCATCTTCTTTCTGTGTGACATTCTCTTGCTTCCATTGTCCATCTTTGGCGAAGCTTCCAACATGACTCAAACGTTTTCCAATCATCTTCATCTTCAGTGTCTTCAACTCCGGCTAAGCTTACGACGTGATCCAGACATTTCTGGTCATCTTCATCTCTAAGAAACATCTAACAAACTTGCACATTTTCTAGTGACTGACTAATTCTCTATTTTCTTATTTCCTTATTTATTTTTATTTCCTTCTTTGTTTTCTATTTCTTTCTCTGTATTAGATTTCCTGCTCTGTTTTGATATTACTTTTATATTAGGTATAATACTTAGAACTTCAGAATAACTATCATCCTGCCATGCTGCTATAGTGTTTTTGAGGTCGGCCGCTCGCGCCATCCAGGATTGAATACTATGGTACTAGTGAGGAAAATAGATAATATAACTTTTAATCTAGCAAAAGATGCTAGAGGGAGACCTAGAAGAATTTTAAAAGAAATTATTAAAAGAGATTTAGTGATTTATAATATTTATGACAATTTGTTTTTTTACTGAGCTTAATGACACCGTGTTATCTGTGTAGCTGATCTCACATGGTGGAATAAGGCTTAGTTATTTTTGTTTAAAAATTTATAAGAAAGCTTCCATGGGAATGAATCCTACTAAGCAAACACAGAAACATTCCTTCGAGAGAAAATACAAAAGGAAAAGTTAAGAATAGAAGAGATGACCTCAATTATTCAGCAGAGTCAAGGTATTTAAAAGCTTTGAAAAAAGATTTCATTGTACTTGCTACTGCTATTGCACTGTTGGTTCAAGATATGACTTATTGAACAGCAATAAGATGACACAACTCATTTCATATTGCAGATTAATATGATTTTCATTTATGCTCGTTACTATTTATAAGGCTAGTCTATAGCATTGAGTGGGAGTAGATAGGGGCAAGACTGATGTATAAAACATTCCATCCTTGTACTTCCACATTTGATATTCATGCTTCGCATTTTTTAACAGTTATTATTTTGACTGTTCACAGTTACATGTCATGTTATTTTTCAGGGTTTGTTGGAGGGAGTTAGCCACTCGTTTACAAAGAACTTCCATTTTATTGATTCAGTGAAGGCATATCTTTCCTATGCATTGTTACGAGCTTCAGTTTCACAATCCCCTGTCATATTTCAGGTTTTAGTGAACCGCATTATCTGTATTTGCGTAGAGGATCTATGTGTAAATTTTAAGATATCAATATTCTTTCTTGGCAGTATGCAACTGGAATATTCTTGGTGCTATTATTGCGCTTCAGGGAGAGTCTCAAAGTATGAATCTAATTCCACAGATTTTACAGAAGCTTCTCAGCTGAGTAATAATGTTAATTTGATATGTCTCATTTGTTTTTACACTATTTTGTTTCCAGGGTGAAATAGGCATCTTCTTTCCGTTAATTGTTCTTAGACCACTGGATGCTTTAGAATTTCCTGTCAACCAAAAACTCAGTGTTCTTCGGTATAATGTTCTTCCTGGTTGATTAAAAACTTGCTTGTATTATGTCTATAAACTTTTATTTTTGGTGAATCTCTGTGATTATTTGTTTGTCATTCCTTTTCCTTATCATTAATTGGGTTTAGTGTGGGTTTGCAGGATGTTAGAGAAAGTATGTAAGGATCCACAGATGCTTGTGGACATTTTTGTGAATTATGATTGTGATCTTGAGGCGCCAAACTTGTTTGAACGAATGGTATAATCTTTCAGAGTGATCTTTACAGCATTATTTATGGCACTTAAATCAATTATGTTCTCTTTGGTAGAAGTTACATCTTTGTTATCTTCCAATTTAATGAGTAGGTTACTACTCTGTCCAAAATAGCTCAAGGGACTCAAAATACCGAACCAAATTCAGTGGCTGTTTCTCAAACAGCTTCAATTAAAGGTTCATCACTTCAAGTAAGTTTAGTTGTTCCCTTTTCATTGAAAATCAGCAATTCGTTGAATGGCTGTTTTTTTTATATAGTTGATTATTGATCCCATTCTTTTTACCTTTCCAGGGTCTCGTGAATGTGCTAAAATCACTGGTTGATTGGGAGCAATCACATAGGGAATTGGAAAAGTTAAAGAATAGTAAGCAAGAAGGGGTTTCAGCTGAAGATTCTATTGAAATAAGATCCAGGGAAGATGTAACCAGTGATTTTGAGAGGGCTAAAGCTCATAAATCCACATTGGAGGCTGCCATTGCTGAGGTATTGACCATGATTTCTTTAAACTTCTTAACAGGGATGGGTAATTTGTCTTGACCTTGCATTCCATAATGATCAAGCTATAGCTGGGGGCTGACTTGTGGTTTTAATAATCTTTTAGTTCAACAGAAAACCAATGAAGGGGCTGGAGTATCTAGTATCGAATAAGTTGGTGGAAAACACACCTGCTTCAGTTGCTCAATTTTTGAAAAACACTCCAAATTTGGATAAGGTTGTGACTTTTGTCTAATATAATTTAGTTTTTGATCTACCATTGCACCCAAGATTGGTCTGGAATGTTTAACTTTGTGTTGCTTTCAGGCTACAGTTGGTGACTATTTAGGTCAACATGAAGAGTTTCCCCTTGCTGTGATGCATGCTTATGTAGATTCCATGAAATTTTCTGGAATGAAATTTGATACTGCAATCAGGGAGTTTCTTAAAGGCTTCCGACTTCCCGGGGAAGCTCAAAAAATAGATCGAATCATGGAAAAGTTTGCAGAAAGGTAATGGCTTTTTTGTACATGCAAGCTGTCCTCATTTCCCCTTGCCTAGGTGGTGATTAGTTGTCTGTCTGTAGAACTATGGCTGGCCAAATAGATATATTCATTTATGCATCTGTGTTGGAATCTCCTTTAATGCTGAATTTTGATGGATTATGTGCACAACAATTATGCTCTCATCATTCTTGCTTTTAAGAGTTTTAAGTTCTATCTTTTGATATAATTGGTTTAATCATTGCCCAAGTCAGTTATTAATTTCACTTGAACCTAGTGGGTAGAAAAGAAAACTTTGACTGTCCCAATTATTCCTCTTCATGTGGGCTGAGATTAAGATGTCTCAGGGTGTTCTGTAAGGTGTCAAATCTTGCTTGGTTGTGGGGTCATAATGATTAATTTTGATTGGTTCAACACTGTTATATACATACAATATCTAGTTGTCTACTTATGTTTTACATTTCAGGGGCACAGTACGTTATACCTGTGCTGAAAATTTATATCTTTTGTACTAATAACAATGTTTTTTGTGCATGTTGTCTATGGCAGATACTGTGCAGACAATCCGGGCCTTTTTAAAAATGCAGATACAGCATATGTTCTAGCTTATGCTGTTATTATGTTAAATACTGATGCTCATAACCCAATGGTGTGGCCTAAGATGTCAAAGTCAGATTTTGTTCGCATGAATGCTAGGGATGATCCAGATGAATGTGCTTCTAGAGATCTACTGGAAGAGATCTACGATTCCATTGTCAAGGAGGAGATTAAAATGAAAGATGATGCATCTTTAATTGGAAAAAGCAGCAGGCATAAGCCAGAAGGTGAAGAAGGACGCCTTGTCAGTATTCTTAACCTGGCACTGCCCAAAAGAAAGTCATCTGGAGATGCCAAATCTGAAAGTGAGGCCATCATTAAGAAAACACAAGCTATATTCAGGAATAAAGGGGTGAAAAGAGGAGTTTTCTACACTGCTCAGCAGATTGAACTTGTAAGGCCCATGGTAGAGGCCGTTGGGTGGCCTTTGCTTGCTACATTCTCTGTAACTATGGAGGAAGGTGATAATAAGCCTCGTGTTGTTCTGTTGATGGAGGGATTTAAAGCTGGCATACATATTACTTATGTGCTTGGAATGGATACCATGCGATATGCTTTTTTAACATCTCTGGTCAGGTATCATATTTTCCTGTATCCAACTGTCATCCCACATCTCCGTAAAATAATCTGTCACTTTGACTGTTATAAGTTATTTGCTTTTTTTCTTATCTTGACATGCTAGGGTGGTAGCATGCTTTGTGCATGAGAATACAACTTTGATGTTTGGTACAGTTGACTATGTTCATTTAGTTTCTTTGTTGACACCTCAGGTTTACTTTCTTGCATGCCCCCAAGGAAATGCGTAGTAAAAATGTGGAAGCTTTGCGAACACTGTTAGTTCTTTGTGACTCAGACATGAATGCCCTTCAAGACACATGGAATGCAGTTTTGGAATGTGTTTCTCGCCTTGAATTTATAACAACAACTCCTGCTGTTACTGCCACTGTCATGCATGGATCAAACCAAATCTCCAGGGATGCTGTTGTTCAGTCTCTGAGAGAATTAGCTGGGAAACCTGCTGAACAAGTTTTCATGAATAGTGTTAAACTACCTAGTGATTCAGTTGTGGAATTCTTCACTGCTCTCTGTGGTGTATCAGCTGAAGAGCTTAAACAAACTCCAGCTCGTGTTTTCAGCCTGCAAAAGCTTGTTGAAATTAGCTATTACAACATGGCTCGCATACGTATGGTATATCTTTTATCAACTAAAATTGCTCATATTTGCTTCATCATTTTGATGTTTCATGCCTTATAAATTGCTTTTGGTAAGGTTTTCTGCTTTGTTTTTTCTCAAATGTATTTTTTTCCTAGAGGGAAAGCCATTTACATTGATTAATTGGATTAGTTTGTCCATATATGAGTGTTCATGAATGAGTTTTTTATACGGTGGAATGATTTGAAATGTGATTTTTCTTAAGCTGTGTTAACATTCACATCGACATTAATAAGCTGTTGTTTCATTCATAAATTACTGCACGATAATGTGTCCCCATCCCATGTAATAGTATAGTTTTTGGATACTTCTCTGAATGCATTTCTGAGCTCTAATTGCTATGTTTTTCAGGTCTGGGCTAGAATCTGGTCTGTTCTAGCAAATCACTTTATATCAGCAGGGAGTCATCATGATGAGAAAATTGCTATGTATGCCATAGATTCTCTAAGACAACTTGGTATGAAGTATTTGGAGCGTGATGAACTGGCCAATTTCTCTTTCCAAAATGATATTCTCAAACCATTTGTTGTTCTTATGCGGAATAGTGAAAGTGAATCCAAAAGGAGGCTAATTGTTGATTGCATTGTTCAGGTGCAGGGGGGCATAAATTTTGATTCTTTTTCCATTCGAACTTGATATCATTGCATAGATTTACTAAACTTCAGCTGGCACTGTTGCCTATTGCAGATGATAAAATCTAAGGTTGGAAGCATAAAGTCTGGGTGGCGTAGTGTATTTATGATTTTTACAGCTGCTGCAGATGACGAATTGGAAACAATTGTTGAGAGTGCATTTGAAAATGTTGAGCAGGGTAGGATTAATTTCTTTCTGTGTCATTGCAGTATACTATAGCATTTATGGTGTATCTAACACGGGGAAATTTTACAGTCATCTTAGAACACTTTGATCAAGTAGTGGGAGACTGTTTCATGGATTGCGTGAATTGTCTGATCAGATTCGCCAACAATAAAAGTTCACATCGTATTAGCTTGAAGGCTATTGCACTCCTGCGGATCTGTGAGGACCGTCTTGCAGAGGTTTGTTGGGTTATCAATTGGAAATTGCTTTTTTTGCATTTGATGATTATATACACATGCACACACACATATCATAACAAAATGAAATTGGACATATGTTTATATCAACATCCAGTAAGTTTGACCCACTACACTTGCCTGAGATCTATTTCTATAGTGTTATCTGTTCCCATATCTTTCCCTTCCTGAGTATATGATATCTCAAAATTCAGAGATGGTTCAATGTTGGAAGCTAAACTGTTTTATTATTATTTTTCCAAATGCTCAATCTTTTCATAAGATGAGACATTTGGGTTTAAAAAAATAAAAGCTCTGGCCTGATAATCTGATATTTATGGGAAAACTAAAGCGAGCTTTCAAGTTTTGCTCCTAATGTTGAGTTGTGTATGTTAAAATATATACATTGTTTCAGGATTTGGAAACTCAATTTGTTTTTTCCTGTCAATAATTGGCTCCTATCCTTACAGTAATACCCCTCTTTTAAGTGGTTTTATTTGTTTGTCTACTACTAAAGGGCCTTATTCCTGGAGGTGCTTTAATGCCTATTGATGCCAATCTGGATGCAACTTTGGATGTAACTGAGCATTATTGGTTCCCAATGCTAGCGGGTTTATCTGACCTAACATCAGATCAAAGACCAGAGGTCAGAAGTTGTGCTCTTGAAGTCTTGTTTGATTTGCTGAATGAAAGAGGTAGCAAGTTCTCTACATCATTTTGGGAGAGTATTTTCCATCGAGTTCTATTTCCAATTTTTGATCATGTGAGACATGCTGGAAAAGAAGGCTTTGTTTCTACTGATGATGATTGGTTTCGTGAAACAAGCATACATTCACTTCAACTGCTATGCAATCTTTTCAACACATTCTATAAGGTAAAGAACTAAAGCAGTATGGTTTTCTATTCTTGTAACTTTAACAAGTTTTAGTTTTTGCTTAAAAGAAGTTAGTGGACATGGTGTTACAGCTTTAATTGGAAAATTGCCTTTGTTGACTTTGTTAGTTTCTTTGATTAGTTGCATTTGTTATTTTAGCAAATTAATCATGAAATTTGGGGTACTCTGTTCAGTAGTTATCTGATTGCTGTTAAATTTTAAAAAGATTATTCATGAGGAATCTTGCTTCCAGGAGGTTTGTTTTATGTTGCCACCACTGCTGGGTCTGCTGTTAGATTGTGCCAAAAAGACAGATCAAACGGTGGTCTCAATATCTCTTGGTGCTTTGGTGCATCTCATTGAAGTTGGCGGACACCAATTCAGTGAGAGTGACTGGGACACGCTACTTAAAAGCATAAGGTGCGGTTTTTTTCCTATTTTCTGACAAAATCCATTGTAGTTATTCTAATATCAGCTGTAAAGCATTTGTTTAATTTTGATATCCAGAGATGCTTCATACACAACACAACCGCTAGAGCTGCTTAATGCGTTGAGTTTTGAAAATCTGAGAAACTACGGAAGCATTATTAGTGATTCTGAAGGCCACCCAGGTGACAGTGGTACCATGAGGTCTGTTGACAATGAGGTCGCGGGTGACCGTCAACTTGATGTCAACAGTAATGGGAAATTATCCCCACTGGCATCCTCAAATACAAATGGTGATGGAGTTGAAGACTCGGTGTCACAGACAAATGTAGATCATTCTGAAGGTTAGATTTTTTAAAAATTTTAGTTGTGTGTGGTGTTTAAGCATGGTCGTATCCTCAGTTGGATTAATGAGAAACAGTATCATTTATTAGATAGATTAATCTCACAAAAATTAGCTTATTGAACAAAATATTAAACAGTGAAATATCTCATTCAAAATCCCAACACCTCAAGGTAGCACTTTGAAACTACAATAAACTAAAAATGAAGTGTGGACTGGGCACTAATTGGAAGTGAAGAATAAATGAATTTGCTTGATGACATTAAGGAGTTGTTTATAATTGTAGGCCTTCCATCTCCATCAGGAAGAACACCCAAAGCTGCAGATGGAGGTCTCCAGCGGAGTCAAACCTTGGGTCAACGGATTATGGGAAATATGGAAAATCTTTTCCTTCGAAATCTTACTAAATCTAAAAGCCGCACATCAGATGCTTCTCAACCATCTACTCCGGTTAAGGTATCATTCTATCTGTAGTGGCAATGTAACATTTACTTTTGGATTATCATGTGAATACATCTCTTATTTTCCTCCATTTTAGGTTGCTGATGCTGTAGAGCCAGATACCAAGAATGAGGAGAGTCCTTTGCTGGTAACTGTCAGGGGAAAGTGCATTACACAGTTATTGCTTCTTGGTGCAATTGATGGTATTCAGGTTAGTATGCTTATTTATTTTCTTTGTTCAGATATCAGATTTTCAGGTTCCCCTAAATTTGTGCGTGTGTGAAAAAAGGTTGGTAGCATGAGAAGTTTTCAAGATTTTTGCATTTGAAGTAGATGTAAATTTTTGCTTGGCTTTGCTGCCAATTATTTGTTTGCTCAGGGTCTGTAAAGGACAAGGGGGAAAGGTTTCCCCCTTTTTCCTCCTCTCTCGTAAAAGTTCTTTGGAAACCATCAGTGCAGGGAAAAAGTGCCTCTTCACACTTCATATGTGAAGAAAAAAAGGGATAATGTAATTTGAAACCCCTATATTTCAATAGAATTGATAGTGCGGGAAGCTTTGTAACCCATCTGCTATCTGTAGCAAAACAAGTCTTGATGGGGAGTTTGATGATTAGATGAAATTTGTCTGTAAACTGGTTGCAATGGTCAATGTCAATAATGGAGAGGGAAAGTTCCATTATCTTCTTCCAATTATGTTTTTCTAATTATTTGCAGAAGAAATATTGGACAAAGTTAAAAGCACAACAGAAGATTGCTCTAATGGACATTTTGCTATCTTTGTTGGAGTTTGCCGCTTCATATAACTCATCATCCAATCTTAGAACTCGTATGCAGCAAATTCCTAATGAAAGGTAATAAAACTCAGAATCTAATTGTCTTAAAAATTTTTCTGGTAGAATTTCTTTACCATTGGAATGGAGGACTTTAAGCATCACTAAATTATTCTTGGACAGGCCACCAATAAATCTTCTTCGTCAGGAGTTAGCTGGTACTGGTATATATCTGGACATCTTACAAAAAGCAACTTATGGTTTTGAAACAAACAAAGAAAAAAGTCGAGAGTCTGATGGACTTCAAGATGCTGATTCTACAGCAGATAACGGCATGAGTGTTACTCAACTTTCTGATGCGGAAGAGAAATTTGAAAGGGTAGCTGAGGAGAAACTGGTGTCTTTCTATGACCAGGTGCTCAGGGAGGCATCTGATCTCCAGTCGAGTACTGGAGAAACCACTAACATGGATATTCATCGTGTCTTGGAACTGCGTGCTCCCATCATTGTTAAGGTTTGAAATTTATCCTCCATGACAGTACATGAAAGTTGACCTGCATTCCATTCAGTGTCATAGATCTGGCTGTCATATAGTTGATTAATGCATTGTAAATATTGCAGCTGAATTTCTAAATAAAACTTGCTATAAAAAAAGAAGATTTATTATTTGGCTGTGTTAATGGTTTTATGCTACTAGTAACCAGATTATGCCAACTTGTTAGAAGCGGTTTTAAGCTTTTATTGTTTATGAATAGCCTTAATATTATTCTGGTATGGCACTTTCTTATTTGTTGATTGCATTTGCATAGGGATTTTGGTTTAAATAAAAAATTATTCTAAGTCTTGTACTGTACAAGCTTTTATTGTTTATGAATAGCCTTAATATTATTGTGGTATGGCACTTTCTTATTTGTTGATTGCATTTGTATAGGGATTTTGGTATAAATAAAAAAATATTCTAAGTCTTGTACTGTACAAGCATAAACTCTTTCTAGCTGTGTGTCTGTCTCGATTTACATGTATCACCTTCATTAATCAATGATGTTCTGCCCATAGCTGTTTTAAGGGAGTTGTCATTTCATACATATAAAAAAATTGGTTGGATGTTCTACAGTCTTGGTTTTTTTGCTTTTTCATTTCAGGTTTGTTTTATTATTAATTTTTTTTTTCAAATGCTTTGGATACCTTACCTTCTAACTTATTTTCTTTTTCTAAAACAAAATCAATTGAAGGGGTACACGATTTTAGGTTTTATTTGCTTGCTTTTCAATCTAATTGGATGAATTTCATTGCAGCTTTTGTTTGTGTTCATACCTTTGTTAATGAACTTGTATTTATCAACCTTGCTCTTTCAGGTGCTTCAAAGTATGTGTTTTATGAGCAGTAAGATTTTCAGAAGACACTTGAGAGAATTCTATCCTTTGCTAACAAAACTTGTTTGCTGTGACCAGGTAATATCTTGTGTCTATAATTATTCAAGGTTGGCGGGTTGGCTTGTTAAGAAATGCCTCCTGCGATAAACTGATAATCCTTTTGTTTTGATCAGATGGATGTTCGGGGAGCACTTGGTGATTTATTTCAAGCACAACTGAAACCTCTTTTACCATAACTGTCTTATGTTAGGATTCTGAGGGCATTGCCGATATCAGTTTTAGCTGGCTTGGAAAGAAGAAATATTGTAGCATTTTTGTATTAATATTTTTTATGGAAGTTTTGTGCTGGTACTAACAGTTTTGTAGAAAGGCAATAGAAATGTAATTTTGGTTTCATTAGATCTCCCAATATTCGTTTGCACTTAATTTGTTTGTGCAGTATTTGGACAATAGGTGAAACTCTGATTGAGGTTTCGAATCAGTCTTTTGTTGTATGATAATAGATGTATACCACATGAAACCCTTATGTGTCTCTCCTGAGGGGGAATTTAACAAAAAAGAAAAAGAGAGTAGCAGTTATTCCTTCGTTCCCGTTCCCGTTCCTTTTCTTCACATGTTCAGATTTCAGTCCTTTAATTTGGATCTTACACCTTTACTGTTGAAGAGGTCTCTGGAGTGCAGGAACTGATTACCAATAATGAAAAAGAACTGAATTATGAATTATAGATAGACATGGCGATTTGATTTCTAATTGCCAATATTTGCAATTCTTTTTTTGCCTTGTAATGATTGTGTCAGGACGTATCATGTAAATTGAGTTGGAACTGGTTCTTGCTAACCAATAAACGCATATGTATGAAAAAGAAAAAAAAAAAGGCCCATGCCTGCCTTGGCACAACGAATATTTTACACTACTAGTAGCATTCGTTTCAATCTATTATTTTAGGTTTAATCATATTTTCAGTTTAATTATGTTTAAGAATACACAAGAATAATTTCTATATAGTGAATCAGAAACTATAAGATGTTATATATAGAATTTAATGTATGGGTAAAATTAAACATAAATATAAATTATCAAAATAATACAAAGAAATAACATAAAACTAAGCAGAAGTAAAATAGAAGTTAGAGGATCAGAATACTAATTTTATCTTTTTTCCTTCTTAAATTTTAATTTAAATATTCTGATATTTACAATGGATTTGAGATATGAAATATTTTTAAAAATTAAGAAGACAGAAATTTTATAAAATTTAAAAAGCTTTATGAAATGTGAGATTTGAAGAAGACAGAAATTTTATATTTCTTTTATGTAAAATTTGAAGCTTTAGATAACGATTATTGAAAAGAAGAATGTATAAAAGAAGTTAATAGATTTAATTTATGAAAATTTTAAATAAAAATAAGAATTTAAAAATTTTTGGTAACATAAAATTGAAGACAATTGTTTTTTTAAATAGTAGATAAACTTTGTTAACCTTAATAAGTGAGAATATGTCAAACTTAATTTAACTCAAATCTCGGCTAGATATGAATAATTTTTTAAAACTTGTACTCGAGTCAATTTAAGCTTGTAAAACTTTTAAATTTAAATACAAAAATCGATAATCAAAATTGTTTGTTTACTTTCACTTCAAATTCACAATATCCTAGTAACCTTTAAAACATTACGAAGGCATAGAAATAAATTTTACTTTATGTAAACATGAAATAGAACTTTATACAATAATACCATAATAATAATTATATGAATGTAATTAAAAATAAATCATATTAATTCAGTAAAACAAAACGTATTATTTAGTTTTAAATTTCATTGAAATGATATAATTATATGAGATTTTGTAAATTTTTTAATACCTCATGTTATTGAGTTAGTTTATGGACCAAATGAATCGAACCATACATGGCTACGTTTAACACCTTTACGGAGCTCAATATTAAACTCAAATTCAATCATATGATTTATGAACCAAGTTCAACGAGTTAAGTAATAAATCGAGTTTTGCTTAATTTTAAATTAGTTTTATTTATTATTAACTCTAATTTAATCTGAAAAGATTTAATAAATCAAAATAACACATAATTAAAAGTAACTGATAAAAAACTAATTAAGTCATAATTTTATTTACTGCTACTAAACTTGCACTTTTGTTCATTAATTTTAATTGATCATGCAAAAATTTAACATAAATTGCTTCATTTGGGATAGTATTAGGGAAGATATTCTGAAACCGACAGCGTTACTTGGCACATCGTTTACTGTTTCTGCAGATGCCAGTGGCTACTTCATTATTTATGGAATCAAGATGCTTTGCAACTCGTGTGTCTAATTGCATAATTATAAGTTTCTTGTAGCAAAAAGAAATCTATGAAACTTTCTATGTATAAGGAAAATCGACTCTATACTAAATATAAATTAAAATAAGCACGATATATAATAAGTAAATGACAAACGTAGAAATGGGGAAAATAACAAGTTCATTTGTTCTTGAGACGATCGAATACTTTTTTTTTTCTTTTTTTGCATCTTAAAATTTTGTTTCCTAGCTTGGTAATAATCATTAAAATGAAACTTGATTCTACCAAGATCCAAAGGCAATCCTAAACACATTAGGGAATAATTAAAATTGAAAATAAACTGGGGCTTACCCTTATAGCACTACTGCATTTTAACTTTTGGGGTTGTCTTTTAGTTTGATTCTACCTTTCTTTGCTAGATTGTTTTCCCTCTCCTACCACGTACGCATTTTCAAGAAAAAAAGGTTATGCTTGGTGTCATCCAACGGGTTTTGGAATCCAGTGCTTTGTTGAGTCTAAATGCAATTCTTTACGTAACTTTCTACTGAATAAAAGGACATCATTTTTTTTTTCCAATTCTATCTTCATATAGTGAGTGTTGGGACAGAGGGGAGTCCAAAACATAGGTAAGTCGAGGCACGAAAAAAGACAACATGGGGTCCCAACATTTTAGTACGTGCTTTTTGTTAGCACTTTGCATACTAAGCCAAGGTTTGGCAAAGGGTGCTCTTGGCTTTGCTTGCAATTGGGGTACGCAATCAACGCATCCCCTTCCACCACAAATACTTGTTAGACTCATGAAGGACAATGGATTCAACAAAGTGAAGCTCTTTGAGGCTGATCCTGGAGCTCTGAAGGCTCTTGGAAAATCTGGCATTCAGGTCATGGTTGGGATACCCAATGATCTCTTAGCATCCCTCGCTAGCAATGTCAATGCTGCAATTGCATGGGTTAACCAAAACGTGTCCTCCTACATATCCAAGGTTGGAGTCGATATAAGGTAATATATATGGTTACACTACCTCTTCCTCCCTTTTCTTTATTGTAACTTAATTACATTGCTACCATGTTATTTCTCTATTTCAGTTCTATTATTTGAATAGTTAAAATTGATATTGTATGCGATGCTGTATTTAATTATTTTTTATTTCTCAGTTACTTTTTATGTTTTCAGTATATATGTATCTCAAAAATATATCCAAAAAGTAATTAAAAATTGATGCTTTATATGATGTGATATTCCTATTTTTTTTAAAAATTATATTAAATATTTGTTATTAATATGGTTAAAATAAAAAAGAAATATTTTAGATAAAAATTACTTAAATTGGAATATTAATAAATATTTAGAATAACAATAAATACATTTAAATGTGATACTGTATATAATTATTTTAATCTTTCACTTACATGTTATATTCTTTTGTATACACACGTGTTAAAAAAGACATCTAAAAGGTAAGGAGGATAACTTTTTGTTGTCCGAAAGGTTGTTCAAGCACCATTTTACTTATTCAAATGCTTAATGTGCCATAAATTTAGAACTTTGTGTTTGAATAGTGGTTGCAAATTAATTGCATTTTAACAAGTGTTTGCCAAAAACAACATAGGTATGTTGCCGTGGGAAATGAAGCTTTTCTCAAAACATACAATGGTAGGTTTGTGAACTCAACATTTCCAGCCATCCAAAACATTCAAGCAGCCCTTATAAAAGCGGGCTTAGGCAGGCAAGTGAAGGTGACCACACCTCTAAATGCTGATGTGTACCAAAGTGATAGTGGTCTTCCATCAGGAGGAAACTTCAGGCCTGATATTCATGCCCAAATGATCTCCATAATAAAGTTTCTTAGCCAAAATGGTGGCCCTCTAACCTTTAACATCTACCCATTCCTCAGCATGGATGCTGATCCCAACTTCCCAAAAGAGTTTGCATTTTTTGATGGCTCTGCTGCCCCTCTAGTTGATGGTTCCATAACATACACCAATGTCTTTGATGCCAACTTTGACACCCTCATTTCAGCTCTTGAAAAGAATGGCTTTGGCCAAATGCCTGTAATAATTGGAGAGGTTGGATGGCCAACAGATGGAACTGCCAATGCCAACATAAAGAATGCTCAAAGGTTCAACCAAGGCCTAATTGACCGCATAGTCAAAAGGCAAGGAAGTCCCAAACGATCCACTCCACCCGATATCTACGTATTTGGATTCATAGATGAGGATAAAAAGAGCATTGAACCAGGCCCTTTTGAGAGGCACTGGGGTTTTTTCAATTTTGATGGATCCATCAAGTACCCTTTAAATATGGGTGGAGGAAAATCATTAGTTGCTGCAAAAGGGGTGAGGTATTTGCCAAAGCAATGGTGTGTGATGTCATCTCAAGCAAATCCTCAAGACCCAGGTTATGCAGATAGCATAAGCAAAGCTTGCACATATGCTGATTGTACATCTCTCTCTCCTGGGGCATCTTGCAGTGGGTTAGACACAAAGGGCAATGCTTCATATGCATTTAACATGTACTATCAAGCCATGGATCAGCGCAAAGATGCATGTCAATTCAATGGTTTATCGATGATCACTAACATAAATCCTTCACCACCTCAAAGCACTTGCCAGTTTAAGATCATGATCGATCTAGGGAAGCATGAAAAGACGTCCACTTCTTTGGCTGCACCAAAATGGAACATAATAGACTCAATGGTCATGCTGGTATCAAGCTTCATGTTTACTCTCATGTTGTCGCTTTGTACTTAGTTTTATTTATGTTGCAAAGTTTCACAACTTCACGCCACCAATTTTATTTATTTATTTTTCTTTCTTTGGGTGTATTCTCACTTTCGAGTAGTTTTTCAATCTTATACATGATCAAATGAAATGAATAATTCTTCAAAGTGAACCTGCTATTATCTCAGTTTCTTTTTTCTTTCTGTTGGTATATACATGTGACTTCCACCGTCGGTAAAAGCAATCTTGTTGCAATCACTTTTTAGTATTGGTAAAATGAGCAATGGTTATTTTCACATGACATTCTCATAATAAATTTTACAATAAAATAAGAAAGAGAGAAAAAGTTATTATAAAAATTTTATGTGGGAATTATATTATTCTAATAAAAAAAATAATTATAGATCACTTTCGTAATAATTCTATGTAATATTTTTAAGGCAGAAGGTGCCTATGGCTGGCAAGTTATATATGACTGAGACTATAATTGAATTGAATAAATTTTAAAGGAAAAAATTGCTGAAATTTAACGTTTAAGAATAGTCCCACACTTGCTTTCTAAGAATTACTTTTCCATATCCTCCAATTCACCACGCATACATACAGTGTTAATGCATGTTTATTGTATTTTTAATTTCTTAAATTCTGAATTAACACCTTAAAAACATTGTTTCACGGGATAATATAAAGAGTTAAGATTTTAAAATAATGAATATGAATATCAAACTTTTTTTAACACTTAAATTTTATAAATACATTATATTATGTAATATTGTATTATTTTTAATAATATTCACATAAAAATTTATTATGTATCCTTAAATACATATTTAAATATTACAATTTTTATTTTGAGCAAAAATTATATTATAAAAATAATTTAAAAAGCATAAGATTTTTCCATCTTTAATTTAAATTCAAATATCTTTTATAAATATAATTAATTTTAGTTGCATCTTTATTTTTTGTACTTTACAATTTTCTTTACTTTTAGAACGCTGAATCCTAAAAAAAGCACAATCGTTGATCTACTTTCCGACGTGCATTCTCGAGCCCACCGCCTCCAACGGCACAATTACAAATCATTTGCACCCCTAAAGGAGCTATCAGAATAAACTAAATAAATACTCCTACAATTTTTTGTGTACGAGAAAAAAAAATAATTAAACGTAAATAAATAATATTATTTAAAATTTTAAAATAAAAAGATAAAAAGTAAACATTTTTAAAATGGATAATAAACAAATATAAATTAATATTTTAACACACTAATTAAATTTTAGATTAATTTTATTATAATATTTGTATATATTTTTTTTAATTGTATATTATTGTGTTTAGATGGAGAATATTTTTCACGTGTCATACTAAATTATATGATATTATATATATGTATATATATTTGATAAAAAATTATTATAAATGAATTAAAAATATTTAAAATTGGAATAGTTCATTTTTAATTTAATTTTTAATAAATTGTATTTATTTTATAATCAATACATGATAACATTAATCAACAATTTTGGTCATATAAAATTTAAACATGAAAATTATCAAGTAAATATTATTAAATTTTTTAAATAATTTGAAAATATTAAATAATTTTAATTTGAAGTTTTTATCATGGTTATATAAAAAAAAGTTTTAAATATAAACCATAAACTTTTCCACAAATATGATATATAAATAAATAAAAAATGGTAGCGGGTGATCGGCAGAAAGGAGGCGAAAGGAGAATCGACAATAATGCCCTAATTTCCGCTTTAACAATCAATCAACTTTCCCCTTTTATTTTCAGTTTTCTCTCTAAATCTTCTCTTTAACAACGAAAGATTAATTAATTGAATTGGTTAAAGTTTCAAATTCAATGCATGTAGTCTACATTTCTACATCCCCAGTGATTCTATAAAATAACCAAAACCACAAACTAAATCTGAGGAACTGCCAAAAATCTGCAGAGATTAGAATCAATCACCGATATGCAAGCATTCTTCATAGTCTATGTTTTAATGCATATTCGGTTTTGAGGTTCCCGAATCTTCTTCAAATTCTCAGCTTTCTCGTCATTGTTCCTCCCCGTCAAAGTTTCCTTCTTTGGGTGTATCTTTGTTGGATCCGAGTCATTGCAAGATTTAATCCTTTTCCGAATCTTATCATTATTGGACACTCCTATTTTCCTGGTAATTGGGATTGATAGCCTCGAATTTCACAATTGTATTTCTAGGGTTTGTGTCGGGTTGTGTTTGGAGATATCCTTTTGACTCCCAATGAGATTGACGGACAAAAGATTGGTCCTCGGTGATCGCAGTGTTCAATTCAATAAGTTCTGGGATTGATTCTTTTTGAAAGGGAATATTGCCTTTTAGCTGTTAGATTTATCCGTTTAAATTTTTTTTAACTTATTTTTTTTTTAATGGTGATGCGAGAATATCAGAGCAAGATTTGGTGTTATTATGTTTAGGTTAAAGAAATGTGAAGGCCCTGTGCGTTTCTTGTATCAGAAAACTAGGGATCATTCTCACCATAACAACCTTATGGCTCATTTAGTAGGTTATGATCCTTGTTCCCACTTGAGCAAGGCCTTTACTCAGTACCCTTCTTTTTCTTCCTATAATCGTGGCAGCTACTTGTCTTTCCCATTTCTCCATAACCTTGTTTATGCTAATGTTTTTGGGGTTAGCAAAAGCATTGATTTTGGTACTAAAGGTTGTAGCTTTGACTCCAGTGGTAGTTGTAATGGTAATAGTGATAAGATGTTTGTGAGGGCAAAGGCAAGGCCCCGTGGCTTTGCGTCTCATCGTCGCCAACCGATGTTAGCTGATTTGGAGGAAAGGAATTCTGCCAAGGGTGGTGATCATGATGCCACTCTGGTTAAGGTTGATAATGGTACTTTAAATGGAAGTCCTGTTAAACCTCCTAGTATCAGTGATCACCGGTTGTCCCAGAAACTTGTTGTTGCTGTTGATGTTGATGAGGGTATGTATGCAAATGCGTATGCCTGTGCCACCCTTTTTATTATACTGTCGTGTTTCTTCAGAGTTTTATATGTTTTGTCATTTAATTTTCTTTATATGAATTATGAGGACTTCTTGCAGAATCTTGACTAAGTTCCAATTTCAATATTTAATTAGGCAAGGAGAATTGCTTTGCTGAATGTCTTTTCCTGTTCTTTTCTTTTTAATTTAATATGTTTCAAACTTCAACATACGATTGAGAATTAAGAAACTGAAGTCAAGATCCTTCCTCTGGGTGCATGAAACCGTCAGATTATATTTCGTAGTTCAAAGCTTTGTCCATGGTACATGTATATTTGCCTTAATCTTGACTGGTCAATGTGTGAGTTGAAGCATTCTTTTCAGCATGCGGCTGTGATAAGAGCCCTTTTTGGAATTCAATTTCTAAAATCGGAACTCATCAAGTTGTTGGAAATTCATAGAATTGTGTAGTGACTAGAGGTTTTCAATTTTCTGTGTGATGATAGCAGCAATTTTCTTGTCTGGCTCAGAGCATGCTAAAAATTTTCACTTCCATATTATGCTTCTTGTGTAGTTTGACTTTTGTGTCAATATTCCTTGAATCCTTGTGCGAATAAACTCATATCTTTATTTTATTAAATGATTGTGAACTCGAGCTGTGTGTAAGTATTAAATAGTCCACTGCAGTTTGCAGTCTGATATCTTGCATTAAATTAGTTTTTTTTTTCTTGACATTTAAATAAACCCATTGTTTATTGATTAACATGTGTTTTAATTCTTGGATTATCCACTTTTGCTCTTCTTTTGATGTTTTTATCTTTTTTACCCCATATAAACAGTATTAGGAAACTTCGTGTCAGCTCTCAACAAATTCATTGCAGATCGATATTCATCAAATTATTCAGTTTCTGAATATCATGTGTATGAGTTCTGTAAGGTATTATTTGGCTTCTTTAATAATTCTGTATTTTGATGATACGTAATTGAAATTTTGATAATTTTTTGTTGATAATTTATTATTAATTAATGTCAATGATCAGCAAGTTTCATGTTCTTTTAGAGGCTCATCTTTATTTGTATTGAGACTTCATCTTTATTTTTGTTACTTTATTTTTTTGGCCTGTGGGATACACACAATATCCAGAGAACAGAACCCAAACAACATTTAGGGACTCAAAAGTCTATGTAAATCTTGCATCTAGCTGAAGAGAACTACTATTTGTATAAATGGAATTCTATTTAACTCATAATTCAGTTCTCTGATGCCTTTCTAGCAGTTTCCGGTTTTTATGCATTCCTCTTTTTTTATTAGTACTTTTATAATAATTATTTTGGCTTGCACACTAGTGGTGGTTTTAAGAAAATTTCACTGACAAAATTATAATCAACACTTATTACAGCACATTTAGCCAATTGCATTGCCATGATTTTGCTAATGTTCATATGTGGAGTTTGATGCACTCTTCATTTCTGTTGCAGATATGGAATTGTTCACGTGACGAAGGTAATTGTATCTATCAGGCTGTCATATCACATTCTGTGAATGATTTTGCTATTCCATTTCCTATGAAAAATTGTTGGATCTAAATTATTTCCTTCTCATTTGATTTTCACTGAACACTTGGATTGAAGTGTCTCTTGTTTTGTAATCTTGGTGAACTTTCTTGAATCATGAGCCTAATTTGTAATATATATCCGTTGGTTCTATAATGCATATCCTAATTTGTAATGTGTAGTCCTTGAACTGTTTAACTTCAATTGGTTCTTCAATGGTGAGGCAAGCCTAATTTTTTTGCTTTGTATTTCCAGAAAGTACAATGCTATTGGCAAGCAACTCTATTAAATGGAAAAAAAAAATTCAAATGTAGGCTGTTGAGATCAAGCAGTTCAATAATTTTATCATGTTTTTCTGTAGAAACCTAATGTATTCTCTATTTTACCAATGCTTCATGATGATTAATGGACTGGTAAAAAATCAATATTTTGTTCTGCAGCTGATATTCGTGTTCATGAGTTTTTTAAGACACCGTATTTCAAGTCAGGGATCCACCCTCTTCCAGGTGCTCAGACAGCTCTTCAGAATTTATCAAGATTTTGTAGCCTATCAGTTGTAACGTATGCTTTTAGTATTGAACTTTCTTTAACCTGTTCTGGATTCTTGGTAGCATTGACTTACTGGAGTTATTATTTTATTATCAGATCACGGCAGAATGTAATTAAGGATCACACTATTGACTGGATAGAGAAGAATTATCCTGGACTGTTTCATGAGATTCACTTTGGTAACCACTTTGCTCTTAATGGGGTGTCAAGATCAAAGTCAGAAATTTGTAGGTACGTCCCTTAATGTTCTTTTTATAAGGGTTGAAATCTCCCTTTCTTTCCTACTTCTCTCCTTTGCAGTATTAAATGCAGTGCATGTCAAAACTATAAAACTGCAAGAGATCTTAAACAGAAGAATACCCAACGGTCTTTTCCTCATTTAAAGCTAATATTGCTGTTTAAAATATGTTACTAGTGATGGATTCCTGGTGTACTGCCATTGACAGGTCTTTAAATGCCAAGGTTCTTATTGACGATAATCCACGATACGCCGTAGAGTGTGGTGATACCGGAATTAGAGTGCTACTTTTTGATTATGAAAACTCGTACCCTTGGAGCAAGAGTGAGTCTGTTGATCAGCACCCTCTGGTGACCAAAGTTAAGAACTGGGAAGAAGTGGAACAACAGTTAATGTCGTTGATCGCTTCGTAGATTTTAAATCCTGTAACAGGGATTTGTGGAAAGTTATCCTTTTCTACAAGTACAAGAAGTGCTGGGATAATTCTTATGTTTGAAATAAGATATATATTCTTGGGAGTTTGAAACGGCTGCTAGGAGGGGTGGCAAGTAGGCTGAGGTTAAAGAAATATAAATCAACAGGGTTATATTCTTTTTCCCATTTTGGACAACATTAAGGAAGATTGGAAAAGGAAGTTGTTCCTTATGGTGGAAATTATTGTGATTTTAGCATATAAATAATTAGGCAAAGATTTGTTCACGCCCTCCATGAATGTAGCTGGTAAATCCAAGTCACATTGGTAGTACCATCTTACAAAATGAATCATACCCGTTATACACAAAATTTCAAATTGTACGATTTCTGATGTTGAATAATGATTATACACAATATAGAAGTCCATACCCATCAAGGGTTTTAGCCACTGGATTGCATCCCCCTTGTTTTACATTTCAATGTTATTTGATCTGTCTGTTTGTGTCCACTTAATTGTTGGATTCATGGGAATTCAAGCCCAAAAGGGTGAAATGTCTAACACGATGGATATACTATGGTGTTTGGATTGGAATCGTGCTAGAAAACCTGATAATGTCAATTCAATATAGAAACTACAACTACTAGTGTTAAAATTAAATTTTAAGTCCATAGACGCAAATCTAAACTAATTAATAGTGGTTCCTGCCCGTGTCAAAAAGCATGAATGATTGCGTCCTAATTCTACCTCAGTAATCCCCCAATATAAAATTGTACCTTGGCATTGCGAAATGGCAGTCAACCATTCAGTGAGTCAAACATACATCAAACATGTTTTGATGATTGAATTTACGTGATTACCAATTAAACTTTATTTTAGCCATGATGGTATAGTATGATGGATTTCTGAGACTTGTATAGAATGGTAGTTGCGATTCTATTATAAATCCGGCATTATACTTAAACTTATTCAAATATTGCGTGGGTGTAGTGTACACCTATACATCAACACAACAGCTTCAGAGATGCAAACTACTCAATCTTCTCTATCAACTTGATGCCATAAGCTTGTATGATATCCAGTGCTGCAAAGACCACAACTCACAAATAAGCATTGCAAAGAGCATACCACAACATACAATTGACTGATATTGATTCCATAATTTCCTAATGAGCATCCTATTAACACTAGCAAAGTGTACGGTTGTGTAGATCCATTTTCCATTTATTAATCTGATTCAAAACCCTTTCCTAAAAGAGAATAATGAGGAGAAAACATGGAACTTCTTTATCAGGCTATGAGAAATATTTTATTTCTCATTACAGAAACAAGACTTGTCTTGCAAGAATTCATAAAATGTGATTATTTGCAATTCTGTGACCATGTAATTGCAAAGTATGCTAACAGCTCGTTAGTTTTGCTGGTTAAAGTCATTTTTTAATGATGTGCATGCTAGAAAAGCTATATTCAACAAATGGACAACAAACCAATGGATCATGCAGTCACCTGGAGTGTATACTTCAGGTTCGATAGGCCTTAAGACTCCTCTTGTCTGAATTTTATTTGTCAATAAGAGCTGCAAAAATATATAATTAATTTACTAACAGTATTTGCTTGGAATGCAGCATATAAAAAACAGAAATGAACAAAAAGTACCAGGGCTCCAACAGCAGCTGGAACACCGACAGTTAGGGCCATGGCAGTTGTGGTTTTTCCATTGAGAGTCTTCCCATATTCAAGCAAAGTAGCTCTATGGTTCTTTGTAATTTTGCTATCCGGGTATTCTATCTCCACTTCATGGTGCAAAATCACCATATCCTGCTTACAAATCAGGTAAAAGTTAAGGCACTAGATATTAAATGTATGCTTTACTAAGTAATCTCTGCACATTCCTGCAAATAAGTTGCTTTAGCAGCATTAAACTGGTACGCAGATACAAAATCAATATTTTTTCGCATTTGGAAATAAAAAAGTAAGCAGTCATTTTTTTGTTTTACAACATTTAGTTTACAAAACGAAATGACTTGAGAGACTTACATGCTGGAAGCTCTAGGCATTTCATATAAATTAATAGAAATATACCTTTTCTGTGCTAGAGTATGATAACCTCTCCTCCATGCGTAAACAAACAACATCAAAAGCACTTTTGCAGGTAGCAGGGATTTCTGTTTGTTCAAGAAGTCCCAAGAATCTATATGAAAAAAGGAAGTCAGGTTAAAACAACAATTTTCCAAATGGAAGTATAAGAGAGGGGTAAATGGTCTACATTACATGACTGTTTTTGCCGTCTTCTTTGCAGTTCTTTGATCTTTGCAGTGCCCTAGTTTTAATATCCGTTCAATGATGTCATTCTCTCCTATAAATGATCCATCTGGATCTTCACTAACAACTTTGAGGAGTTCAAACAAGAATTTTCTGAAAGTAGGTCTCTGTTCATTCATTAGCAATGAATGAGCTTCATTGTTAAATAAGCCAATCCTGGAAAGTGTCCCCATGATCTCACTAAATCCTGTACACCGAGTTACTAAATTTTCAGGAAGATTAAATAGCCATTCCCTACACTCAAACACCCCGTATATACAATGATTAATTTAAACATGATTCAAAGAATGGTACTGCTGCATCAAATATTGATTAATGTAGCTTAAGTATGTTATAGCGAATTGTATTAGTCAGTGTCAAATCTTGGCTTGAAAAACAATAGAAACATATAACACCATGCCTTCATAGCGGAGGGTTCCACGAAAAACGGTCGATGCTTCTGATGCTATTCCATACAAATCTCCATAAAGTAATGAGTTACGATTTGGGAGATATTCCAAAGCAAAAGCAGGAAGATCCTGTAGCCTTAACCTTGTAGCTGAATCATAAAGATTGTCCCCTGACCAACAAACAAGCATGATGCAGTGAGGCTTATGAACAATGCAAGCAAATGAAAGTGATAGAGGTTATATATAGAAAATTACATGCATGTTATTAGATGCACGCATACATATTACGGAAGTAAGTTAGGACCCAAAAAAATAATGCATGCTTGTTGCTTAAATGAAAAATATATTCCCAATTAATTAAAAGCTTACCATCAATATGTACAGTTTCACCACCGTATTTGTAGGTGGCAGGATTGCGCCCAGCTCGGATGGCCCCTACAGGATTCCAACTGAAATAATGGGTAACCAGAGTTTTTGTAATCATCAATTTTTTAGCTACACAAGGAAAAATAAATGTCTCCAGTACAGCTTAAAGATTAGCTAGATGAAAATACTGTAACGAGAGTATAAAAGCACCGAGTTTTGGAATCCTACACCAACATATCCATATGTTCCGTAGATCAAATCTAATTAAATTGAAATCATTCATGTAAAAGTTCACACAACCTTTACGTGCAGTTTTTTTTTTTTGTTTCAGTCGTTAAAACTGCTATCCTAGCCCTTTAGGAAGCAGTTAAGTTTTTTTTGCTGATTGTGGCTTTATTCTAGGATCATGTTGTTAGTGGACAGTTTGTTTTTCTTTCTTTAAATTGTAATGTTTCAGATTTGAATAACACAGTTCGATTATTTCATTCCTCTGCTGTAGAATTCTTTCACTATCTTCTCTGTTTTTGTTTCAAAATATTTTTTTCTTCTAAAACCTACAATTGGTATCAAAGAGCCTTATTCTTAAGGGACCTGAGAAAAATTTGAATAATTTCAAGTGAGTTGAGTGCCACCAAACACCACACCTCAGCACCAGAATATCAAGCATGGAAGGAGATTCAAGTTTCTCATCAATTGCACCACTAGTCTTCGATGATGAAAATTACTAGATTTGGACAGTACGAATGGAAGCCTACCTAGAAGCTTTGGATCTATGGGAGGCAGTTGAAAAGGACTATGAAGTTTCTGTGCTATCTGAAAATCCAACAATGGCTCAAATCAAGAATCACAAGGACAAAAAAACCAGAAAATCTAAGGCAAGGCGTTGCTGCAGTTTAATCAACAATTTTCACTCGATCATGTCTCTAAAGTTGGCCAAATTCATATGGAATTATATCAAAGCAGAATATGAAGGAGATGATCGAATCAAAGGCATGAAAGTGCTGAATCTCATCAAAGACTTTGAATTGCAGAAAATGAAGGAGTCAAAAACCATCAAGGAATACTCTGAAAGGCTTATGAGCATAGCAAACAGAATAAGACTGCTTGATTCTGAATTTAATGACTCTCGTATTGTTGAAAAAATTATGGTTACTGGACCTGAAAGATTTGAGGCTACCATAACCACATTTGAAAACACTAAGGACCTATCCAAGATCACCTTGGCAGAATTGCTGAATTCCTTACATGCACAAGAACAACAAAGGGCCATGAGAGAAGAAGGCTTTGTTGAGGAAGCCTTGCATGCTAAACATGAAGGTGGTGGAAGAAACAACAACAAGAAGAACAAAAGGTACCAACAATCAAATGAAGAAGGTGCTGTCAACAATGAAAGCAAAGCAGGAAGCTCAGAGGAAAAATATCCTCCTTGCAAGCATTGCAACAAAATAAGTTATTCTCCTTTCAAGTGTTGGAGAAGCCCTGATGCTAGGTGCACTAAGTGCAATCAACTTGGGCATAAAGTTGTCATGTGCAAAAACCAAAGGAAGAAGATGCTCAAATTACAAATGAAGAGGAGAAAGATCAACTTTTCATTGCAACCTATTTTTCAACAAATACTTAAAGCAAATCTTGGCTGATTAATAGTGGATGCACTAATCACATGACTCATGACAAGAGTTCTTCAAGGAGCTGAAACCAAGTTAAATGATGATGTTTTAATCAATAAGTATAAAGCAAGGCTTGTAGTTAAGGGGTATGCACAGATTTTTGGTGTTGATTATTTTGATACATTTGCGCCAGTTGTCAAGTTTGATACAATTAGGTTACTTCTAGCTATTTCTACACAACTTGACTGGAAAGTGCATCATATGGATGTTAAATCAACATTCTTTAATGGAATCCTTGAGGAAAAAATTTATGTTAAGCAACCTAAAGATTTCATTGTGGAAGGCAAAAAAGACAAAATCTACCGATTATATAAAGCTCTTTATGGCCTAAAATAAGTCCCAAGAGCTTGATATAGTCAAATAAATTATTATTTGCTTAGTCTTGGCTTTAAAAGAAGTCTTTCAGAATCCATGCTTTATGTTAAACACAATAGTAGTGAGATTCTTGTGTTTCTCTTTATGTGGATGACCTTTTAATTACTGGAAGTAGTGCAAAACTTATTGATAAGTTTAAACTAGATATAATGCAAACTTTTGAAATGACTGATCTTGGTCTGATGACTTATTTTCTTATAATAGAGATCAATCAAGGAAAAGGTCCGATTTTCATTTGCCAAAAGAAATATACAAAGGAGATTTTCAAAAAATTCAGAATGAAAGATTGCAAAGAGACAAATACTCCCATGAATCAAAAGGAGA